TCTCAGCCATTAAAACCCATTATCAGAACTATTTATGATTTTGAACTGCCCGATTTCCTCCCTGGATATCTCCTTTAACGACAAAACAAAGATGACATGTATATTGAATGTTGAACCATTTAGCTACCGTACTTAGCAAGCAAAACGTCGAAAAAAACATTGATACTTTTATTCTGAATTCCAGCTTTAAGCTTAGTCTACCAACTTCTTCTTTTGTAGAAGGGAAGGAAGAAATTCTAAAAATAATCAATTTTGCAGTAAATAATCTTCATAGTTTCAAAGGTATTTGTACTTGGAACAATTAAAAAAAGAGAATTATGAGCTCAAGACAAAGTTCACCAGAAGTAAAATAGACAATGCCAGCAATAATTTGAACATCATCTGTAAAAACTTTTATTATTCTCTAATTAAAAAAAGAACTTAATTCATTTACTACTCATTGTGTTTTTATATCTAAAGCTACTATTAACAAACTTCATGCTTTTCATGAAAGACCACATCTATCAAAAGAGAAGAGAAATACGCCAAAATGAAACGTAATATTACCAAAGCAACAAACTTGTGTTTGGCGCAGATTTAGTCAAGAACTCAATCAGTTTCTAGATACCCTCGAAATCGATTAAGTTCTTGACTAAATGTGCGCCAAACACAAGATTGTTGCTTTGCTAATTATATTGTTGCGTTTTTCTTTTCTTCTGACACCAGTTGTTACGTTATTTTCTTTTCTTCACGTTAAGTACGGGGTTCGTAGATTTGGAGTGAATAACGACGACACTTGATGAAGTATCGAAATATACTTTATTTAGCCAATATTAATCAGGGCAGCTCCAATAACACTTTTTACAGTAGTCGAAGATCTACTATAAACACGCTGGAACAATCAGCGACACAGCCTTCACACTGTCAGGCAATAACGGTGGAGACAGCTTCCTGCAAAGCACCCGACTCTGCTTGGTTGTTCTCGGAACTCCACGTACTCTCGAGACTCTCCACACGATGCACTCGACGATACGCAAGAGTATAGCTCTCGACTCAGCACAGTACCAGCAGGGTTTATATAGCTTTCGGCTTGTGTTAGAGAACATTCTGGGCTAAACCGGTAAGAATTCGTTCCAGAAGGTTCTCCAACCGTCCATGGTATATGGCTAATTTTGTCGCCAAATGTAGAACCCCTGCCTTCCTTTGCCGTTTTTTATGGCAACCCTAAAACTGCTTTGCGGGGAAGCCATCTCACCGCGCCTTGACATTTCGTAACAATATGTACTATATCTATCACTTAATTCTAATAATACTAGGTTTGCAAACTTATATGCACATCCCAAATTTTACAAGCACCCTATTAAATTCAGTTTCACTGTTAATGGGACAAGAAACCATAAGATGAATTTCGATTACGGTTTATCAGTTAAACTGAAGAAGATCTGTAAACTTATTTTTGAAAAGCTAACGAAGAACACCACTACACCTGGATCATTTATAGCAACTTGCCTATTATCAATGCAGTTAAAAATCTCAAAATAAGTAATGTCAGTTGATATGTCTTCGAAAATCTATATACTTCTCTACCACTTCAAGAAATTTATAACAGTCTTTTAGATTTTACAGAGTTTTTCTCACATATTCTTAATGTTTTAGATTTTTTTTATCTGATAACGGGCACTTGCCTGTTCGACACTGGCCAGTCCTAAGGGCATAAGTGGTGGAAATTTGATTGTGGAAGCACCCACTAGGCGGCCACCCTTTCCCCCTCTGAAGGCAAGGATAGTTACAGCCATTTCTTCTCGGGAATTCGAACCCGGACCTTTCGGTAGCGTAGTCGGCTCCTCTAACCACAAAACCGGTAAACTGAGTTACTTGCTTTTTCACAACTATATTAAATTTCAAGATACTTTATTTCTACAAGTCAGTGGTATCCCAAAGGGCTCGAATTGTTTATCTCAGCTGTGCGGTGTATATTATTTCGTAAAGAATTAAAATTTCTTATCTACAAAAATTTGCCTACATTGATGATATTGTTACGAAATTTAAAGACGCGGTAAGATAGCTTCCCCGCAAAGCAGTTTTAGAGTTGCAATAAAATGGCAAGGGAAAGCAGGCGAGAAATCGCCCATTTGGCGGCAAAATTGCCGATATACCATGGACGGATGGAGAACCTTCTGGAACGAATTCTTACCGGTTTAGCCCAGAATGTTCTCGAACACAAGCCGAAAGCTATATAAACTCTGCTGGTCCGCAGTCAGTTAGAGTGTGTGTGCCTCGTCTAGAGTGCGAGTTAGTTAGTATCGAATTGGTGTCTTGTCTAGCGAGTCAATCCCTGCGAAGCCGATCGAGTTGACTGCCGAGCAGCGATTGCCGAGTGGATCGTCGAGTGCACCGAAAGAGTCTAGTAGTGTATCGCGGTGAGTGCATCGTCCAGAGAGCGTGCTGAGCTCCGGGAACGACTGAATCGAAGAGTCGGGAGCTGTGCTCGTGTGTTGTCGAGTGCATCGCGAGTTGTAGCGTGGAGAGTCTCGAGAGTACGTGGAGTTCCGAGAACGACCAAGCAGAGTCGAATACTTTGCAGGAAGCTGTCTCCACCGTTATTGCCTGACAGTGCTGTACCGCTGATTGTTCCACTGTGTTTATAGTAGATCTTCGACGACTGTAAAAAGGGATATTGGAGCTATCCTGATCAATATTGGCTAATAAAGTGTGTTTCGATACTTCATCAAGTAGTGTCGTCATTATTCACTCTAAATCCATACGAACCCCGTACGAACGTGAAGGAAGAAATTAACGTAACAACTGGTGTCAGAAGAATAAAAAAACGTAACAATATAATAGGCTTTAACAATTTTAATCTCATTAAAAACAGCAGTATTTATCCTGCATGACTGAAATTAACAAGACAAACTCAAATCAATTATAGTTAGATTATCTTGATCTATGGATTGTCGATCTAAAAGAATTAAGGCTTTGTGAAAAAAAGAAGAGAGATCAACTTTTAAAATTTACTAACTGGTTTTCTAATACTTCCAAAAAGTTTTAAATAATACTATTAATAGTTAAATAAAACCTAATTAAATAAAACCTATTAAGAATATTTTTACTGAAGTAGAAGAGCAACAAAAGAAAATCTTATCTTAATACTTATATAGGCATTTTAAATGAACTAGCCTATGACCTGTGAAGTTTATCTAACGATATGAGAGGCAGTTTTAAAAATTTTAGGAGAGAGGTATGGATGTCTGAGAAGAATATCATAGTGTATAAATCTAAATAGTATATTCTTTTGTAAAACTTGTATGATATTTCTATTCTTTCTTTGACTTTCTTTTCTAAAAGTCGTTATTATCTGCCGATTAGCGTGAAGTTTATTTTTTTTTTAGCATTTGTTACTTAATTTCTTTTTCATTACTTGACCAAATTTATTCTTTTAAAGTAACAGTTTTTTTTTTTTAATTCTGATTTTCTCCCCCAAAGCTATATGTTCAAAATAAAAATTTGGAAATATTAGCCCCGATTGCACATTCCATCGTCCCCTCTTCGCGCAAGTAACATGCTGTTTCAGTATACGACAGCTGCATCCCCCAAAAAATATTTTTCGAATTCGTTGAAGTCATATTGATTATATTTGGGAGAAAAATTAAAAATTAAAAATCTTATCCTTTGTCGAATGGCAGTAGTATGAGAACAGATTTTGCGCTAAAGTTGTAGAGGAAATAAATTAAAAAAACTCTCACGTTTCACACAGTTTTGACAAAGGTTGTTTCAAAATTCTCTTCAGATATCAAATCCATGATCTTCTGATACATGATTACTGGCTCTGTATTTTATTTTGTGATGGCGAGATTGTTCATATTACTAAAAATAACGCATCTGCTTCAAGGTATAGAAGAGTGACTGAATAAATAAATAAAAAAAAAAAAAAAAAAAAAAAAAAAAGGGGGAGGGAAAATATAGGGGGTTAAGCTAAAAAATATATTTCCTTGAGTTATAACGCTCAGCAGGAAAATTAAAAAAATCTTTATTACTGCTTGTTTTCATAAATAAGTTATTATAAAGATTTGTTTCATTTTTACGAATAAAAATTTTTATAAGTAGAAAATTAGTACTATAAAAATATCAAAACTCCATTTAACTGCACAGCCCATTAGATTCACTGTAGAAATAATTACTGCTGGCCTCAAGCATTTGCTCCTTGATAAATTCTTCTGCATAAAAATATAGCGTATTCCTTTCACTTTTTTATGGATTATCAGAGAAAAGCCGACATCCTTCAGGAATCTCTTTCAGAAACTAAATATGGAAACAACGGAAATCGCTCAAGTTTGAATTTTAGGTCTGTGGTTTTCAAAACTCAGACTACTTTTAACAATAATCTTGACAAAAAAAAAAAAAAAAAAAAAAAAAAAAAAAAAAATGCACGTACTGTTTATGCCGTGGAATGTAAGGTACGAAAGCTTAATTAATTGCAACTAAAATACTTGAGAATCATACAAAATAAGAATCCACCAGTCCATATCTTGCCTCAATTGAAAACGAAATAGCTGCGCATTGGCTCTGTTTTAAATGTTTCCTGTAGTAACAATGTCATCAATATACATACTATGTATTTTTCAAACCCTTCCAACAAATAATCTGCTAACCACATTGCCCTGATTATTCATTATCAACTTTCTCTAGTACGTTATGTGTACGACGACACGGTGCTATCAGATGAAAACTATTTTGTTTTCGATTATAAATTATGCAACTGGAAGGAAATCATATTATGAAAAATGGAAGAATAAAAAGGAATGAAGTTGAAACAAGTTTTCCAAATTACTCGTGTATGGCACGATAAATATTTTGCTGTGAAATCATCAGTTAATAGGAATACAACGCTAGCATTCTTTTATTCACATTCATATATACGCTTATATCTTGTATTCTGCACTTTTCCCATACCTTTATTTTGCACATATTGAAGCATTTATATCTCTTTGCTGCAATCACTGAATATTTCTATCTTTTTTCAGGTCTGCCGCATGGGTGCAAGCCGCCTCCTTTGACTATGCAACACCCCTGCAATACACCACAGAAGCCACGCACGATGGCTGCCGTGTCCCCTCTGCACCAAGTCGTACCTCCACCTCAGCCTAACATTCCATCGTACGAAGGGGGTAACCTGGCCTTCAACGCAACGTCCCGAACATCGAGCTTTGCGGCAGCTCTCAGGAAACTTGCGAAGCAAGCCGTGGATCCTGTCTCTGGTAAGTTAGCGTCACGCCCGCGTGGATCCATCCACATCCCCCCGCCCAATCTGAAAAAGAATGGAAACAATGTAAAAGATTCAGTCAGCAGATAAGCGTCAACCCTCATCCACTTTATCCAGACTCTCCTCTTGAAGCGAATTCATTCGTCCGCAGAAGGGCAAATGCGTTGTTCGAAATTGCTCGACAGGGTACCAGGGGAGGAGGTGAATGATAACGCTTTGTCTCCTACCTCTTAGTTTTGGCAATATTGCTCTTCGAGTGCGGAGAGGGAGGTGATTGTTTATCTCTAACATCGAGTGTGCTGCATCTTGATGATACTAAACCGAAGCTAATTCGAAATGTTTACTTTCAGTAGGTTAGTGGAGTTGCTGTGTTGATTGTTTTATCTGAGATTTTCTCGTAAATGTCGATTTAAGTAGTATTTAAAACATTTATTATTAGTATCATTGTAATAATGTCTGCTAGCAGACTGTATGATTCGCCGTTATTGCTTTTAAAAACGCTGCTTTAACTTTCATTAATCCTTTATCTCAATGGTTTCGTTAGCGTCGCTTGAATGTATTATGAAATTCCTTAAAAGTCTATATATATAAAAAACATGTATATCTTTATGCCAAATTCAATAAAAATTATGATAACTAACAACTTCATTCCACCCCACACTAATATAGTGACTGTGAACGTTTGTGGAGTCTGATGATGGATGATACGAAGTGTTTTATGAAAATACCAAACACCGAAAACAACAAGAATGACGTCACCGTTAGTATGGGAGCTTGGAAATACGGTGTGACCCATTTCAGTGAATATCTTATATGAGTTTTAGAAGTGTAAAATTAAGAACTGCTAAAGGGTTTAAATTAATTATTCTAAATTTTTCATAGAGTGTGAGAAACACAAGGATGTAGAATAATTAAGCATTATAATTAAAAAAATAAATAAAAATTTTTCTTTCAACATTATTTACTTTTTGTAGTTTTTAACATTAAGATTTGTGGAAATATATTTACATTATGTTTTTAAAGTAATAACTGACAAATGGCAATTATTCCTTAATTTAACGTGCTCTATCTCTGCAACTCTTGTTAGAATTTCGAATCTTAACTCTTTAACTGCTCGCCGAATATTAATTAGAACGTATTCTACATTTTCCCTATGCGCGTATGAATAAGTTTTACGTAAAGTTTAGATAATGCAAGCAGTAATTTGAAGTCAGTTTATCTTTGAATAATTTGTCATAATCTGTTGCCAATTTAACTTATATTATATTTTAGATCATCAATATAGATAATTCTCATATGCTTTGCCGTTATTGGTAACCACTCCATCTCAACTTTATTTACTTTTCGTTCTTAGTTACTGTATAAGGTATTTCTCCCGATTTAGGTCTGTTTCCGCGATTCCTGTTTGCGCGAAATCGGAGAGTACAGTCCCTTTCCCAAAGTTCCTCAGGAGATGTCAGGATGAGTCATTAAGAAGAGCTGGGCAGTTCCTTTGTGAATAAGTTAGTATCGTCTTGACATTGTTAGACTGAAGACGTGTCTTAGTTTAGGCTCCTCTCGAAATCTTTAGTTTCATTCCACTTTAAAATCTTTAGTATTAGCGGTTATTTTTCGTATCTAAATCAGTATGGATGTTTTAGAGATTTTTGAAACTAAAAGGAAAAAGCCTTTAGCCCTTCACAAAGGTTATCAATTTTGAATTCGGAATAGAAATAAGGAAAATGCAGTCTATTGGATTTGCATAAATGAAAAACTAAAAGCTGCAAAGGCTCAATTAGGACCAAGGAAGAAGTTGTTTTAGAAGAAAAAATTCATTTATGTCAACCTGATACAGCACATTCTTTAGTAAAAAAAAAAAAAAAAAACAAATATTTGTAGCAAAAATGAGAGCGAAAGAAGAAAATGTTCCACTTTCTCAAATTTACAATGAAGAAGTTGGAAAACTATACAATCAAGGCTTTGACATATTAACCAATATTCCGCAGTTTTCAAGTGTTAAAACAGCTCTATACAAATCTAGGCAAAGTGCCGAAGGATACGATCGAGAAGCTACATGTATGGAAGATTTAGAAATTCCTAATGAATTATTAGCAATGGATGATAACTTTAGTTTCTTGTTGTTCGATGATTTAAAAGTTAGCCGAATTTTGGTATTTTCAAGTAAGAAGGGGAGGAAAGCAATGAAACAGCGGCAAAACTTTCTTTATGGATGGGACTTTTAAAAGATGCTCAAAGCTTTTCTCTCAAATTTATACTATCCATGTTGATATTGGAAGTACATCTAACGAGATTAATGTTGTTCCTGTGTTGTTTTGCTTACTTCCCGATAAGCGAAAGCAGACTTATGAGAGATTATTTCGTTTCGTTTAATTAAAAATCTTATTTCTGATGGGATCCTAAAGAAATTGTGATGGATTTTGAAATTGCAGTTATAATTTCGCTGAAAAATATTTTTTCCTTCCTTAAATATAAGAGGTTGCAATTTCCACTTTAAATCAGTGTCTGTGGAGAAAGATTCAAGACTTGGGACTTGTTAACGAATATAGGCATAATGAAGAAATTAGAACTCATCCTCAGAATGTGCGCGTCCCTTGCATACATACCCGCGGAATGTTGTCGATGATGGTTGGCTGTGCATACAAGAAAGTTCACCTCGTAATGCAAGATTAGAGGCATTTTATGATTACTTTGTTGAGCAGTGGCTTGAAAATGACGTCGTAAGTATACAGATGTGGAACTGCAATGAAAAATTGCACAGGACAAATAATATTGTTGAAGGATGGCATCATAAATTAAATTCTGTTATTAGGAAAATCCATCCTAAAACTCTAGAACTGATAAAATTTTTGAAAAACGAAGCTAAAGAATGTGATTATTTTATAGATCGTCGTTATGTAAATTTAGAAGGGAAAAGAAGGAAAACAAGTGTGGTCAAAAAAGAGGAAAGAATCCGAAGTATTATGCAAGAATTTTACTCATCACAAAATATAAGAAAGTGCTTATTATCTCTTTCTTATCTACAAAAATTCGATTAAAACATATGAAAATTTTCTCTAAAAATATCTTAATAATATTTTTTTTTTTTTTTTTTTCTAAAGGAAAGTGGCTAACACAACTTTTAAACACGCCAGTATTTTTACTGCCAGTCCTAAGCCTGGAAAAGTGTGAAAGAAAGTTGAATTTTCTCTGTTATTAAATTGATAATTTTAGTTATAAGGTATTTTCTGCCTCCTTTCCGCATGCCTTCGTGATTAATTGGAAGCATACTCGGACGTGTATTCGAGAGGCCTAGGGTTCGAGACTCGGGGAGGGCACTGCATATTTTTCACGTTTGCTGCATTGATTAAACCTAATAACGTCACACTGTAATCAAATTTATTAAATTTTCTAATCGTAGCATGCATTTTAAGGGATTATCAGAGATTTCGAAAGCACGAATTTTAAGGGATTATCAGAATATCGCAATATTCGACGAATACTGATTTCTCCACTTTTTAAATATGCAGCGTCAGAGTAAACAAAACTCGTTTGATATTTGCCTTAAAGAAGGTGATTGTACTTACTCTTCAGTTACAACTGTTGAACCAGTGTTTCTGAAGTTTTTAATATTGCCACCATTAAATTGCGAATCGCATTTACAGTTGGAATTGAAAGTGACTCACAAAGTACAGTTTCTCTTAAAAAAGAAGCTAGATGAATATAGATTTAGAAAAAAGAGCATTTTAAAATGAAATAATATCAAAAAAGTTGATAATAATTAACAATTTCATTATATACAAATACAGATGTGTATATAAAAATAAATGATTTAAAATATACTCTTTAACTATTTATATTTACTGTCAATAATTACTAACAAGTATATACACATAATTAATTAAAATTAGTATGATAAATATATACAATCACTGCTGAATCGTGCGCTCTGCTTCTGGAATTTCTGAATTAAATCTTTGAAACTAACAAATTTACCTTTGACAATTAATAAATTTATCAATGGTAATGTATTTGGATATTCCGTATTCGTATTTGGATATTCCGATGAATTCAAGTAAAGCAAGTCCATTCAATCGAGATTCAGATGCTATATTTCTGAATTAAGACTTTGACAATTTACAGCTAGGAAAAAAAAGCTTCTTTTGGCTAGGACAAAGCTTTCTCAGAAGCTGCCTTGATATTCGAGGTATATTTTCTTCTCATCTGCCTTTCTTTTCGCAACGAATATATATTTTGAGATTTTATTATAATTTACCTTTATGCAGAATTTCGGAAGAATACTGTTTTTACTTTAGGAAACGATCTTTTAGTTCATTGCCAAAATCATCGCAGAGTTTGAACATCTCTTCCCTTTTAAATACAGTACTTCATTTATGCAAAGATATACAAAGACTCAGACTTCGTAAATATCTTTCGATTATTTCTTTTAAAAATTCTTTTTTTAAATCTTAAAATTTTTTGCTTTCCTACGTTTCGGAAGAGGCCAACGCCCAGTCGGTCCCCCATTATGGAACCCCTTTGGAAGGGGTTAATGAAGATTGATGATTTCGCGCAAAAAGGAACGTTTCTGACAACCGCGCAAACAGGAAGACACCATTTCTCCCGCGTTCTTAGCATGCCTTTGTGGTGTAATGGTCAGCACGCTCGACGTGTATTCGAGAGTTCCGTGGTTAGAGTCCCAGCAAGGGCATTGCTCATTTTTCATCTTTCCTACTTCGAAATAAAATGTCTCTACAACTGTAGCTTCTATTTTATTAACTTTACCTCTGTTTTAGAATGGATGTTACTACTCCTTTCTTTTTTCAATAATTATTTCACGTAATTTATAATACATTAGAGATTCATTTTGCAATTTATTGTTGGGTAGTGTAATTCGTATGTGTTCCTGTTTCGAAAATCAGAACTTCCTATTTTTTGGGCTTCAAAAAATAATATAATTTTTCTGCTCAAAATATTAGTGTCTTTAGACTGGCAGATTTTTAAACTGCTGTACTGAAGGAAATGATTTTTAAAATTTTATTCTTCATTTAATAAAATACATTTGAGTAATAAATTTTGCACTAACAACAGAAGCGTATTTTCAAGATAAGCGTATTAGTTCCAATATAAAATATCTCACTTGTAAAATGACATGTACTTTTTCACAAGAAAACAAAAACAGCTAATGAAAAAAAAAAAAAAAAAAAAAAAAAAATACAGCTTCTGTTTCGCGTAGTACACCGTTCGCCTGATTTAATGGACTGACAATTGCCTTCAAACTCTCAATCGGAAATCATTTTATCATCTTTATAATTCCTGAGCTGGAAATGGTAAGATGAACACTGATCTGAATCCGTTACCTCACATATCTGTGGTACGACATTACTGTATATTTTGTAATCGTTCTTTGTTCGTGGCAATATAGTCAAAGGACGACTTGAAGGTAAATCTGTCTAAGTTAATCAACCTGAAATTGGCCGGATACTAAATACTGAAATTTTCATTTGTCTTATATATATATATTCAGCTGTCGAATATCGGGCAGCTACTGAATTACATCGGATGGGCCTGTGTGTTGTAATATTCAACTTGTTGCTCCAGTCTCATGAGCAGAGTCACAATTCTTTTTAATAACCATTCGATTCAGATATTATAATGTATTTCCCCGCTTTCCAGCGTGCCTTCGTGGTGTAACGGTAGCACGCTGGGCCGGTATTCCAGAGGTCCGTGGTTCGATCCCGGCGAAGGCGATTGCTTATTTTTCATCGTGTCTGCTTCCAATTAACCTAATGACTCTACAACATGACTGACAGTTGCTGCAGTAAGATATAAATTCCAGCCGGCTATGTTTAAATCCGTATTAAATTTATATATGAGAATTTTCTGTGCCTCATCTCGAAATCGATAGCAACATGTTATTCTTCTGAAATAGAAAATAAATTCTCTTTCATGCCGCATAATATATATATATATATATATATATTATATGTTGTATGATCTTAAATTCATTTTAGTGCGAAAACAAGTTACTACTACTTGCGCAATTTCTGCAAAGTTAGTTAATAATAATTTATTTCCTAAACAATATTGATTAATTGATTATATTATCTCCTAAGTTTAATTAAAGTATAATTATTTTAAAAGAGTGAATCCATACTGGTAAGTTATATTTTGAAAGATGTTTTGAAGTAACTTGAAAGTAAAATGTTATTAATGTTTTAACGGGGACTGAAATTAAATCATCATGAAGAACAAAATTTCATATATATATATATATAATATATCCATAATAAAATGTGAAACGTTATCTCAAAAAATTAATTTGCCCTTTTTAATGACATTGACAGATTATGCGATTGATCCGAAACTACAAAAATTTGCATAGCTTTTTGATTTCAATATAGCTTTTAATTTAACCGACTGCAGGCTAACGTTTAAGAGGTGAAAAAGATCAACTTTTTAAAAGGGAAAGGAAAGAGTTTATAAAATCTGTATTTTCATGGATGATGAGACGACCCTTTTAAAAGATCTATCATTTTAATTTAACGTTTGTGTTCTATTAAACCCACGAGCATTAGATCCTTCTGTTTTTGCATGAGCGATGTAAAGTTCTTAATGAAGATTTAATGAAAAAGTTCGTTTAACAATCTTCCTCCGAATTCATGCTGTTTTATAAGGTATTTCTCCCACCTTCTTAGCATGCCTTTGTGGTGTAATGGTCAGCACACTCGGCGCGTATTGAGAGATCCGGTTCGAGTCCCAGGGAGGACATTGCTTCTTTTTCACGTCTTACGGCTTCAAAATAACTATACATAGCATATATACAGGAAAAAATAGTCTTTCAAGGTACAAATTAGAAGGGCCATTTCGTAATTATAATCAAGAAATTGCCACTTATCATGTCTTTTCGGGAACTTGATGCTTTTGGGCTGAAACCCTTGGCTGCTGAAAGGGTAATCGAATGAACCGTGGTTTGACCGGTAGCATATATACAGGAAAAAATAGTCTTTCAAGGTACAAATTAGAAGGGCCATTTCGTAATTATAATCAAGAAATTGCCACTTATCATGTCTTTTCGGGAACTTGAGGCTTTTGGGCTGAAACCCTTGGCTGCTTAAAGGGTAATCAAATGAACCGTGGTTTGACCGGTAGCATATATACAGGAAAAAATAGTCTTTCAAGGTACAAATTAGAAGGGCCATTTCGTAATTATAATCAAGAAATTGCCACTTATCATGTCTTTTCGGGAAATTGATACTTTTGGGCTGAAACCCTTGGCTGCTTAAAGGGTAATCGAATGAACCGTGGTTTGACCGGTAGAATCCTTATAAGCAAATATCATTATCGGGTCAGGGTGTCATAGACTTCTGAAATTCTGAATGCAAAATATGTCTAAAAAGTGTAAAGGTCGGAATTCCCTTTTGATTTTATACTTTACAGGTAATGGCCATTTTAACACTTCATTGATATTGAGTAAATATTTGATTTTTCTCTGATTTGAAAATAATCAGCTTCTATTTGGAAATACTTAGAAACACTCTTCTATATGATTACTGCAATGCAGAAATATTCTAATTGTTTTCTACTCTTACAAATCAAATTATTAACCTAAAAATCTTTTAGAACTGAATGTCATTAAATCTCTTAACGTTCAATAGACGCATTACTAAGCATTATTATCTAAAATATTTATCTGCTCCTTTTCTTAAAACTGTCGCAGAATAGTGGATGTTGAAAAAGTAATGGATTTAAAAAGTGTAAAGAATATTTCTATTTCCATACTAAGCCTCATATAAAGCTCATATTTTAATGCTGGCTGTTAAGGAGAAATGAACTGCTGATGAAAAGACCATCAACCCCTCTACTAGCCATGAAGAAGTTTATTCATTTGCTTAGTGCTTTTGAAATTATTTTGTGTAATTTTTTATAGGTGAGAAGGATTTATCTCAGATCTCTCCTGTCTCATCTCCTGCTCTAAATCAAGGATCATTGACTCCAAAACGGAATGTTTCAAATCCTCCACCTCCCCCCATGTTCCTCAGCAATCACCAGGTGTCATATGCATCGTCTTCTCCACCGGTTGTGACAATCGCACCAAGCAGACCGGTGGCAACGCACACATCGGATAGTAGAAAGGTTTGTTGTCTACAATTGCAGGAGAATATAATTTAATTTTCTTTTTATCATCTTTTATCAAATTTCTGTATTATCGTTAAAACTCAATAGAGAATATTTTATACTCGAAGAATTATTGCCAAAGTGATTATGAGTATTATTAAATATTAATCATTCAGAATTATTACTAGTCATTTTTAACAATTGCTTTTATTCATTATTTTTTAAGAATTATTATTATTCATTAGTAAAAACTATCATCCTTCGTTATTTATTAAGAAACATTCTTATTAATTATTAACATTATCAATCATTATTAATTATCTAAATATAATCAATAATTTTTAAGAATTCTTATCTCTGTTAATTGTTGAGATTATTATTAATTATTATCGCTGTTGTTTATTAATTCTGATTAGTTATTAAGTATCGTTATTATTGATTAATTATTCTTTAATAATAATCGTTATTATTTATGAATTATTCTTTAATGTCATTTTGTAGAACTTTTTGTTCATTATTTATTAATAACTATTATTAGTAATTACTAAATTATTGTTACTAATTATTTGTAATAGTAATTATTAACAATAGTTTATAAAATCGTAATAGGCATTAATTAATGCCTATTACGATAAAGTAAAATTAATAAAAATATTATTAAGAATTATGATCAAATTGGAAGAATTATTGCCATTAAAGTATATTTTGAAAGCATTATTAAATTGGAAGTGTTCTGTTAATATTTATTGTTCAGTTTTCTGTAATAAAAACTTATCTTTTCTATGACTTCATGTTTAACTCAGATTAGCGTTTGTATTTCGCCGATATTGGTGCAATATTGGCGAAATATAAACGCTAACTTGAAGTGACTTTTAAATGAAGAAAACGTTAATGGCTTCCATTATTTTAACAAAATTAGAAAATGAATTCCCAGAGAAAATAATAAGTATAATATTTAATTTTAGTATGCGATTATAAACAAAACGTTATGTAAAATTATCTGTTATATGTATAAGATTACAATGTAAAACTTTTATCTCTTTACATGGTGTTAGGGTAAAAACAGCTGCATTTTTTCTTTCCTTAAATATTGAACTTAGATACGAAGTTGCAATTATTATAAAATAAGGTAGAAAATCATACGTGAGAGGGTTCTGTAAAAATAGCTTTTAATTTTTTATGTAATTCCATCTGAGTAACTTGATTTAAATTTTCATTATACCATTTTTTAAATTAAATATATATAACTTAGATACATATAAATATACACTTATACGCTAAAATTCAAGAACGAATGTACTGACTCATAATATTTTTCCATGTTTATTGCTGACATAATTCAAAGTTTTCGAGAAATACTCATCATTTCGTAAATAATGCGACTTTTAATACTTCTTTTATTTTTCAAAATTAAGATAAACAGATTTATTTTTTAATCTTATACTGTAGAAAATGAAAGTTGCTGTTATGGTAGTTCTTGATTCCATCTTTGATAAAAACAACATTCAATATTAAATTTGTAGCTGATGTTCGAAACTATGTAGAGAATGTAGAATGGAGCTCTCTGTTTTTCTATTTTTAAACAAATAAAGCATTTTACTGTTTGATATTTTTATAATGTAGTACTTATTTCATTCTAGTTCCTGATTTTGAATTCTTTACCTTTCAGGTAATGGATTTAAGTAGTGTACAACAAGTAAACAATTCAAGCGCACTCAGCAATGGTCATCTGCAGGAGCCTCTGGGTGTGAAACTAGACACCTCAAAGGGAGGACCCAGACCAGTTCATGCAGATAAATGGGAAGAATCTAGTAAAAGCTTATCCGCATCTTCAGCTTCGTCTCAAGTGAGGTACTTGTACACAACATATCTATATTTAAACTCTATATATATATACTTAGAAATTATGTACTATATTTCATATATGACGTGCATTAAGCTGTAGTAGATAAAAATAGTAGCTCTAAAGTTAAGTTTCTTATGTTAACAAACATTGAATGTATTTGATTCAATGGTTCTTCCTTAAGTACTGCACATAGATAAACCGTCTAAATTGTTGAAATCTTCTTCACTATTTTCAAATTCTAACTGAAAACAACTGTAGATGTTATAGAAACATCGAAGTAATTAAAAGTAGTTTTTAGTGCTACGTTTTAATAATTTATGAATTATATATAACCTATGTTGAACAAAATGCTTTAGAAAAAAGAATGGTGGTGGGCCAGCTCCTTCATTTTTACACTAATATAAAAGTTTTTATTACATTATTGCATTTTGCAAAGTTTGCTTTCGATGGGAATCCAGTCCTCGTTGTACTGAACTCAGATGAGCATGCTACTGCAGTTAATAATTATTTTACCCCATGTAACTGAAGATTCGTGAACCATGTGGTAAAGCTTTCTTTAATTTTTTACTTTCTTGTCACATCTTTTTGTGCACCAGTACTGTTATACAGACTACCCCATAAGTCCATCACTTATCGTTTTCTGTAGAGATAGCAGTCTAGATCGGCCTGTTTCAGACCTAGAAATCGTCTCGTACATAGAAAACTTAGAGATCCACATCTTGAGAGATGAGGTGTAGAGTTCTACAAAACATCTTGATAGAAATACAGAAGAACTAGTATTCATCGTACGATGCACAGTCATTTTTAATTCGCCTCCCAAACTGCCTAATTGCAGCAATCACATATATATAAGGACTGAGCGAAAAGTTTTAAAATTTTCCCTACTTCTGTTTCCCTGTAAGTAAAGTAATAATTTTGTACTCAATTTTGAGGAAGTCAGAGTATTGAAACCTGCAGTTGTACAGCCATAGCCTTCAGTATTTGAACAGAGAGAGTGGAAACAACTAGTCCTTTTTATTATGGCGAATGCGAAAAGGTCTGTATAACAGATGTGTGTTTAAGTTTTGTGTTAATCTCTGGAAGTCCATAACTAAAAGCTTCAGACATTACAGTTTGCATATCTTGATGAAATATTTAGCCGTGCTTTAGTATTTCATTGACAGAGGTACTTCAGGGTGGTAGCATGCGATTGGTCGACATAGCATATTTTGGATGGTTATCCACTGCGGTTCCTTATGTCAAAATTTGACACCCACAGACAGACAATAAATAATCGTGTGCGTCGAGTCATGAAGAAGAAAAGTGCAGATTTGCTCAAGAAACAGTGGCTTTAGTCCAGGATAATGTCTGGTTGCATGTTACTCATATGGCATTATCAGCGTTGTCTGAAATCTATCTCTCAACACTAGAATACTAGACTATTCTAAATATAGCTTAAACTTAGTGGCATGAGATTTTTGGACGTTCTCAGCAATTGTGTTGAAAACGTTCTCTTCGCATTAGGAAGTGAAAATTTTCATGTCTGGCAGTGGTAAAGGGAATGTCACACAACAGTTTGTTTCGTGTTTTTGAATCATTTATTAAAAAAAAAAAAATCATGGTGCAAAGTGCAATTCAGTGCGAAGGACTCAAATTCGAAAAATATAAAATGCAGGACGCATAATCATCCAGAGAATCAGTCTCAAGATTTTCAAATCAGCTTATGCACATAATTTCAGTTGCTGTTATTACTACTTGACAATAAGCTATTATCCTTTAATATACCTTCTTTTTATGGATTTTTATCTAGAAATATTTTACCTATCGATATAAATGTTATCTGTTGCAGTATGCTAATGAATATGGGAGATCTTCCTTCATAACTTTAACTAAAGCTGACAAGACTGCCATTCTGGTAAAATTAAAGCTGAAAGTGGTGAGTCAGCTGAAAGTGGTGAGAGAAAGTCTGATCTGTCAATGACATTAATAAATCTGGCATCCCATGAAATTCATAAAATTTGCTCAGAATGATGTCCTACTGCTCTCAGTGGCATTCTACTAACAATACTACTAACATTCTACTAACGCCCAGTTCGCAAATGTAAGCCTTCCTCCCCTAAATCATTAAGTAATTTTCCGTGCTCTGTCTATCAAGATAAGGGATCTATAAGCGAAGTGAGAACCCTACTTCATAAAATTCGCCACTGTCCACATGATAAATATGATGTTTAGGATATACAAGTATATGTCTCTATCCCTGGCGTTACAGACACTAAAGCTTCTCAGCTTAAATCAAAATTTTAGATAAAATTCTCACGTCATATCTGAGCTTCCTAGAGCCTAGTTAACATTCACTTTGCTACCTATTCAGATCCTGAAATAGTTGATTATATTCTTTTATGCTGGACTTGAATACGTATATTACATGATTTTAAATACATATTTACATAATATGTGCTACTATTCTCGTACAGTCTCTTATGACGAAAATGGGTGTAGTTTACAAAAGGAGTAACAGAACTGAAAGTGCAAAATTTTATATTTCTTAGAATCCCATGAAGCATATATTGAAATTGGTCATATAACCTTTATAATATTGTATTTCATTAAATATATCTGACAATGATAATTTTTCTCAAATATAGTGCACAAATGCTCGATTGTCATTTAGGTTAACTAGTATGAGAAGTAAAGATATATTGTGGATTTAATGGTGCATAAACCCCTTTGAAAATACCGTAAACACCAAACATATGATAAATATTCTAAGAAAGGTATTTCATTGCAAGAGCGTAACATCAAGTATAAAAAATTATGTTTTGCCGTGTTCATACACAAATTGTTTCAGAAGGCGTATAGAAAGCCACCAATATTTACTTCGAAAGCTTTGAGAAAAAACTTTTTTTCTCATGCAAAGCCCTTTAATCTCTTTTTCCGGTTTCTAATTCACGTGGTTTCTTCTCTTTTTTTCCATTATAGGCCCCACGCAACGATTGCACCATTACCCAGGCCTGACGATTCCCTAACGTCTTCAAGAGGCTTTCAACCGTATCGAGGTACAGAGGAATCGAGGAATACCCTTCCTCATCATATTTCATTATTTGACCATCATCACCCGGCCGCTTCCTACCCATATACGCCAGCCTTTTTGCCACCCCCACATCTCTCGCATCCCGCCTACAGGTAAGCCATCTTGAACCGGTATCGTCTATCATAATTTGGGCCAAAGACAGCCACCCGTTTAAACTCTTTCTGAATATAAATTATTGAGCTATTAAATGGAATAATCATATAATTTCCAGTTTGAATTTAATAATGATTCCAAATTAATATTTATAGTGTATATGTCCCCAGCATAACGTGAAACTCAAATACCTGGACAAAACCGAATATTTCTACATTCTGCAGAATATGATCAACTTTTGATGTTTTAAGTATGGACATTCATTCGGCTCTTATTTTATTTTGGCCTAGAAATTTTATCCTTTACGTAAGTTATTTTATATATTATGCACCTGGATTTGGACAAACTATGTGGTTATTCATAATTTTGTCAAACATTTTAAAAATAACCGATACCGAATTTTATTATAATAAAATGAAGATAGACTCTTTTTAGTTTTTTACATATTTTGCGGACTTTCAGCCTGTCCATTTTGATAGAAATGAAGGATTTTACCAAGTTGAAAAGCTGGATGGCATCACATTTGAATGAAAATAGCAATGATTTTTCTATTTCAACACGACAGTTGTCTTGCGTAATAACAAAGGAATCACTTTCTAGAGTATTTGAGTCAAAATTTACCAAGAAAAGGAGTTGTTTACAAGAATATCTAAATCAAAATTTGCCTCAGAGGTGAATAGGACGTAACGAAGTGACGCTTTAAAGCAATAGCACCATCATCACTGTTTTCAGATTTAATCCCATTTGCCATTTTTTATCCTAGAATTTTTTTAATAATGAAAGATTCTGCTGCCGAAAGAGTATATTTTTCACCGATTGGTGGTATTTCACTTGCGTTAGAAGTTTGTAGTTTTGCGCCACAGTTCGCAAACTCAGCAAAGATCACAAATGGTCTTTGTGACAGCCATCATTCATGGGAATGGTATTACTTAGCACTCCTCACAGCATCAAAACGATTTCTTCTGTAATTCCTGTCACACGACAGCTAACAATTTATTTCAATATAGCCAGTAACGTCAGCGACGTCTGTACGTCTGTGATTTTTAAGTAAAAATGTAACCATTCTGGCAACAAATCCTTTTGTTATTAAAAAAATACCGCATTTTTCTGTGCATTTTTATGAAAACAGTATCGCGCTTTTATATATTTCCTTTAACATTGTAATTTTTTTATTTTTTCGTTTACTTGTGAATCACACTGTATATTATATTGCTGTGCTCGGTATACCACGCTTTGCCAATTCTTTTTTCTTTGCCAGTAACATATAATATTCAGAGGCAAGTGATTTTAATTTTCTGAATTACCAACCCCCTGGTCTTCTTCTAGCTCTTCTTTATTATTATTATTAATAATATTTTTATTATACTTTTATATTATTAAATACGACATCTCGATTCAAAATTACACTTGTTCACACACACACACATACTATATATATATATATATATATTATGTCTACAGGGTGATTCGCTACCAGACCGATAAATTTTTAGAATGTGTAAGGGATACAGAGACGACTCGGAATTAACAGGATCGCATATGCCGTAGTTGCCAGCTATGGTGCAAAGAAGCAGGGAAAAAGAACAAAAAACAGCAACACATTAATGGTACAGAAAACATTTTATTGAAAGGTTATACTTCCATAAGTGTTCGAAGTTATGACCAGAAGCCGTCAGCCAGGACTGACAGTGGCACTTCATGGAATTCCTAATGTTCTCGAAGATTTCTCCTAGCAGTCTTGCTGTAGATGGCGTTGAACGGAAGCTTACGTGAACAGCGATTTACGACATTTATTATTATGACATTACGATTATTTTTTACAGGTTTACGACCCGAAAGTTAAATTTCTGCAAAATGCGTGCAACTTTATAGCTAATTTATGGAAAGAAGGGAATGACAACAGAATTTTTTATGATCTCCTAAAACAAGAGTGTGCCTTTTGGTGTGTTGAGATAAGAATTTTTTTAACTGCTTGATTAAAAATGTTGAGCGAAAAGCCCTTGTCAATAGCTATTGCTTTTAAATAATTTAGTTCTTCATCAAGGGATAGTTTGGAGGAGCAAACTTGAAGAGCACGGAAAACACAGGAATAAAATGAAGCTAACTTTTGTTTAGTCGGATGACATGATTTGAAGTGAGGTGGAAGGCAAACCGATGAAGGTTTACGGTAAACCGTAGTACTGAATTTGGATGTGTTACGTGTGGCCAGAATGTCGAGAAACGGAAGAGAATTGCAAGTCTCAAGCCCAAAAGTGAACTGAATAGCAGGATCAATGGAATCCATTGTTGAAAGAACTTTATTTAAATCATCTTTATTACCTTCAAGCAGGGTAAAAGTATCGTCAACGTAGCGGAAGCATACCGGGAAGTTTAAAGTTTCAAACAATTTTGATTCATAATAATGTATGTAGATATCAGCCAGGATGGAAAAAGTTGCACGTATTTTGCAGAAATTTAACTTTCGTGTCGTTTATTCTCCTATCAATAAAATTCCGAGTTCCATACTAAAGGGCTCCATTCCGAATATGAATTCCTGGGGTACTTACAGGATTCCTTGCCAGTGTGGTTTAATTTACATTGGCCAAACTAAGAGAGCCTTAAAATTTCTCGTCAAGGAACGTAGGCATATGTTAGAAAAAAGGAAACACAAAAGTCTTCTGTTGCCCAACATTGTTGGTCCGAAAATCACCTTTCAATTTTTCTGCTGCCAAAGCCATTCAAAAAACATCTTCTATTGGTGAACTGAATTTTCTAGAGGCATTTCACATTCAAAAAAAAATGTTCTAGTTAACGACCCTAATTCCAATCCATCTTTGCCTTCAGCCTTTAAAGAAATTTTGTTTTAGTTCTGGTTTCATCAACAGATGGCGCCAGTAGCTTATCTCTTGTTCAGGCTTTCTTGTCTTATCTTATCATTATTCTTATCTCGTTCATTTGCGCTTTTGCAGCTGAGGATGATGGTTCGGTAAAACCATCGAAACTAGTCCTGTGAAAATTTGAAAATATAACGCTGATTTTTGTTGTTTGACTTCTAAATTAATATTTGTTCGGCATGTTATTGTATCTTAACACTGATGAATATTCGTAAACTAATAGTTTTTCCACTTATCATATGAAACCAAAGGTTTGAAACATTTTCTAAATCTCACCATTTACTTGTGATTTACCACTTTAGATTGTGGTGATTCACCAGTGGCCAGATAGCTATAAAAAATAAATACCGACCATTCCGTTAAAAAAATTTTAAAATGCAAGTAATATGACAATTCAGAACTGTTATTCAAATTGTTACTCAAAATCACCGACCTGATTTTGAATAGGCTTAATTTTCTACTTATAAACTGAATATTACTTTGATATAAGCTTTAAAATTCATGCATTTGAATTTGTGTAGTTCTAATTTCCGTCTCCTGTCTCAAAAACTGAACATTTTCATGCATTTCTCGAGAAATTGGACTCAAATCCGTGTATGGTCATGTTTTTAGAAACAGTCTCAGTTGCTTGAGTTGATTATATTTTAAGTTCTAAATGATTGCCATCGCAGAAATGTACTGTTTATTCTTGATGTACCTTTTAAGAAGTCAAAGTGTGTCCATGTATGGAAAACCGGTGGCCATGAAAATGAACCACTGATAGACTCTTACACCCAATTCATTAGTTCAATGAAAAATTCATATTATGATTGCTGACTTTTGTTGTTGTTTGACTTCTGAATTATGATTGCTGATTAAGATGTATGAGGATTATTGATTAATGTTTAGTTCCAGAGAGTTTCTTCCGCGAAGACAAAGAAATTGACCTTTGAGGACATTTGAAAGACCTCTGTGCCTAGAATCTCAGATTCTCTTAACCAGACCTTGAATTTGGAAGTTTGTAAAGATGAGATTTAAAAGCCTTTTATTATTGCTTCAATAATAAATGTAAATTATAGGTTTCTTTTGTTTATACCTTTTACACGATTAATTTATACTTCATTTTATGAAGTAAAGGAAGTATGTAATCGCAAAAAATTTCGGGTATGATATTTCAGTGGAAAATATCCATTTTGACCACTTCCGAATCCATTTTGACTATTTTTTTGCGTGATGTCTGTAGGTATAGATAATCTGCCAACCAAACTAGCGTCAATTAAGGCGTCTCATAAAGCAACCACAGTCAGCTTTCACTACCAAATCATCAACGGAATTCTGACAGTTTCTAATACTGACAATCAGCTGAATGCAACTTACAATATGTTTAAATTATGTGCTGCGCTTATAACATAATTGCACTATACACTACCAACATGTATATATAACCGCTGAAATGTCCCTACAGCGCATGAAGTACTTTTTTTTTTCTTTTTTTAAGAGACATAGGCTGCTTACTGCGTACAGTACTCACTTACGGCGTATAGAGCAAACTACTGACTATGAACAGACTGCTACCTGCATTGTGGCTCTGTAGTAGTTACAATGACTGAAATATCTATAGAAGTATTTCCTGGAATAACCACAGTTATTACAACAACTGCAAGTTATATATCAGTGTATAAGGTACTGTGCGCAGAGTAATTGGAACGCCCTGACAAATCGTGTACAGAACTTATCAACAGTGTACAGAGCTCAACACTGACTAATCACAGGCTACTACTTGCATGTCCATGCTAGTCCATGCTTAACTGAACAGTGTAAAACAAATGTGTATCCGACTTTGCATTGTATAACCATTCTGTAAGCATTGTGTATACAACAAGCATCATGTATCTATTACAATACTAATATGCACTGTGTATTCTACAACATAGTGTTTCTCCTACAGTCATTGCCAATACTGTATTACACAAACGCATTATACAAACTATCTGCAATAAATATGCACCTCATTCTGCACTGAATTTGTCAAATTCTGCACAGTATCTGCTGTATATAAAGCATATAATTACTATGCAACTATCTACATTGCATGTGCATTACCTGCAATACCTTACAACCTGTTGTGTATCTGACTTTGCACTGTGCATTTGTTCTGTGAGCAATGTGTATATAAAAAGTACTGTGTACCAATTTTAATCCAATAAACACTGTGCATCTAATATAATATAAAATAAGCTCAGCGCATTCTATAACATAGTGTCTCCACTACAGTTATTGCCTGCACATCATATCTGTATTACTCAAACTATCTGTATTATATCTGCACTGTATCTGACATATGCATAATGTATAATTCATCTATATCTATCAATATTGTGTCTGCATTACCTGTATAATCTCATAGCTTCGCATAGAAATATATAGCTTGGCAACATAGCATGCACTATAATTGTGTGTATACAATAGTGTAGTTTTTTTTAATCTGTAAGTATAATTGTGTTTATATAATTGTGCACAATTGTGTTATATACCGTAGTATAGTGTTTTATTCTGTGTTTTAATACGTAGTTAATTGTGTTTTGCATAATTGTACATCATAACTGTGTTGTATATAGTAGTATAGTGTCTTATTTCGTTTGTACAATTGTGCGCAGTATAAATTCTAATATCTAATGCTTTACAAGCATAGTGTATCTGTTTTTAACATTGTGTATCAATTCTGTAAGCATTATGTATATAAAAAGCGCTGCATATCTATTCAAATTAAATAAGTATTGTGTACCTGATATAATGTATTCTCCAGAGTAAAGTTTCATCTGTAATTACTATATCATCTAATAACAAAATTTAATATTCTACAGTGTGCCTGCATGCTTTATGTATGTTTATATGCGCATTTTACATGTGATATGTGATCTAAATGTGTCTTTAGTGTAAGTGTATACTATATATTAGCTTAAATATGTTTCATTATAAGTATGTGTTTTACTTGTATACGTGTGTGCAAACTAGTATCTAATTTTTATTTTTATATAATGTGCTTACATGTTTTATATGTGTTATATATGTGCTTTTATATGTGTTTTACAAGTGTTTTGTATGTATCTTTATATGTGCAAGTGTATGTACTTGTATGTGTATGTATATGCTGTAATTAGTGTTTAACAGTGTCTAAACAACCAAGATGTAACAAACAATCATCCGCCTATAGATCAAAACTAATGTATTCCTAAGACGCCTCTGTATGGCCATGTACAATTACGTAAAATTCTTCAATAAACTCCCTAGGTGGCCTCATGAGGCTCCTGGGAGTTGCTGCCACTAGATAGGGGAGGGCGCGGGATATATGCCTGTTTACCTCTGTTAAAACATCAGGCGTCCCCCTCCTCCGTCACCTGTCACCTGTAGGTATAGATAGAATAAAGGACTTCCAAACGGATTGTAAAATGGAATCAAAATGGATTTTTTCGTGACGTCTACATGTAATCTCGCATAACTCAAAAACGCTTAAACGTTGAAATTTCGAATTTGGGCCTGTTGTAACATCTATTTATGCAGCTGCCTTTCTTATTGTAATCCCCAGTACCAAATATATACGTATACCCACCACCTTACCCGGGGTTTATTTTCACAATCGTTGGTCATAGTTATATAATTCCAATTGAGAAAATGTTTTAAATGACGAAAATATTCATATTTTGGCAGCGTCCATTTTTTTTTAAAATTATTTTAACCAAGTAACAAAATCTAACTTTTAACACAGTCTCCTGGCTCTTATACTTGTATTTTGAAAAGTGTTCGTTATGAAAAATAAGAAATACAAGAAGTTTGACTCGCGTACGACAAAAATTTACCAAACTGTTTAATTTTAAAATTTGCAAGATTTGATGTCATTTTCAACTTTCCTCGAGGAATCGGTTATTTAAGTTAGAATAATTCGAGGAAATAAGTTTAAATGAAGTGCAACAAAAAATATGTGTAATTAACTGGTCGTAAAAGGAAGTCATGTAGTGTCCGCATCAAAGTTTTAATAATGGCAAAAAACTGTGGAACTACGCTGAAGTTTGCAAATTATACAAGATTCTCGTTAATTGTAAAGTGCTTTAATATGATGGGGATGAAAAATATGCATAATTGTTGTATATCTGTAAAAATGGTAGTAGGTAAAGCGTTGTTGCTAAATTGAGAATATGAATTGAAAAAAAAAAAGTGCTTTGAAAATGCTTCTTAATGGGAGCTGTTGAAGTCAGTTTATCATACACGTGCTAAATTTGAGAGCCTAAAAATATAATAATCCATCTGCAAAGTAATATTTATTACATACCAAGAGCATCGGGTATAAAAAGAAATCAGAGCTGAAATGTGAATAAATAAAAGGGAAACTGAGCTATTCCATTATGACTCGTATAATATATTTCCTTTCGAAGCAAGAAACAACGAACAAATATACGATCGAACAAAGATCAGAGATATGCAAATCTGTAAAGTGTGCCGTTGTATTTTATCGAAATCTTTTAGAGTGCCCATTATTTTTGCAAATATTTCAGTCTTATCAGCTTTGAAAAAATATTTTGCCTTTGAGGAAGGTTATTACGAAAAAAATTAGTACTGTAGTAACATCATGCTGCTTATATAGTGAGTAAAAAAATATGAAATTAAAATATTCGCGTATAATATTTCTACCTATATTTAAAAAAGTATATGAAACCATCATCGTATTGCTTACTTTATCCTTGACCTTTCCACAGATATTTTATGCTACTTGCAGAACAATTCGGAATTTATTTCATTTCAATATTTAAATTATTAAAAGCTATTTTTGTTATTTAATAATTTTATTGCAAAGCTTTCCTTATCATTTAAGAACTTTTTGATGATATCGCACGATTCGCTGTGTTAGAAAATTACAAAGTGCTGAAAATGGTATATGATCAAGAAGTATGTTAGAAAATGGAAATTAACCATCTCCAACATTTTCCGAAGACAAACAGTTATGCCATACTTGGAAACTGGAGATGCATTTCCGCGCTGCTATGCAAAAATTCATAATGTGAATGTAATTAAAAAAATAATGTAATGTAAAATAAGAATTATGCCAATTCATAAATGTAATAATATATTATATATGTAACAATATGATAATTTAACTCAATAATAATATAAATGTGAACCATTGTGTAAAAGTAATTTTAATGATAAAAATTTGTGATTCTTTAGGTTCGATGACCCTCTTTACTTGGAACGCTACAGCTTACTTCGTCCTCCTGTGATGCCTTATCCCCAGCCTGGCATGATGGCTCCGCCAGCCACGTTTTATCCCAATAGCCGCTATGCGGCTGACCTCATCGCTCAATCACTGTCCCTTAACTCAGCCAACAGCAGCATCCTTAATCACGAAAGGTAACTCCTTTTTCATTATTTGCTTTTTTCTAAATGGATATTCAGTTTGAGCCTGTGATATTGATGAGTTATGAAGAGGGCAGTAGTAAGTTTATCGCGGTCGAATAAAGGCAAAATCTGCAGGTTAACCGCGGGCTTAAATAATGAGCATCCGAGAAACATTCACGAACTAGGATTTATATTAACAATTTTTGGAAAACTTTCGTGGTATAGAATTGGTACATCTTTGTCAAAGCTTTCATAGCATAAGCATTTGACGACATTTGAAATTTTTATGTTACAGACTGGGATGTAATATTAAAATTTGCCAGTTTTGGCGATTAAGTACGGTGTCTGCTTTAGTAAGGAAATATGAGGATTTCGTATAATCTTTTGCAGAGAAAGTGTGATGTCTGTCAGGAACGAAGTAGTAACACAGATAACTAGTATGTTCCTAAATAAACATTACATTGTGTAATTTTAATTGGAATTTGCGTTTATAAACCGATTAAATTTTGGAAATGTATCCAGCATTATCTTAGATCAAGATAGCAGTTTAATTTGATGAAGTTTTACATTTAAATTTACATACCTAATATCTTTTTATTAAATAACATGTTTTTTAAAGAAAGAATTATTGCTGTGGAAGCTGTTTATATGCATTAACCGGCAGCTTTATTTAACTTTTCCTCATATTTTTGAAATCCAATGAAATTTACTGTGGTTGAAAATATCTTTCATTTGTCTGTAATGTTATAAAAGTGCATTAATACAGGATAACGTAAAGATCACTTAGAAAGTAGTTTTATTTTCTGGATTTTAACAATATTTTGCAACAAATGTTATGGTAGAATATGCGTGTCATAAATAGAATACGTTTCCAACAATCAACAGGAAACATTTGTAAAATTTCTTATTAGTGTCCATTATCAGCTGCATCTAAAATGAAAGTCTAATCGTTGCGACGATTTAGTAGCAACATATAGGTTGCAAGCTTCTATTTATAGGTTTTTCTTTAGCTGCGTTAAAAAAGCTAATAAATTTTCAATATTTCAATATTTTTGTCTTTTATACTAGTTCATGTTTAAAGCCAGAATGTATAAACAAACGCTGAAGATCCTGAAACTGAATTCTTTCAAGAATTCTTTTGAGAATGGAGCTGAATAGTGTTATGATTTGGTAACAGTAAATATTATTTTTTAAAAAGAAACGAACTATTCATATTATATTCTATATTTAAAAATTTTGTTAACTTTTGAATGATAAATTCTCATCTGAGGTATTAATATTGTAATATGAAATTTTCATAACGCAATTTCTGAAAGCATTTTACGCAATTGACTGAATTAAAAGTCAAAACTGATTAATCGTAGAGATAGATATGTCAGACATTGCAACCAAAGAGGTTGAGATACATCTTCCTCCTCGGTATTTTAAACTCCCATGATTGAAACAGACCCAAATTCCGAAGGCTTCAAAATGTTAATTGAACTGTAAATATTAAATTGCTAACCGAATTGTGAATATAAAGGAGAACTTTTTTAAAGGAAAAAAAAAATGCTACTTCAGAGTGTCCAAAAGTGATTTTAAAAAGTGAAAAGAGTTTTATTATTTCATTAAAAGAACTTGTGATTTTCATTTGCAGGAATAGGAAAGCAAATAATGTATATTGCACATAGCATTATCATCAGTATCTAGTATGTTCCATTCTCGGTTTATTTTGAATTCCCTACAACTGAAATATTTTAGATTATTTTCAACAGTATTTAATATGTATTCATTCTCGCAATATTTCGATGTGAAATTTAAAATTTCCATCCATTGAAGTACGTTATATCCCCAGATATCTCACAAAAACACATTAATGTTTAGTTTGACTATTAACTTAAATGTCTGTGTTTTGTGGGTAGACTAAAGCACGAAGAAGAAAGGAGAATGAGAGAAAAAGAAATGGAGCTTGATCAGACACGGAATAAAGAGCAAGAAAGACAAAGAGAGAAAGAACAGAGAGAAAAAGAATCCAGGGAAAGAGAGCACAAAGAAAGAGAACAGAGAGAAAAAGAGAGAAAGGAAAGAGAGAAACCCTATCGAGAGAAAGAAGACAAAGCGGATTATGCTGACCACAAGAAAACAATGCCTACATCTAACCACGTTTCTACCTCAAAGAGGACTGAATCTCCAAGTAAGAGCTTTAAAAATAATTAATATTAATTTTTCTTGAATTCTTTTATATCGATAAATTCTACATAGTCTGCAGGCTATATTCTGGAATCTTTTGAATGCCTATGCTCTGAGATGGGAGATTTGTATAGTGATAGTCCACTTATCGCTGAGGATGTGTTCCTTGAAAACAAAGAACTAAACGAAACAACGTTAAAGAACTGGTTACGAGAAATGAAAAAAATTTACTTTAATTCTAATTTATTTTTCATATTAATTGAATATTTGTAATTATATTAATTAAATCATAAATTTTCATGAGTTTGCTTGAAGAATTACCATTCGAATTCGACATTTAAAATAAAGTAAGTTCGTTCTTTAGGTGACTCTATCCTGATATTAGAATTCAGCTAATTAAGAAAGTATAAAATCTATTTTAAGTAAGAACAGGAGAAGCTGAAGTACCAAAAACTCGTATGCTTCTGTTCGTCTTAAGAGGACAAACTATAAACCAGATTTGGTTATTAAATTAACATCACTAGTTCAGCATCAGGAAAGCCACTGATATCGTAGAAAAAAATAAAGTTCATTCTGTTAATTTCTTTTTGATAATAATTAGAATTAGAATTTTAATTTTTATGTTTAAAGTTTAAAGCGTATTGTAATTATTTATCTTATTATTCACCAAAAAAGACGGTTTTAAAATGAAAATACCACTAACCCGAAACATCTTCTTGATATACATATTTTAGTTGATTTTGACCCACAGCCAAAAAAGATTGCCGATGCCTGATTTGAAATCTAGATAAATCAAGTAATCATTAATAGAGCAATATTAACTTTTTACTTTAAAAGTTACTAAAAATGTTGCTAACTTCCTAAAATTTCGAGATCAATTTGCTGTTTATAACATTCTATCCATTTTGCAACGACAAGAGAGATTTTAAATAATTTTTCTTAGTTACGTTTTCGCAATTTGCAACAACGTAATGAAGCCTCCAGAACATTCGCCAAAGCATTCGGTGAGTCATTATTGTGAGCAATTATACAAACTGCTATCTTCAATAGTAGTATGCCTTTCTGAAACATAAAAATTAATCTAATGAATTTATACACAGCGAAAAATGCAGTAGCATCACGAGCATTTGGTTTAGAAGCAACAATGCGAATAAAAGATTTTAACTAATCACTCTTTTTACAGAATGATGTTATCAGAATTTTATGTTAATATGTTATTAAACCAGAAAAGTAATTAAATTGGAATTTGGAGCTTTTTATCTACAAATACTATTTTTTAATTTTTATTTGTTATTCATTATTTCTTCATTTTTTCGTGTTACTGTGCAGTAGAAGTAAGAAAAAGCGACGCTTAGCTGAAGTTGCTCATTATTGAAAGCTGAGCATTGTAAATTTAATAGATTTTTCTCGTTCTGAAAAGCTTTGCTGTGAATACTGCTTAGCTCATAGAACGTTTCAGCTCATTTTGCTGAACTCACAGAAAATCTACTCCAGATCGACTAAATGCTATTGAAATAGCTCCCTTGTATACTGAAAAAGAAAGTTTAATGCTGAGACATTGCCGACAGTTTAATGCTGAGACACTGAAAACAAGGTAGTAAAGAAGCACGTAAGTATTGTAAAAGATTTAGTAAAAAAAAAAAAAAAAAAATTGCAATTGTTACAAAACAAAAGCAAAAAATGCATGCATTTTAAACTTTCAGTCATCTAAATTTTTTAATTTCATTGTTAAAAAAATTGTTAATTGTAAAATGTAATTGTAATAATACACGTTTTAATCTGAAAATTGTTGCATAATAAATGATGCGTCATAAAAATAAATGTTAATATATATTATTCTCCGTTTTTGTAAGATTCCTAATTTGTAATAAAAAAATAACTGAAATCTTTTAATTTATCTGAATTTTCAGCTATCCAAGAAAACAGGAAACAGGCATTCGAATCTTCGAATCCTATGAATATTGAAAGAGATTCCAGTTTCGAAATTTCGGCCCACGCTCACCCCCTTTTCTTTTTGGTCGGCATTTAAATATTTCGAATCTTGTCTTAAATATCATTTTAACTCAAAACTTTAAATTAATTGTTTTAATATTAAGCTATTTTTTCTGATTATTCCTACATGAATGATTCGACGAGGAATTCGAAATCCATAAGATTGGCGAACTTTTTAGAATTCCGGTTCGTCTCAATTTTTGATAGCAGTAATGTATATTATCTTGGAAAATCGGAATCTACTATAAATTCAAATGTAAATTTTCTTTAGCAAAAGTTTATGACATAAATCTCCCATACCACCAAGTATATCTTCACTGGAATGAAATTTGAAGAGTATAGATTTTTTAAGTGTGCAATTAATTTTTAATTATTTTTATATCTATTGTAAATGTGTTATTTTACACTGAAATATTCATGTCAAAGTAAACTTTGTAATTTTCCAAAAAGGTGTGAGAAGTGGGGCTGTGATGCACTGTTCAACAAATCACATCTCACCTTCTACCACGGCAAGCAGCTCGATACCTCTAAACTTGGTCGTCCACGCTGGTAGTGAACCGCCAAAGAAGGAAACCGAGTTGTGGTTACCATGGCAACAACCAGCGAATCAGTACGTCAAAGATAACAATCAAGAAGCTGGAAACAATCCCAAGCATCCAGCTTTTCGATCCCAGGTGAGGTTTATTCTCACCATCATGTTTCGCGTAAAAGGTGAAATTTTCTCATTGCAAAATTCCCTTTCTTTTCTTGATTCTAGGAAAAAATGTTTTGGCTGACGAAAATACTGCGTCTGTTATTTTTTTGCTATGACATATACACATATACCTTATATTTTGATTTCTTTGTGAAACTTTTAGTTCAGTATGTTTGTGTTTGCTTTCTTTTCTCCTTGAAAACTCAAAGCAATAAACTATATTCCTATATCTGAGACTCTCTTTTTCAGCTATAGCGTAGTTGTAATTACTTTTGATTTCCAGTTAATAGTATGGAAAGAAAACATCTATTAAAAAATATATGTATATACTAAAGTAAATAAATTGATAGTCTGTTTTCATATATAGTATAAAATAAATCCGAACACACCGGTGCGTTTTAAGGTTGTTGGTTACTGGTGCGTTTTAAGGTTGTTGGTTAAGTTGAGAGTCATTTGGGTCAACTTGTAAATTACGACTGTAGAGCAATGCAGTAAACTTAGATAGATATTTAAATTAAATTAAATCCAAGCATATCAATTCCCGTTCATTAGTACATGTTTTTGCCCATCAGGTTCACCCAAGATTTATAGGTTCACCAAGATTTATAGGTTCAGGATCACGTGAAGTCAATCAAGTGACTATTGGTATGGTACTGGGAAATAAATTTAGATATATTATAAAATCAAAATTAAGCGGAATACACGGGTGCCTTCTTTTTCTGTGATTTCTTTGCACATCGATGTTTTTTTTTTTTTTTTTTTTTTTTTTTTTTTTTAATCCTAATTGGCAACTAGGGGCTTACAAACTGAGAGTATCTTATGGTCAACCTATCAGTCCCCACTGGGGAAAAGGCAGTGCAATGTAGAGATGGGCAAAATCCCTCCTTTTGGGATCAAATCGGAACTTTTCGCTCACTGAAGACTCGAGTGTTATTCATCACTCCGGATACCAATGTCGTTGATGTAATGGCAATTTGCTGCTGAAATTATATGGCATGAGGATTATAAGCTGCTAGCTTCAGTACGGCGATTTCTCAACTAACCGAGGAGGTGTAGAAATTGGAGTAGGGTGGTCGAAGAGGCGGAGCAAACTGGTTCAAACTTTTGGTGGCAACTGGCGATCCTAGAGAATAAGTGTATCAACTTGCAAGTCAGGCACTGGCTAGAGGGAGGGGCTAAATTATAATATTGTGAATTTTACTTAAATTAATACTTAGGTTGCAATTTATGGTAAGCAAAGGGATCAGGAAATGAAATAATAGTGGCCTAAACAACTATTGAGATAAAATAATATAAATAAGTTAAGTTTTAGAGTTTAAATAATGTCGAGAAGGGTTATTAACTAACAATTGTGATGGTAGATTCTTTATTCTGTTACATTATTGATTTTACTCATGATTTCGAAAAACAAGAACATTTTATCAACAGGGTCTGATAAATCTTTAATTTTTGGCATGTAAGATTTAAAAATATTATTCATAATTTTTTTTTTACTTATACCGAAAATTTCGGTAAGTCAGACACTTTTCTCATGAAATTTAAAAATTCAGAACATTGGGAGTTCTCAAGTGAGCTTTTAGTAGCATTGCTGGTATTAGCCTTGTTTGATTTTTTTACTGTCAGTATTCATTTCTGTAATATTATTAGATTAGATGCATTTTTAGATTTATCTTGTGGAGCAGAAGCCGAGTTAGGGGTCTGAGCAGTCGGTTTAGCTGTGGGGTTATTAGTCTGATTTTTGACCATATCAGCGAAAGAAATTCCTTGTTTGACTGAGTAATCTTTTTTTGGCTAGTTTGATCTGTTCTTTGGAAACTTTACACAACCACGATATGACGCAATGGGATTTCCGAGACAGTTGCTACACTTAAGTTGATCTGTATTTCCTTTAATAGGGCAATCTATAGACTTGTATTCTAGTGAACATTCGACACATCTAGGTGTGAAAAAATAGTTTTTTGTTCGAGTGATTATATCACTCGAACTTTTGGCAATTATATCACTGTGGCACTTGATTCTTGGAGATGTATTTTTCCACAGTGACAGAAAAGAGTAGTAAATCTGTAACATAAAAAATCTGATCTATAATTTTATTTTTCATAACCTGGACAAGGAAAAGTGACATAGGTGCTTTGGTTTTCCTTTTTATTAACTGAGCCACTTTGCTGACGCTAAATCCTTTTGCAGCTAATGCGTTTGCAGTGTTTTGTGTTTTTATGGTGGAGGATAATCCTCGAAAAACCACTTTAATTGGTCTTTCAAAATTAGCATTAATGACATAATGCTCTATTTTTTGTTCAGCAGTAAGGTAAGAGTTCGAAGGTCATCTTGTACTTTGTGGGAGTGTTTTCAGAAGTTCTTCGTTTACTTATTCCAAGAATTTAGCCTCAGTTTTCTGAGATAATTATTCTAGAAAATCTTCGTGGGTTATTTCATCTGAGTTAACCATAATTGGAGGAATAGCCTGTGATTGGCTGGTTGTCGGATGCTGGTGCACCGCTTGTTCACCTGGATTAACGCTAATAGGTAATTCTTTATCATTCTCAGCAACTTCGTTAAGAACGTTAAGTTTATTGACTGATTCAATATTAGTTGTAATTTCTTTCAATTTTTTGCTGCTTTGCAGTTTTAGTGGCTAATTGAAATCCTTCATTGTCGATATTATAATAGAATTGTTAGAGATTTTACATTTAGGTTTTCTTTCTTCTGTTTTTCTTTTAACGGGTAAATTAGTCCGGGGGAGGCAATGCCTAAAGAACAAGCAAGATTACACTTACCTCGTAGCTCTGCAGCTTGCCTTGAAGGTTTGAAGGCGCTTTAGTAATGGTTCCGTAGTAATATCCATATCGCTGACTGCTCTCATCTGCTGGCAGATATGGTGTAGGTATGTGGCAAATGCATGACAAAATGTTCCTTAAGAAACCAGCACTTTTGTACTGACATTGCGTTTTATTTATTTATGATAATGCTCGACTACATGTGATAGTGTCAACCATAGTAAATCAACAATTAACGAAATTTGCCTTATCCTTTATACTATTATGATATTTCAGAACCTATTATTATTTTTTTCCGGCACCTGACCTATTTTTCTTTAAGAAATACTTGCCAACTACGCATTAATTTATCGGATAGTGGAGAGCTTTATCACCTCTAGAGATGCTGATTTTTATAAACGTGATACAAATTATCTTGCCAAAAATGTATTGTACTCTGACGAAACCTTTGAATGAACAGGTATTAGTCTTATTTTTATCGTCTTTAAAATCGGCCATTTCGTTGGCAACAACCTGACAGGAATCGCCGCATATTATATTTTTGAAATATTGTGATACAATTATTCGTTTCTAAAGCAAATACCCAGTGTTCCGGGTGTCATCCTGTGGAGCTGACCGTTTTAGAGAGGTTTTGCGTAATGCAGTGGCGGCTCGTGGCTAAAATTAGTGGGGCTGCTGTTCCAAAAAAATTAACCTTCGTTTTAAAATTGTCTAAAAGAAAACAAACATTTATAAAAAAAATATTATTTTGAAACTTCATGAAATCTTACAAGAAAAAAATTAAACATTTCTTAATTACTTTAACCAAAATTGTTACAGTTCAATGTTTGCCTATTCATTTAAAAATGAAATCCATTCTTCTTGTTTTAATTTGCACGAAAAGATCAATAATTTTCTCCTTGATTTCTGGATGAGAACTGAGGAAATTTTTCTTTATTGAAAGCCATACAAGCGCATTTAGTCTTTCCGAATTCTTAGTGCTTCTTAGAAAAGCTTTCATTCTTTTCAATGTTGAAAAGCAGCGTTTTGCTTTTGATGTAGTCACGGGAACTCTCAAGATTTCACTAAGAACAAACATCATCTAGATTATTTTCAAAGATAAATTTCAGTAGCTCAATTAATTTGCAGTATTCATGGATATCAGACCTACAAAAGAATACTTTTAGATCAGTTTTTTTTTTTTTTGTCAATTATTAAATATGCTTCAGTGGTGAATACTATTTCTTCTGTAGAATGTCCATTCCTTAAACTAGCGAAGCATTTCTTGTTTAACAATTTAGCAGCTGTTAAGTGTTTAGTGGAAGAATATCTGTGCATTTTATCAATACATAGTTATAAAGTCACATATTTCCTTAGCTTCTACCATCAGTGTCTTTCAAAAGTTCTCACAGTACTTTGAGTTGCTTAATTATAAAATAGCAGTCTTGAAATTTGTTATATATTCGTTAACTTTAAACACACTAATTTCTCTGGATTGCATTTAGTTGTATATTATTTCAACATGAGGCATCTGATAAAAAAGCTCTAATCAAAAATAAAAAAGCTCTTGAAATTATCACCATTTAGATATTTTAAAATTCCTGTTGCTTTCGCAAATAGGAACAATTGTTTCATTTGTTGTTGTTGTTTTGCATTTGATGTTGATTTAATTTCAGTAAGGCAAGTTTTTAAAGGTTGCAAATTTTCATGAACTCTGTTTATGGTCCGTATGATGAAGTTCTGCCATGTGGAGGAGTACCACACACGCGGAGTAAAAAGAAATCACGTTTCCAATAACATGTCAGAATTTCGGCACTGCAAGAGCCATAGTGCTCTTCTCTCTGCCCGGCTCGCGTGCTTTCTGTGTGCGCATGCGCAGAACAACCAAACACCACGTCGCTGGAACTGTGAAGCGCGCAGTTCCAAAGACTTTCGTACCTTTGTCACAAAGTGACGGATGGCTATTGACATTAAGCTTAAGGATTATGTATTGTAAAAGTATAAAGAAAGAATTAAAGACTAAAGGGCACACTATATTAAATATTAAAAATAACAATAACTGGAAAAGGGGGTGCTGCAGTTCCACAGTTCTTATTACGAGCCGCCACTGGCGTAATGTCGAAGTTTTTGAATTGCTTAAATAAACATGGATATTTAGAAAAAACTCTCTAAGTTTTCAAATCACTTTCAGAGGTGGTCACACTAGGGTAGTCATCGCCACGAGAAGGTTTTCTACATTTTGAAATGTTTCTATTCTATCTGATTATTTAAAAAATGTCAAATATAAAGAACTTTTTCCAGATTTTCCGTCTGTAAATGGTACTGAGTTGTACATTTTTAGATTATAATTAAAATAACGCCTTAGTCTTTCAAATATGGTGTAGATATTCATCCTAGAATATTTCCATTATTCATATGCATCTGTTTTTCATCTTTCAGGATAATCAACGCCATCATCATTCATACCCCAAAGAGCCACATCCAAACGAAAAAGTAAATCTGCGATTCAGCCCTTCCATACTGAACGAAAAGAGACAAGTGAATGTACCACCATCTGATGGTGAAACCAAAAAGCACACCATTACCGAAACCAAAAAGTTTGACTCTATACACCACCACATCACTGAACTCTCCAACAAAGATCACAGTGGCCATGAATGGAGGCACGAAAAATTGCAAAAGGCGTGCACGAACAATCACAGGAAGAGCCATGAGTCTAAGAAATCAAAAGAAGAGAGAAACAATGTCTTTCAGAATCATCAACGAAAAGCCGTGAATGGTGTTATTCTTAAAACAAGTCCTTATCAAAACGAAGGTATGCATGCCCGTCTGCTGGAATCCGAGAAATGCAGAATGGAAATGAATGGCCACATGTTACAAAAGCCTCACGTGGTGGGCAGTGTTAATGATAGACTTGTTCCACCAACATATAAGACTAATTATCTACCTAGTAAAGATACTAGTCCTCAGAAGTTGTTTCCAGATAGTTATAATGTCCCGGTGCTGAAAAGTAATGTTGATTTAACACCTGTTGTGAGCAAGCTGGACTTGGAAGCGAAAAACATGGAAAAGAATGATTTAAAATGCATAGACGATGATGGGAAAGAAGAATTGAGGTTAAAGAATTTTCTCATAATTACAAAAGGGCCGCCTTTGAAATTTGATCCCAATCCACAGGTAAATATTTTTTCATTCTTTTAATCTTTTTATGCCATATTTTTCCTCCTGCATTCTCTTTTAATTGTGAGGAAAATCGCAGTTTATTTGTAATAATAGATTAGCTTTACTTGTTTATCAATAAGGCAGTGTTTTTAATTTAATTAGCTTATACTTCTAATAATAGTTTCTACTGAAAAGAATGCTACGTTTATAGAGTTTAATGAAAACATTTTAATAGTGAGCTTTGACTATTATCAAAGAAAGTAAACTAATTAAATTTTCAGAACTTTTTAAGAATAATATTAGGTATGAATTATATATGTTGAATGGATACCATTTTCATTAGGTCATTAACTGTTTATGAAAAATAAGATCTTAATAGTGCATGATCCTGCAAAAATCTTCCGCAATAGGAAGTAACTGAGGAAAAACAAGTTTGATGTATGCTTGTATAATTTAGCTGTTCTTATATCACAGTTTACTTCCCATTAAACTAGAAATTAGAGAAGTTAGGCGAGTTTTCTCTTTACATTATGTTTTATTAGTTAAACTGGAACAATTAATAACTGCTTTAAGTTTGCAGTATTCAACACTACCATTTTTTAGATCACAAAAATAAAAATTAGCAATCTTATCCGCAGCTCCTCGCAGAAAACAAAATGGAATTTTAAAAGCTATCTTGCTTTACATTTTGAATGAAGAGCTACTCAAATGCCAAAGACATCACAGCACAATATAGTAACTATTCTTTACTTTTGGTAACTCTTTGCTTTTCTAATTTTTACTGGTTTTACTGCCATTTGGTTAAGTTTTACTTTAAATAAAGATTGATCTCCAGAAAACTAAATAGAGAAATCTTGAAAACGATTCTCCCTACAAGCTAAAACTGAAGCTAGCAAAATATTACTGCCTCTTGTCTTTGTTACTTTCATTCCATTTTAGGTTTTTTTTAGCTGAGATCTGAATTTCTTTTCACAGATGTGTCAAAACTATTTCGAATTTTATTATTTCATTTGCATTCTTTACGTTAAGGTAACTTTGTTCTTAGGTTCAGAAAAATGGGTACCTCGGAAAGGGTACCATAAAAATGGCACATTATTCTTTTTATTGTGTTTTATTACAGTGTAATGAACTATAACGGGGACTAGAACTAGAATGTAATACTATTAAAGCACCAAAATACAGTTTTTCTTAATTCAATACTTTTTTTTTTCATTATACATATATATCCAATAGTTATTTCGTGCCATATTCATAGGTACATAGATGTATATTTTAGTATTTCATAATTTAATTTCAAGCGTTTAAGATTTTTTTTTTGGTAAATACGTGATTTTTTTTCTTTTTAACTTAAGATTTTTAATTTATTTATCAGAAGTCGTAACAAAAACGTAATCAGATATCAAATGTAAATAAACTATTAAAAAGGTGCAATTTGCATTAAATGAGCCACAAATGGAGAAAATTCAATTATCGTTTTAGTGATTAAACTTACATTAGCATTTTATGCATTTGCTGCCTAAAGAATTGCATTATAGCAAAATCACATTTAAATATATGAAAGCTTGGTGTTTTGTAGATTGTTATTCCTTAAAGTATTGTTTTAAAACCATGAAAATAAATTAACTAATTCTCACCAGTTTATTATCATCTTTTATATGTATTTATTTTTTAATTCATTAAATATTTCTTTTTACTATTTGGCAGTGCAGTAGTTGCTGACGTTTTTACCATGTTATTATTTAAAATAGATGCGTTCATTTAATGTCTCTTTTCTCCTCATGCAACTTAATTGTTTTCACGAAACCTTGACTCCCCTTTCCACAGCCGCAGTATCTTCGCCTTCGGGTGGGTGCGTTCGCTTCTTGATTTATTTACATACGCACTTGGCCTAAGGCATATGCAAAACGAACTGGTTAAAATTTTAACGTGATTGTGTACCAGTATACCAGAGACTATTAGGATTAGATTAACGCCTCTTTCGTCATCTTCTATCCTGTCATCCTGAACTCACTGCACTCATTCTACTTGAAACTCATTCTACTTGAAACGGCAAATTGGAAAATTGGAAATTCCATGGCAGAATGAATTTTCACCACTGAGTGATGTGCCGACAGAGAGCGATACAAATGATGCATTAGATATAGTAAAAAAGAAACTTCATCCGGTTGTAATCAACGACACTGATTTTGATTGGTGCGAGCTAAACAAAGAATTACTAGTGATTTGTTCGGATCAATTTGTGGCAGAGGTGAAGAAAACTTCCTTTATAATCTACGCGAAAAGTCAAAATGACTGCTCTTGTAGCACAAAGTCTGCATAAAAGAAACATTCCTTTTCACTCATATCAGAATAAAGTGAAAAACTAGTAAAAATTATTCTTAAAAGAGCTCTCAAGGTATTGAAGAAGCCATCAAAGATGGCTCATCAGCCAGACACTTTCCCATCATATGTTTAAACAGCTTGTGGGGGGTATGTCATATCATATGGGTTTTCGAAGAAAAATGGAGATAATACTGAGAAACTGCTTCTATACATACTTGATCAAAATGAATTAGGAAACGCCATCTAATGTAAACAACATTCTAATCATTAGTTTAAGGATAGAGGAATTCAGACTGAAAATTGGGCCAATCCTGTGCTGTACATGCCAAAGGTTTGGCCACACACAGCATCTTTGCTTCAGTGCTACAAGATGTGTGAAATGTAGTTTAAATCACAGAAGTGCTGAATACACTCTGAACAAATATATCAGAAGTATCACAAGTTGATGAAAATGTGCAATCAAACATTAATTTCACTATTATCACGATGGATATTATATACCTGCTGAAAAACTAAAGAAAGCCAAGTCACCAGCTGATCTTCTGAATTTAATTTTGAATTCAGCGGAAATGCTACTGAATTTTGCAGGAGAAGAATAAGTGCTGATTACTGCATCACCAACTCGACAACAGCAGAAAATAGAATCTGAAAGAATACCCTTCTTTGTGCCGCTAGATGGTGACAGTTTCGCTATTTTTTTTTTTTTTTTTTTTTTTTTTCCCCGCTTTAATCGGCGTTAAAAATTAAGTAACTGCCACCACTTTAGGGCAGTACTTATCAACACTGCTTGAAGCTTAATCAGCTAATGCGAATTTTACCACTAAAAAAGTTGCAAGTCTGATTTTTGTAGCAATTGATGTAAGTGTAAATAACAGTAGTAGTAATTAGTATTCGTGCATCGTATTACAGCTGTACAAAATTGAGAAGTCTTGATTTTAATCATCTAATAAATTGTTTAGGAATTATCTAGCACAAATCTCATATTTCAGCATCAGGGTACGCTATTTGTAGTGCTGCAGATTCCATAGACTGTGCTATAGTCATATTTTGCGCAGACGTTATGATATGTGTTATTGCAGTAAAATCAGGTCCTCTAACAGGGTAACTTTGAGAAATGCAAGATTTTTGGATTTCAGTCGATACAATATAAGAAATGGAAAACTTTTACCAATTTAATTCTAATATATGACGCACACGGGATTTGGCAACATTAGGATGGGCAGTAAACGAGTCATTTTGGTGTTGGTCACAATTTTTAAAATCGGGCCGAGGCCGTACCGTATACTAGGATTTTATCTTTTACCTATCTAAAACAGAATCTTCGGATTGTGATTTTTCTAGCCTTTTTTAAATTAAATTTATATATCTATTTACTTATTTTAATCCATGACTAGCAAAACTGCTGTTCTATGTATATACTTTTATATGCAAAGAGGAGAGTTGCATCTATCATATTTATATCGAAATGAACAGACAGAGCAAACGAAACGAATTTAACCTCCATCTGTCGAAGAAAACGGTAATAAACGTGAAAAAGCTATTAGAAATTTGAAAAGGTTCAGAAGGTTCCATTCCAACCCAATTCATAACAGTTTCAATTACTAATTCCAATATAGTTAGTTCTCCTTATGCTTTCAAAATTATAATCATAGCTTTACTGCTACTATAATTATAGCTTTACTATTATCATTACTGTTTTTCGCGATCTACGGCGTTGCTTTCGTTTCTCCTTTGCCTTCTCTACTGATTTCTGCATAAATATGATAGTTTTTCCTTGCACTTTTGCAAAGAAATTTTGCTTCTGATCGCCTTGAAATCGGTAAAAATTTTATTCAAAATTTACATTTTTAAAGTGCTTTTTTTTGCCTAATTTGTAACTCTTCCTGTATTTGAAATGAGAAATGAATGATCTTTATTTCTCAGAAAAGAATGATCCCATTATTAATGGCCGTATTCATTTCATTCATCATATAGCCAAGCATTCGAAATTTTATCTTCCTATCCAAATCCTTATCTTGTATTGCTTAATCATATGATGAATAAAGATTCACCAGCATATTGTGTGTTAAAATCAAAATAAGTTCAGAAAACACCTAGCAAAATTCAAAATTCTTGAAGTTTTATCTTTTTATGGGGAAATTGATTAGTGTACTATTTGAAAAGGTTCGTGGAGACTGGCCATAGGTAATTAATTTTATTTGAAATATAAAATTACTGAAGTGCGGCATTGTGTTCAGTGCTTAAGCGCCATAATGCAATAATCACATTTATTTCGGATATATGTGTATTTTCATCACGTCTTTCCCGGAACATCTTGTATATATACATATTTCCCTTTAGAGGTAAAAGCTTCACCTGAATCTTATATATTTTTTCTTTTTTTGTATTTCACAAATTTCGTAATGGTTTTATTGTTTAACTTAATGCTATTTTTCCGTGAACGCGTGGTATGAAATAACCTTATTTTATTTTCTAAGCTTACTTTACAATTCATAATAATACCAGCGTTTAAAAAGAAAAAAAATTCATTACTTTCGGTTTCTTGGATAGGAAATTTATATATATGTGTTTGTACTTGTGCTTCTTATTATTAATAGATCGTTAAAAATATTTAATAAAACTTGTTATATAACTATTCTTATTAATTTTTTCTTTAGAAAATAAAATTCCTGAAACTATTGGGATTGACGACTCATTTTAAAAGAAAAAGTAAGTGTATTTTCTTCTTTAGCTTAATAAGCTTCTTAATATCATACTTTTCTGTTTATTCTTCTTACTTAATAGTTATTCACATTTATAACTCATTCAATAGGTTGTTAAGGTTTATATAAATTTCTCCACTAATAAATCTAGTAATTTATACTAGTAAAAATTGCAATTATACTAATACTATATAGTCACTTTAATGCTAATAATTATACAAGTATTAAAATGACACTTATAAAATAAGTATAATTTTCCTTAAATTTTTACAATTTTTAATTATGTAGGTTTTAATCTTGAATCTAACAAAAATATTGTTCGACTGATAATAGTTGTTGGGTTCATTATGTAGTGATAAATACTTGGAGCCAATAGAATTTACTATTAGTTAAAAAAAAAAAAAAAAAAAGAAAAGAAAAGAGAAAAAAAAAAAAAAAAGAAAGAAAGAAAGGGCTATTAATTTTGTTTTGAAAACTTTAAATGTCTGTTTCACTTTTCAAATTGTTGCCACCAAATATTATCGCCCTATGTTATATTTAACGAAATAATATAATGAAGGATCTGCACAAATGTATGCATGTTAATCGCATTGTGATAAAACAACGGTACCAGAGCCATCAAATTTTGAATAACGCACGTCTCCACCCGAATATGAGCATCTGGAAGCCCAAATATGGAATTTGTTTTATTATATACTAGCCGCTACGCTGCCAGCATTCGTCTGGCTTTTAAATGTACCGTAAAAATGCCTAGAGGGAACTTCAAACATTAAATTAAAAACCTGCACAGAATTTTACTCTGCAGAATAACTTTATCAAAAACAATTTCAATAAAAATGTATCACATATTAAAAAAATAACAATGAAATAAGCAATATCCCTTAATACAAATATGAATTATATTCATATTCACGTAACGAAGAAAGGAATTTCATGTCTGCTATTAATTGAATTCAAAATGAAATTGTAAGACTAATTTACTAGTAAAATAAATGAAATTCATTTCTTTGCTTTGGATAATTTTATTTTCTCTGCTGATCTCTTAGTAGATTACCTGCATTTCATTTTTGAAACCGTCTTTTGTCATGGATACTGCGGAATGCTCATTAAAATTCCCGTACATATAATTTTAATTGAATTAAATTCATTATTTGAAGACATTTATATTATTTTACGTTGTATTCTTCTCTTGCTTTAACCGGTTATTACATGAGAGTTTAATAATTTTCCAGCTAAAATTTTAATTTATCTGAACTTCTGTTTAATGTCAGGAAGAAGTTTTTCAAATAAACGGTTAAGTGGACTTAAAAAGAGAAGGGGAAATAAAAACCTAAAATTTTCTTTTCTCTCTCTCTCTCTCTCTCTCTTTTTTTTTTTTTTTTTTTTTTATGTTAGTAAAGTTGGGGAGAACTGTAGTTATTGTTTGGAAAATACTTTCCCTCCAGTAAACAAATAAATTATTGTCAAAATGTGAATTCGCAAGGCGGCGAAGACCGCTTCCGTTGATTTTATTACATGAAACTCACTGCATTTGTCGAGTACGGTATGCGAATATCCTAATTTGTGCCAGCAGCAATTTGAGTTAATATGCAAATCAAATCCGTAATATCAATGGCCGAATAAATATAAGACCGTTAAATACTTATAATTCGAACCGAACCCAAATATCGGCGAAAGGGTTGCTTGTATAGATGTTTCTGTTGTCTTCCCCATGTGTAATATTTTTACTTCATGCAAGGCCCTCGTGTGCTTTTCCATAGTAAAAAAAAACTCAAACTTAGATCTGCAAATATATCTGTTAGTAAAAATTAAGCGAAATTCCAAAGTAACCATGCAATCCTAGATATTCTGAAGACGGAATATGGAGATGAATAACTTTGGGAAATTAAAATCTAGGTTGTCTGTTGGGAAGGTTGCCAGTATTTCAAAAGTCATCATTCTGTGATCTTGTGGTTGTGTACGAAACTTCAAAATAACCGAAAAAGAAGCATAAGACCAAATTAAAGTTAACCTTTACGTAACACCAGCTACAGAAACTTCTGATAACCGTATGACTCAGATGCACAGGTGAACAGCAGCATCTGTTGTACGTTCTCGGTTAAGTCCAGCACGAAGAAAGGGAAAACTGCTGTTTTTAGGAATCCTTTGTGCTGTGTTGTTTGACAGTCGTAGAACTACCGAATTTTAGAGGTATCCATGTCATATCGCTTAGTGGACTTGCACGTTTAATGAGTAGTATATAATTTTATGCGTGTTTTATTAGCGTGTTATTTAGTCTCTGATTCTTAATTGTTTAGTTATATGTAAGAGGTTGATAAACCAATTTGGTGGAAAGGAGGAATTCTTCAAAGCAGAAAATAGCTTGATATGGGGTTTTAACTCCCTCGTATTGCATGTCGTGTCTCTGAATATTGTTTTCTAACTGCTTCATGCGCGGCCCGGTCGGGCTGTGCAGCCGCCCGGTACAGTTTTTAAATTTTGCGTCTAGATGCTTCTCAAATTCTAAAAATTTTGCGGCTGTTAAGTTCTGCCGTTCGGTGCAACTGCATTGGTTGCGCCGGCTTTGGTGCCGACACAGATTCAGAGCGACATTTCCATCTTAGATCAAGTGCTTTACACATACGAGGCATCTTAGTAGCTTTGTCTGTAGCAGAAGTTATTTAAAAAAATCTGAAAGTTTTCAGATTTTAAATTACGTCCAAAGGGGTATCTTTAGATATTACACAGTTCCGCGCACTGGAGATGAACAGTCCCCCCCCCGTAGAGTGTTGCCATTGCTCGCTTTTAAATCCTTGAGTTTGTTAATCAAAAATTCGTTAAAGTTTTACAAAATATGAAATCGGTAATAAAACAAATTTCAGATTTGGGCCTTCAGATGTCCATATTCGTAGGAGTATTACGTCATTCAAAATTGGATGGCTCTAGGTACCGTTGTTTTATCACAATGCGAGAAACATACATACATTTATGCAGATTCTTCACACTTTAATTTCTTCAAATATAATACAGAGCGATAGTATTTGGTGGCAACGATTTTGAAAAGTGATACACCGTTTATAGGGTTCTGACGCAAAATTGCAAAACGAAAACGATATTCCTTCAGGGACAAAGCACGTTTGGACTAAAAAAAAAAAAAAAAAAGAATTCTGAAAATCTTTGATTTGAAACAACCGTAAACGTTGAGACGTTTCAAGATATTGCGTAGAATTACTGCTGGAAATTGGACATTGTTCTTGGGGATAATAAAATGGTGCGACATGTATCATAGAGCAGATTCCACCTTGAAGATGCTGAAGCAGTTTATTAAGGATAATGTTAAAATTTAAAGACCATAGCCAGCAAAATCTATCCTAATCAGTACAAATTATGCTTTTCTTAAGATAGTTAAACTGTATGCATATAATAAGACTCGAAGATCTGTAGTGAACAAAATTGCTGGTATGCAGAATATAAGAGAAGGGAACCTTTACGGTGTTGCTAGCAAATTGTGAAATGTGTAGGCAAGTACACTGAATATTATTTCTACTGTATGTGGAATGCAAAGCATGTACTTATATTATCTGCGAAAGACACTTTTAAACTGAACATCATGTATATTTATTAATTATAACAACATTATACATTATAACAACAACATTATATATTATTTTTTAATCAGGTTTGCATATACCCTTATAATAATAAATACTGTACGAAATATTTTCAGTTTTCAATTTTACATGCTTAGAATGCATCACTTTTTGAAAAATTATTAGGGAGAATAATATTTTGCATATGGTGAGAAGGGAGAAGACGATGTAGATTAACCAATTTTGTAAACGGTTATAGCCAAGTGTTCTTCACAACTGAATCGAGATTTGCTCTACAGAATAACAATCTTCGGATTTTAGTGTAAACAGAAAGTAGCTCGTGTTATCAAACGGCATTTAGTTGGTTGTGTTGAAATTATTGTATGGCGAGAACTTTATTTCATTAGTCGCTTTGACTTCAAAATCTTTCGAATGGTAGTGATTGCTTTAAACCCGAATGAGAAGTCTTGCTCTAAAGGTTAATTATTAAAATAGCTGTACGTGAAAATAAGTAAATATTAAGCTCTAGTCATTTAAAACTTATTAAAAATTGCTGTTTTATTTTATTTGAAATAGCTGTTATTTTTAAATTTGTTATTTTTGTAATGTATCTACCATATTGTATTTTCTGTTTTCAGAAATTGAATTTGATATGTACCTGAAGAGGAGAAAAATTCTTTTAGAAGATTCTGAGATTCCACCCCTTAGTTCTGTGGATGAGGATGAGAAATCTGCTCTACCTTCTGTAAATGAAAGCAGTCCCAAAATGGAATATTTAGCAGAAAAGCTTAGATCGGAAACAACTCCCGAAAAATTAGAGTTTTTCTTGAAAATTGGACTCACGCCTATAACTTTGGTAAAAAAAGAAGGTAAAACAAATTAGTTTTTTTTTTTTTTTTTTTTTTGGTTGTTGTTGTTTTGCTTTGTTTTCACAACTTTAATTTATGCAGAATTTTCGTAAAGAAAGTAAGTACATTATAGTTAAATGAAAAATTTCTCTTTTTGGCGAGATCGTCTCTTTTACAGGAAAGTAAGTTAAATCTTTCACAGAAAGGTAAATAAGCAGAATTTGTTTTGTTTTTTATTTCACAGATAAGTGAATTTATGACGCCAGAATCAATAGTCTGAATACTTTTTTTTTTTTTTCATTTCCTTTCCTTTTTTTAATCGCACACACAGAAGCATAAAATATATTTAGTAACTGGTTTGCTTGCGGAAAACACGTAGGGCCAGTTTTAAAGCACGCTGTTAGTCCAAAGTAAAGATTTGCCTGTAAGGCCAGAAACTCGATTTGTATCGACGGAAATTCCAATTGTTATCGAAAGATGGCGCCACCACTGTAATAATCATGTAAACATACTATGCTTTGTGTTACAATTTCTTAAAAAAATTTTTTTCCGTTTTCCGAAATATTATAAAACTTTATTACCATATTTTTTTAATCTTGAAAATAGTCTTAATCTCCATTTTGCACGCAAATTATCTTATTAGTAGTCTTTGCATGAATACAGAAAGAATATATAAAATAGATAAAAAGTACCGGTAAAAGTATATGTTAGGGTACACCTTGGCGATTTTGGGCTGTATATGGGTACCGAATTTGTGCAAGTCTTTGACTTGTTATTTTGGCTTGTGTAGCAGCGATTTTGCGCCAAAAATCGTCGCTATACAAAGGCAAAATAACACGACACAGAATTGCACAAACTCGGTATCCATCGACCTATTTTCACTTTAAAAAAAAAATCCTAGAATTGCACAAAAATGGCATTGCGCACTCCCTTGACATTACCCGTGTACACATCGACCTATTATCACTTGAAAAAACATCCGATAATTGCACAAATTAAACTTTGCGCACTCCCTTGAGTTTTTCCATGTACACATCGATATATTTTCACTTAAAAAGCCACAGGAGCACCCAATTCTACAGTAGAGGCAAACAAAAAGTGCATAATCTCAATAAACTACATTTTAAACTAAACAATAAAATAACATAGAAAAGGAAAAAATCCTGTTATGCACTTTTTCCCTTTCGTTCCAAATCGTACAGAAACTTCAAATTAATCTTACTACATTCATCCATTCTACCGTCTAAACAATAAAACAAGCAATCTACTTCCTAACCACACAACACCACAAAAGCCCTTACAAAACATCCTATGATTCAAAATTTCCCGGAATAATGCAAACGGTTACGTCATAATAGATTTTCCATAACTTTCAACTACTCAAGTTACCATAAATGAAACAACAACTTGGCGATAAACGAAACAACTTAGCGATAATACAAGGGGTACCCAAAAGTCAACTCTAATCAGAGTACCTTTACGTACAATCGCATTAGAAATTTTTGACGAACATTTTATTACAGAACGAAAATGAATGAAATTTCTTACTTTTGATTTTTTATTTAATAATTTTTTTTTTTTATTTTTTAGTAAATTTTATTTATTTTGATTATTTAGAAAAAGAACGTATCCGACGAATTGTCGAAGAGGAGAAACTTCGACGTCATTACCGAATATTAGCGAACGTCAATCGAAAAACTTCCCCACGTCGATTGTTTGTGCCAAAAAGTGAAGCTGGTAAGAATATGTCTGAAATTTTTTAATTTCTAAAAAAAATTTTTATAAATTTATTTCAATTTTGAAACATCTTTAACAGTTACAAATTTAAATGCCGGATGTGTGAAATGTACTAAAATGCAATAAATAATTTTCGCTAATTCTATAAAGAGTTCATCTTCAATTCCCAATTAACCGGGGTGGATTAATCGGGCTCTGTCTGAAAAAGAAAAGTTTAATTTTTTTATTGTGAAGCAATGAAACATTATTTTTACAAGCCATCAGCGTAAAGCAAAACTGGCTATGATAAAAGTACCGAAAAGAGGGGAAAATGCATGGGATTGTAGCAGTTATAGCACATGTATGCCAGATGAATTCTTGCAAAAAAACAAAATTCTTAATCAATGCGACTTTAAATTGAATGGAATTGTTAAAATTCTTTTGTTAGCATTGTTCTTTGATACAATTTATAACTCCACTTATTCATTACTAATGATGTTTATCAAGGCGTTATTAACAATGTGTTCATATATTATTTTGAATACTGATTCAATTTACGTAATCAAAAGAACTTACTGTCCGGTTTAAACTGCTTGAAAATAAACGTTAATTGTTGTTAATATTTTTCTGTTATTGTTTTTGTGTTACTTTATAATTAATATTCTTCTGTTATTCATAATATGGCTATCCCTATTTTCTAAACTTTTTTAACTTCCCTCGCATTAATCGTTATTTTTAGTTAACCGTGAAAATTCTTTCCCTTGATATCACTGTTAATCGTATATTAATTATCTTTTTACTTCCTTGTACGAAGTAAAAAGGAAGTATTGTAAGCGCGAAAATTTTCAGGTAGCATATTTCAACGAAAATATCCAATTTGACCGCTATCGAATGCAATTTAACGATGTTTTTGCGTGATATCTATACTTAAGAACAGAATAAAACACTCTTTTCATCCCAAAAAGAATTATAAAACTGCTTTAAAATGAATTCTGAAGAAAATATTTCGTGGCGTCTGTACGAACGTATGTACGTACGTACGTATCTCGCATAACTCAAAAACGAGTAGCCTCAGAACGTTGAAATTTTGTATATAGGACTGCTATAACATTTAGATGTGCACCTCGTATTTTGGTTGCAATCGGTCGCACCAAACGTATATAAATATATTTATATATATATCCACTCTGTTACCCGGCTCAGTGATCTCAATTTCTTTACTCTTATATGTTTGTAAATTGTGCATTTTTTGCTTTAAAAATGATTGAATTATGTTGTTCTTATCTTCCAGGTTAAGGTTTTTATGCCTTTTAGTAAATCCTACATGCAAGGTTTTGTAGAATTATCAACAATTTTAAAATTGTTTGAAGTGCCGGCTAAGCCTAATAATTTTTACCGATGGCGGCCATTGCTTTGTTTACATTTGAAACTTAGCAGAATAGTGGATTTGTTGCCAATCTAGAGAAACTTAGCTTCGCAACAACAAAGATAATACCTTCATTTATTATTGCGAATTAAATCATGCTATAATACTGTTAAGTGAGCCTAGCGCCAGAGTGTCACTATGGTAAACAAATAGAGTGAATTTTAAAGAATGCATTTATTCTTGGTTTATGCGCTGTCGGCGAAGTAGATTTAATTCAATCCAATAAGTTTAAATGAAATGCAAGAAAAAATACGTATAATTTAATATTCCGTACAAGGAAGTCATGTGGTGTACACATCAGATATTTAAGTTTTATAAACGTGTTGAAAAACCTAAATGACGGAGTGAAACTTTTTGTATACAGTGGAAGTCTCAGTACCAAGTTGCAACCTTGAAGTACGAGTACGATCAAATAACTAGACATCACATAGCAAGAGTTGGAAATTCTTTCTTGATGCGTTGCTGGTCCGAGAGTTCTTATAGAAAAGCTTTAACTCACAGGCTCAGAAGTATGAATGAATATGCGAATATGCGAACGGGAAGTTAGCCGATATGCTTATTATAAACGTTTCATTTGGCCGACAGTAGATCAGGTGTAATAGTTTGGTGCCTTGGGCTGCTCGATTACCAGACCTCTCACGCCATGATTAACTTCTTGCGAGAGGGAGGCACACTGTTGTATGACAGCGCCAGGAAACTTGTATGCATCGCAGTAGCTACCGGAGAAATCCGAGCCCTAAGCCGCTGATAGAAGGCCTGCTTTACACTTCATAGTGGACACTTAACCTTCTTTGACCTCTGTTACTTTTGCGAACGTATATTCACGTGGTAACCTTTCATTTCTGATGTTTACCATAAGCACATGTCATTTTCGATCTAATAATGATGCTATGCGATTCCGAATCGTCTGGGTGTCCCTTACTTGTTCTATAAGTTTGTAACCCACGTATAGCTCATTAAATAAATATAAGTTTTTTATTTAGTCCCTAATTTTATGAGTATGAAAAATTACATATTAATTTTTCTGAATCAGAACAAGTAATGAATGATTTTAATGTAACTACTGTTCACTTTCTGAACGGTTTTAAAATCTCGTTAGGAAGGTAACTGTTAATGCACTGATGTTTTGGGTTACAAATGGTGCCACCACCTCTAGGGATACAAATAAAAATATGCTTGTGTATACTAGCATGAAAAGCTTAAAAAGCAGTCATGTTTTCGCTCACAACTTTTGTAATGAAGTGGTCTCGATATCGGCAAATCATACAAACGAAACTCCACCGATAAACTAAAAGTTATCACTTTTGCTAAGGAGTGCTATGGACAGAACTAAAGTCGATATTACTTTACCCATGAAGCAGATGAAAAACGGGCTACAGTTCCGCCTTCTACTTTTAAACTAATTTTTTTACTGAGCAGTATTGCTGACTAAATTGAAAATGATATTACATCCACTGATGTTCATTGTAAAATGGAAAGAGATAACATTCACCCGGACTTGCCTTTAGCAGTAGTCCTCTGTGAGATTTCCGAGAATTGCTAGAAAATTTCGGGTTGACACCGATATTTGGAAATGTGATTAATGTATATTAAGATCAAATAAAATAAAAACTATTTTTCATTTATTTAGCCTATACTATTACTTTTATGATAGAATTAGTTTGAACTCATATATAAGCTAATCCCTTTGCTTCAAAAGCAAAAATGCTGCTAAAATATCAGGCCTTATATACTGTAAGGTCTAATATATGTTGTTTCATATTTATTCAAAACAAATAAATAGCATGTACGTTGTGTCTTTAAATATTTTAATTGCTATTATATATAAATTGAATGCTGCGTTAAATAAAAAAACAGTGTTATTAAGTACTTCTGTTTATTTCAGCACATAAACTCGACCACATCAGGAAAATGAAAGAGCGAAACTGTATAGCTAATGGTTGGTTATCTAAAAGACCGCTTGAAGAAGAAGAGCAAATGTATGATTCAAATTTTTCATTGCCTAGTCAAATTTCTACACCGAAAACTGAGCAAGGTGAGTGTTAAAAATAATATCTTCCTTTATTCAAAATTCATTACTTGTTTAATATTAAATTTTTATTGGCATCATTGTTATACAGAAATCACGGCAGATAGATAAATACGGCATCATGACGAAATGCGCATATTTGGATTCCATACTGGGAAATTTTATTAGCTTATTTAAGCTTGAATGTCCTCATTTTTGGTAAATTAGCCAATTTTAATGTATATAAGACAGATAAGAAGAGCACTAGAAAATTTTATTAAAAGCTGCTTTTGTTGCTGTTGTGACTTATCTCACTTGTCTGACAGTAACGTCAGAACAAACCCACGAAATACCTCGTGGCAAGGAGCCAGAGATAGGCCTGCCGTGGGCAACAGCTTTGTGCACCTTACAGGTGACAGTGCGTCTTAGCTCAGTTCCGCCCCCCCCCCGATTTTGATGGAGAGCATCCGGGAAGAGAGGGGTCCGAGGCGCTCCCACAACTCTATTATATATCCCTTTCCCCTTCCACCAAAGCACACGAGAGGCCTTTCGGCTCGCCGCATATTTAAAGTGCCGCCATGCCTTACCGATACTATACATTTAGAAACATCCATGCGTTCTCCGGGATTCGAACCCGGACCCTTCGGCGCGGTAGTCAGCGACGCTAACCACTATCCCCGTTAGGAGGCAAAAAAACTCTATTAATTACCTTCAAAACTCATCATAAAAAAGCATTTTTTTCCCTAACAACCAGTTGAAAACTTTTTATCTATTTAATATTAAAAAATCTGATGTGGACACCACATGATTTCCTTGCATGACCTGTTAAATTACACACATTTTTTGCTGCATTTCATTTAAAGAATTTCCTCAAATTTCATTAAAGATGTATTTCTTATTCAATTAATTCAGTTTTCACTTCGCGGCAAAGCAAAAATACATAAACACTCCAAACATTTTCATTAAAAAATGTAAAATGCAGAAAAACAGTGTTACGAAATGTCCAGGCGCGGTAAGATAGCTTCCCCGCAAAGCAGGTTTAGGGTTGTCATAAAATGGCAAGAGAAGGCAGGGTTGCACATTTGGCGAAAAATCGCCCATTTGGCAACATTTAGCGACAAAATTGGCGATATGCCATAGACGGATGGACAACCTTCTGGAACGAATTCTTACCGGTTTAGCCCAGAATGTTCTCGAACATTCCAAAAACTATACAAACCCTGCTGGTACGTGGAGAGTCAGTGTGAGATAGTTAGTCTAGAGTTAGTCAGTCCGTACGGAGTCGATCGAGTTGACAGCCTGGCAGCGAGTGCCGAGTGGGTCGTCGAGTGTATCGAAAGTTTCTACATGTATCGCGGTGAGTGCATCCTCGAGAGAGTGTGTTGAGCTCCGGGAACGACTGAGCCGAAGAGAGCTGTGCTCTGTGTGTCGTCGAGTGCATCGCGAGTTGTAGCGTGGAGAGTCTCGAGAGTATGGAGTTACCGAGAATGACCGAGCAGAGTCGGGAGCTGTACTCTAGTGCTTTGCCGTGAAGCTGTCTTCACCGTGATAGCCTGAAGGCTGTGTCGCTGATTGTTCCAGGGTGTTAATAGTAGATCTTCGGAGACTGTAAAAAGTGACTTTAGAGCTGTCCTGATTAATATTAGCTAAATAAAGTGTGTATGGATACTTTATCAAATGCCGTTTGTCATTCATTCCAAATTCGCACGAACCCGTACGTACGAACGTGAAGTAAAGGAAGAAAAAAAAAACGTAAGAATAGAAAACATCAGACAGAGTTAAAAACAGTTAGAAAAACAATTTTCACAATTAAAATTAGAGTCTCTACACAAAAACAAGCAGTTCGGCCATCGGGCAGGAAGACAGATTTTTCGGTGAACAAAATTGAAAGGTTATTTTTTGCCCCACTCGGCAAAAAGACACAGAAGTTGATGCAGAAACTGACTTAATTCACTCTTCTACTGAGAGTTTCAAATGTAAACAAATGGCGGCTTCGAGAGGCTTGGTACCACTTAAGCAATCTTTAAATTTTTGATAATTTTACTATTGCATGTAGGTATAAAGGCATAAAAACGTTAACCAGATCATAAGAACAACAGAATTCAATCACTTTGATAGCAAAAAATGCACAATTTACCAACAAATAAGAATAAAAAACTGAGCTCATCGGGTCGGATAACAGAACGGGTGCATAAATATATATGTACATATACATAAGTATGTTGCGGCCCAGAGATGCACAACTACATATTATAGCAGTCTCATATGCAAAATTTTAGCGTTCTGAGGCTACTGTTTATTGAGTTATGGGAGATATATACATACGTACGCACAAGTACCACGAAAAAGAATATCTTATGAATCCATTTTAAATCAAACTTATCCGTTTTGGACAAGAGTTCTTTATTTATATTATTTTCATGCAAAAACATCATTCAAATGGATTCGAGAGCGGTCAAAGTGAATATTTTCGTTGAAACATGATACCCGAAATTTTTAGCGATTACAATACTTCCTTTACTTCGTACAAGGAAGTAAAAATGAGATTCAATAACAGCAGGTTTTTTTTTTTTTTTTTTTTTTTTTTTTTTATGAATAGAAGTTTTTGGAGATACTGCAATGAAAATTCTTAGTTTTCATTTCATATTATTTTTGTAATTAATAAAACAAAAACTTATTAAGAACTTTGCCCTTTACGTAAGATTAAAGCTTTTGAAACTGTTAATAAGTTTTTATACGTACTGTATGAACGAGCAAAATTCTTTCGTAATTAGTAAGTTTTCATACGTACCGTACGTACGGCAATTTTTTTAAGTTGTAAATAAGTACGTATGGGAAGCCAAAAATCAAAATTTCTGGGATTTTTGATTTGCCCGTACGCTTATCGTCAATTTGACCCTACCTTTTTTTCGAAGGGGGGGGGTGACTGTGTTTCGCTTATTTTGTCACTCGTATTTCTTCGTAGGTGTTGCCTTCCAGATGGCAAGCAATAAGATAATTGGTAAGTGTTCGCCAGATCAAATCCCACTAAATCACTATAGAAGGTTTCGTAGTTTTCCCGACGTGTAAAACCTCTATCACAAATGCTACTTATCCTCAACTGAGTGTCAATGGAAACATTTCCGGGAATCTTCCATTTTAGGAAATCTGATTGATTAACCTTCTCGAGACGAGCTGCAAGCGGAAACGTTTTCACCAGCCTCGTAAAATGTTGCGGAGACGTATGCGCAACAGATCGCTGAGCGCAAGTGTTTCAGCTAGAAACTCCCGTTCAAGCTATTTCTGAAAGAAATGTTTTCTTTAAAAAGTTTCTTACAGCTTCGCGATCGCTGTGTGTGATAAAGGTATAACACAAATATGATCCTGTTTCTCTTGATTCTGAGACCGTTGGATCCGTGAACCACGCGTTAACCGTTTATTCTGAATATACATGGAGAGCGTTCTTTGCTCATCAGCAGTCAAATTTATAGTAAATTAATGCGGTAACCGCTATTTATCCGTCACGTTATGATTCCATTTCCAATTTATGATTTCATTTGAATAAAAATAACCGTTTTTATGAATTTTGTACCTTCGGTCAGAGAGTTAAAAAATTCTGCAAAAAAAACATCCCTCCTCAAGTAGATAACTCTCACTTGCCTTGATATAATCCAACCCAATAATCCTTGCGGATATTTTTCGTTTCATGATATACTGCTTTCATGTACTTTACTATTATTTTGAAAATCAAATTTAAATTTCTATTGTATCAATAGCAAAAAATGTTTAATTAGTGGATGATACTGTATGCATACAGCTTATTATATGGAATTAGAGATATTGATTTGAAATTTCTGTTAATGATTCTAATATCTGTGGCAGTTCTTTAAAACACTATTCTAGAGAACGAATGAGGCTCACATTGTTTTAGACAAGTAAGGAGCTTTCATGGAATTGATTCTGAAGTACTTCTATCTCTTCTACTTCTTTTTATGGGCAGTCTTCCAGTTCATTTGAGTACTGCTATGGGTGCCTAAAACTTTCAGATTTACACTGCATTTAATGAGAATTTTTCGCTTAGCTTATAAGTTGAAAGCATTCAAAAGCGCATAGCTTAAATCACTCAAAACAGTGTTTTTCAAGCATCCGTTCTTAAAGTAAAAATATGATACTACATCCGAATGGCAGTTAGAGAAGAGGATCCGATGAGAAACAAAACTTTAATACTCTATATTGCACTATACATCTCATCATGGTTAAATTGCATCAAACAAAAACTCATTTTTAAAGAAAAAACAGATATATGAAAGACAAATAATTAAGTAAATTCTTTATATACAAGGTGGTTATAATTAAAGTTCCACTTTCAAATGGTCATAAAAGGAAAACTACAGGACCAAATGTTATCAAATTTGGTAATCGTGTAAAGCAGGTCATAGGAATTTATTTGCCTCGGAAAAAAAAAGTGCAGAAACTCACCATCGGGGAAAAATGACGCTGTAATGTAACATTGTTAAACGAAATAAGGGTCGAAATCTAACTTAACCTATTGTTACAGAGTTTAAGGGGTATCAGAAACCCCTATACCGACAATGTTAAATTGGCCATTTTCGATGTACCTTTTCTCAAAATCTGCTGTAGATTAACGCTTGAAATTTTTTGTGTAATTAAAGTATACCTATTTGATTATGCTAAAATGAGCTTTTGAAACATTTTGAATTTTAGAGTAATTTACAGAATATTTTGTTAGGCATAGTAAAATTTAGCGCTTTTCTCACACAAAAAACTTTTTAAAATTTTTTATTCTAAGTTTATCACAAAAATCTCATTTCAGTAAATATTAGGAAACCTAATAAATAAGCCATAAAAATTTTAGATACCTGTAAGCAGTAGTTCCTGAGAAAAGGTACATCGAGTATAAAAAAATCATGTTTGGAGAAAAACGCGTTTTTATGTAAAAATCCTCATTGATCAAAGCAGTCGATGACATATTAAAACTAGATTTTTTTACAGTTCTAATTTTCATAGAGATTAAAGAATGGTATTTTTAGAAAGATAAAAGTGTAGAGAATTTGAAAATGCAAAAATCCGAAATCACAATTTTTTGAAGATTTTGGGGTTCCAACACCCCTTAACATGTTGTATGCCCTTAAGAAACATTGACCTAAACAAAATTACCATTTAAAGGCAATAAAAGTCGAGTGCGCCATCCATGTAACGAAGAACTTCGTCCGTGAAAAGTTCAGTAGCGGAATTATAACTTTTTTTCATCTGTCTACTTTTAGCGCAGAAGTAATATAGAAACGAGGTTAAGATTTTTATGAAATTATTCATGAAGAAACGGAATTCTCGGGAAACTTTGGGATTTTAGTTTTGTTTTATACTAGTGGGTAATATATCGCGGCATATGTTGTCCTTCGCCATATGATGTTGCGTGGCCCCAACTTGCCAGCAACAGTAGTAGTGACTGCTATGAACTGGAAATTACACAAACTCTTGAGAAGGGTTTAACTCCCTTTTTATTTCACTTTAGAAGTCACAGTTGCGTTCACTTGACGCTCACAAACAACGCCGACCCGGCGGTTGAAGTTGAACAAAATAGACAAAATGCAACTAAAAATAAATGACAGGATAAATAAATAACGAAGTCACTACCTACGAGGCTCTATAATCGTAACTAACTTAACCGCGTTCTAAGATACAGCTGAGATTCAGCAAACTTTCTGATTAAGAATTTGAAAGATTCAACGAACTGTCGAAATAGGCACACAGGCCGAAACGCGCGGTTCTTAAATTTTCTACCAAGCAACCTTCACGCTCGTGATTCAAGAAGCACACTTACAATCTCGTTTCCCTTCTATTTAAACTCAATTTATTTCTGATAAAATTTGAATACTCTGCGCGTTCTACTACGATTTACATACTCTGGCATTGGCAATTCTAGGGGAAAGTAAAGGCTTGATAGGAAAAATAGCTTAAACTTAAAATAAATGTTAGTTAAAATAAATATAAACCCTACAGTCATCTCTAAGTAATATCTTATTCTCTGTAGTCACCTTACGCGGTACTGCGCGTTTTTAGTAATTTGACCTGGTGTCGTATGATCAGTATTTCTGATTTCATCAGCAATTTTTTTTTCTCGAAGTCTCTGAGAGTGCCTTTGAGACATCTGATCAACACAGTTGTAGTAAAGAACCTATTTTCTTTAATATAGCTGGATTCATCAATTGACCTGATCAACGTATTAGCTACAGGTTTCTGAAAGTTTAGCAATCATTAAAAACCCTGTTCTCAGAATCGGTTCTTAAGATCCACAGAATAACACACCCTCACTTGAAGTAGCACTGCGTCTGTTACTCATCATCTATTTGCTGCGCAATTTCTGTAGAAACTAAGTAACCAAAAACGCGTAGATTTCCAATCCGGCATATTTTTTTCCCGTCAATATATATCTGATGGACGGTGGAAGTTATTCCATCATCCGTTAAGGCCCATCCGTATCCAACAGGTGTATGTTGCACGTTTTGTACTTATACATAATGTTGCATATTATGTGGTGAAAACTTGAGGCTGACTAAGTTCATAGACGTTCTTGATGGCTTTTGTGTATTTATTCATCCTTAACCTAGATCAGTAATGTGGGTTGGTTTCTATATGAGCCATCATAAATGTTCCCACATTTGAGCCGTTAGTAGTATAAGAAATTAAGGATCAATGATTAAAAACTGGTTCATTTGCCAATTAAAATAATAAAATTTCATGTGTGACAATATATTTAATGAGGAAATATTGTAGACTGAAAAACGTTAAGTTGGAAAGGTTGTTCTATTTGTAATGTTACTCATTTATCTTCAATAGTGCCTTATCCCGTTACTGCAGAATCAAGCGACGTCGCGTTGCCACCTTCGATAGAAGATGCTCAGTCGCATTCATCAGTGAACAAGTCTTTCAACAAATACTCCTTCAAAAGGGGGCACAGCTTGAAAAATGAATGGAGGTTTGCCGAACCGAAGCCACCCACCAAACGTAAGTGCAGTGAAACATCAAATCTATAATTTAATTAAAGAATAATATAAGATGCTGCATCAGATTAAAAACATTATTCTTTTAAAAAAAGTTATAGAGCTTTTGATTCGTTTTGTCGTGTTCTGTTGTAACTGAATCTTTTCGATTTTACGCGAGCTTTACTTCTCCAATTCATAAAAAATGCTAAAACGTATTTTGCATGGTGTCCAATAGGTCACTAGCGACACAAATTCTCTACCTCATGGAAATTTTTCTGCAGATCTATATTTCACAAATCAGACATATATCATGCTATTATCATATCCTACATGCGTATACGAGTAGTACTGTGGAAAACAAGGAAGAAAGTAAAGAGTTTCCTAAATAATAAATAATATATAATAAGGAAAATAATATAATATAATAAGGAAATAATAATAAGCGAACTTATATAATTATCGACAATTAATTGGTAATTATATATAAATTGGCAATGATAGGTATATGTGTAATTACATAACAAGCAAAAGAGTATGTTTCAAAATGTTTCGTTATCCGCCAAAAAATATATCCCGTCTTAATGGCGGGTGTCTTTTCACACCTTGTGAATTCGTGCTGCATATTATACAAAATATTGACACTAGTTCTTATTGATGTTCAAACATGTGCCTCCCTAGATGGTATAGTGTTTAGAGGAGGCTAACTATTCGTCTAAAGAGAAAGGTACAGTTCAATTCTCACATAAATCTTGGTTGCGTGTGTATTTTCTTGTCCTTTTCTCGCTGGTGTAATATCGGTAGCTTCCTATAAAGCACGCCGAGCTTCGTTCTCAGTGACGAGCTGGTTAACTGGCTAATGAATTTAGCTATTCTCAATAAATGCATAAAGAGCACGTGTCTATCCATAAGAAGAGAAAAAAAATACTGCTTACATTTATGTATAATGCCGAGCATTTTTTTTTTTTTTTTTTTTTTTTTTTTTTTTTTTTTTTTTTTTGTGGGGGGGAAGGAGTATAAGGTGCGAGTGGAAATGGTGGAAATGTATATAGCTTGTAGTTCCTGAAATGGGTGCTGATTTTCTGCATATACCCTCGCGTTGGGCTTTCCTGGGATGGTATCAGATCACCGATTGGACACAGCTTACCACTGCGCTAGATGCGATTTTCCTGAAATTACTACATTTAGCACAAAGAGACATTTTGAATAAAGGTTTGTAAAGTAATGGCAGCTTGACGGTAGTTATAAAAAAAGTATTACCTCCCCAATATCATCTTCTGTCAAATTCGTCACTTCCTGGCATATTATTTGAAGGCGTCATACACCATCAGCATATCCACATCCGCTGATACTCCATTATGAAACACTAAAGTACGATATTCTTCTCTTAACTATTGTAATGATTCTTTCACTTTTTCGAAGAGGTCATATTCATAAGCCTCCCAGACAGTATAATGATTAGGGAGCCTACTGCAATATCAAAGGTCCACGGCGTGGGGCATTCTAAATATGCGGCGAGCAGATAATCCTCTCGAGAGGTTGGTGATAGGAATGAGAGGTGGAAGACTCTCGGATCCATCTCCCCAGGATGCTTTCCTTCAAAATTGGGGACGGAACTGAGCGAAGTCGTACTGTCACCTGTAGGGTACTCAAGGATCTTGCCAACGACAGGCGCAGTCTTGCTCTCCTTGCCACGATGAATTTCGTGGGCTTGTTCTGATGTTACTGTCAGACAAGGGAGATGAGATAAGTCACAACACAACAATATACACCGGAATCCGAGTTTCAGGGCAGTCGCTGCGAAACTGACGGTGTAGGATGCCTTTTGTAATTTGACAGAATTTGATAGCGGTGGTAGGAAATTATATTGAGGGATTGGAAGTGTTTGTACGTATGATAATAAGTCTTTTCAGAGTTATCGATGTGTTACCACTATTTTTATCCAACTTCAGTACATCTATCCAAATGTATCGCCGCATGTGATTTGAAAATATTGAAACTTATTATTGGTACACTGTAGTCTGTGATTTTAAAACAGGAACTTAAAAGTTATTTTCTGCTACCTGACTTGTCTCATAACCATGGGAACGACGACTGCAGTAGACGATTTCAATCGGCTAAATTTTTTCCTTCATTTAATTTCCGTTTAGCCTGTTCGCTTCATGAAAACCGCGCAAATAAATGTTGACTTGAACATTTTGTTTGTTGACACATCTTAAATGAAGTGCAGCGTTGCCCAATCTTGCAATTTTTCGCAAATATGATACTTTTGTCAAACCTCTGCGACTAAAATTTATCTGTATGCGATTTGACGAAATTTTTGCTACTCTATCATTTTTTATACTAATTTTTGCGACTTTAAACATTTTTAACATATCGTAAAGCGCTTATATGTTAAAATAACGTATCTGATAAAATAGGTTTATAATAAATTAAAAAAAAAGTTATTTAAAGTTATTTAAGCTAAAATATACTTCTGGCAATCCTGAGACCACAGAGCAGGTGCACACAGTTTTCTGTACCAGTGGTTGGTGTTGTCACGTGCTTAATTGATTAATTTTTTTAATCTTTAAAATTTGTCAATAAGCAATGTAGCTGTAGAAAGGTTCAACGAAAGCTTCGACCAAAACCAGACATTTCAATTGTATTTGCAGCCACAATTTACATGATACTCTAATCGTGCCTATTCAAGAACATTCACATTTTTGGCAGAGCGAAATGGTGTACAAGCAGAAACAGAGGTAGAAGAAGTGCGCAGTTATCCAATATGGAGTCTTACCAATAGAAGGTTTTTGTTTAGACTGCTTGTTAAGAGAAAGGTTTTAATTCTCGAAATTTTGAGTTCATGTTCCGAAGAAGCTACATCATCAGCATTACGCAAGCATTACGTGATTTTAAAACAGGAAATAATAGCATTACGTCTTAATTTACGCAAGCCACAGACTGATCTAGAAATGATCCAGAAAAGTTATTATGATTTTTAGAATGGAGAGGAAATACCCTAATTAAAAATGAGGAATTAAGCAGCTTTTGATAAATTAAATTATAAATCTGGTTTACATATTTTTATCTTGCATATGTCTTGAAAGAGGAAAAGGCTTGGCGACAGAAAAGCTTTTTTAGAAGAAAGCATTAAAGCATTAGTAATAAAAACCTTAAATTAACTGAAAATTAATTAAAAGAAAAAATGAATATTTAAACAATGGACAAGTAGCAATATAGTTTTAAAATTTTCGTCAAAACTAAGATAACGTAATTCAAATGACTATGAATCAAATTACAATCCGTAACTTACGGAACTGAATTTGTGATGACGTCAGATGGCATGTGAACATGCATAACTATGACGTCATGTGCAACTTTTTGCGACTTTTCGATGCTTTTCCTGCTACTTTAGTTGAAAAATTTCTGGCAACACTGATGAAGTGGAGAAAAGTTCTGTGCGGTGATGCCGACACGCGTTACGGTCGCAAATGGGTAATTCTGACAACGGCCTTGAAGTGCCTGTTTTAAAGTAACAGTCTATAGTAGTGAAGACTTTAATATTAAGATTTTTTTTTAAATTGCTAAGTTGAACAAAGAGTATTGAAGAATTGCTAATACACAGTAACTATTTACAGTTACAGAAAGCTCTGGTTTACAGAAGTGGAGGTAGCATTCAATTTTCATTTTTCTAACAAAAAATAGATTAAGCAAATCTCACTTACCGTTAATCGATAACTTTTTATGAGTTTAAGCGAGAACTTTTTAGATTAAATTCAGTATGACGGAATTTGAACTGTAATCTAACTTTCTAGACTGCCAAATGATCCGTCTTCATCTGTCAAAATAGGAACTCAAAATAGGAAATAAATACAACAGCCGCCCAGATGGCATAGTGGTTAGGGGAGCCGACTACGATACCGAAGGGCCCGGGTTCGAATCCTGGAGAAGACATGGTTGTAACTGTCCGTCCTTTCATAGAAGGTAACGGTGGCCGCCTATTAGGTGCCTCGACAATAAAATGGTCACCGCCCCACGGTGTTAGGGGTGACCAATGTAAGGGAAAAAAAAGACAAAATAGTGCCCGCCATTCAAAAAGTGTAATACAACAAAAAATCTACTTCAGTTAGAAGTACTGTAACAAGCAAACTTAACTTCCGCTTCTAGAATAATTGATAGATTACAGTCAAAAATTTAACTTAGATCCTAAACATCTGGATTTGGAAGTAACAAAATTTTCGAGTGGAGGAAAATTCACGACTGGGTAGCTGTAGCGCTAACAGCTGGCAGTCTTAGAGGTCCACTGCCAAATGGCTGAAGTTAGCAGACCTGTCTCTTAAACTCAGATTTATTATTCGTATTTAAAATTCTTCTTATTTACATATTCGTGTGGAACAGACAAAACAGCAGAGATGTAGGACACATTTATAAAATGTTTAAACGTTACAAACTCATTCCCATTCTCTAATTTGAAAAATGATTACAGCAAGAATTTCAGCATCTGTAAGCAGGACCAACTAACAGCACTAGCGATGAATTATTCGATCGATCAGGAAGTGAGCTTTTGATCATGCACTTTTACATTAAGCTAATCTGCGTGATGTTAATTCATACGCAATGAGATGAGAATGGGCGTGTGCTAGAAATGAAATCAATACAAGGATAACTGAAATCTTAACTCTTAGTTGATGATTTTAAAAAACTTACACGCTATTGTGATGTTTTTCACGTTATATTCAGAAATAGCGTTAAAAGGATTATCGTTCAATTTATGCGTTAGCATTTTCCAAGCGATAATATCGTATCTTTCTTACACAATTATTTCATCTATCAGTACGTGTGTGAATCTTGAATTTCCATTTAATTTGTGAATATTTAAGCAAAGCAGGATTCGTTTTCGACTGAACAGTACTCGTTGCTTTCAATTAGCACCGCTTTCAAGTGGATTTTAATCTTCAATAGTGCTGATTTCTCACGTATATGCTATTTTAACGACTGTATATGCTATTTTAACCTTATGGGTTATCTTACAAAATGGAAATTCAGTCAAGCTTCTTAAAAGGTCGCATTTAAAATTTATGGAACTTTTTTAAATGCAACTTTTTGGCCGTCACTTAAAAGTACAGAATTCAGACATTTCGTTATTTGGAATTTACCATACGGAGTTTTTATTTGTTTTATAGTAAATACTTTTTGTGTCAACAAAAATAGAAGGAATATAGAATTGTGGAATAAGATCCCTTTGCCGTGTATTCTGACTTCACATTTTCCCCAATTTATTGAATTGATTCATTTAATTTCATTTGAAAATATGTAAGTTATGCTAAAATTACAATAAAATCATTAAAATTTAATTTGATTGTTTTAAAGCTACATGAGTATTACTTGTATATCATTCAAAGTTGTACTTACGCTTAAATATTACTTAAATTTGTCAAAAGGTTGTTAAGAATTTTTTTACTACATGTTTTTTTTTTTTCTGCTTATGGAATAAGGTTATTATTCTATACTAATGTGCGAAATTTAAACTATAAATTCAATTTTCAACATACAATATGAAATTGTTGAAAAGAGCTTTTAGTGATCAGTGCAATGAAAAGCCAACTCAGGTAGAAAGGTGATTCATATGCAGATAGAGCACCATAATGTCAGAGGAGGAAAGAAAAGCGCATTTCCAGGCATTCTTCAACAAGTAAAAATTAGATTGTACATGCATTATGATTACAAGACATCGGACATCGCTGATGGTTCTTGAGGCATCAACCGCTATGAGTTTTGACCCTTGGGTGGGCGCTGTACTCTGAGGCCTTTGGGTGGAAATAGAAGAATAAGCGCTTTTACGCGACTTAGATTCTAAGTTAAACAAACATGAAAATGTTATTTGCTGTATGGGAAATGCATAATAAATTTGAAATTTAATGAACATAGATGTAGTAAATTGCATATCAAGAAATTGTGTTCTTGCGATGAGGACTTGAAAATTATTTCCCAAGTATAAATGCGCTAATACTAGAATAATGAAAATGCACTGAGAGTAATGATATGGGTTGAAGTAAGGTACAACAAAGTCCTGTTCCCGCTTTGTCTGGGGCAAAGTCAATTTCTTTTCAAGTTATATGAAAGTTGAATACATATGATTACAAGAAAACATCGGGACGCTTTTATACGTCGTAGAATGATTGGCCAGCTTGAGGGTATTATTTGAAGTTTGTCGCCCAAGAGTTTGGAACTGATCAATGTGTTGTTTCACGAGCTTGGAAATCCTTCTGAACACAGGTACAGCTGTAAGATAGGTTGGTGATGATCAGCCAAGGAAAACAATGGTGATTTATGATGTCGGCGAAGGAAAACAACGGTGACTGTCTATGATTCGATATATTGCGCTGCAGGTGAAAAGAGAACGATATCAGACAGCGGGCAACATTGTTCAACAGTTGAGCATGGCAACTGAACGACAGGTGTCCCGTTTTCTGAGACCAGACGATTTCACAAAGGTGGCTTATTCACCAACCTTCCTGAAAGCTGCAAACCATTGAAAACAACCGATTGACGGCACCATTTACAGTGGTATAGAAAATGCAAAGACTGGACACTTCGGCAAAGGAATTACGTCCTCTTTAAACATGAGAGTCGTTTACATGAAAGTTTAAACATGAGAGTTTAAACATGAGAGAAACTCTGACAAGTGATTCTCAGCGTCGGCTGATATGGAAAGAGGTAAGGACATGCTTTTACCCCGTTAATATCAGGGAAAGAGACTGTTGGGATGGTCCTGCCGTTCTTGTGCAGAAAGGCTTTATGATAAACGGACAGACGCAGCTCCACAATTTCGAAAGAGGTTCAGTTACAGGAGATCGTTAATGTTATGAAGTTATTCTCCCCCATGTGTTTCCGGGGTACCCTTGGTCTCAACTTTGTTATGGATGAGATTCCTTGGCCGCATAGGACTCATGCTCTTGAGTAGCTCCTGGAAGGAAGATATCTTCAGAATAGATTCCCATCGTGTTTCCCTAATTTAAATTCCACTGAACATGTGTGAGAGAGATACTTGGCAGCACAATTATACCCTCCAGAGAATACCCGACAAGTTAAACAGATGCTCCATGAAGAATGGGAACTTTTACTCTAAAAACTGTTTGATAATATGGTGATGACTAGTGACAGACGATGGAAGGCAATGACTGCTATTCGGGGAAGTCATATACCCTACTAAGTTTCTTTGGTTTGTTGTTCTTCCTCTTAGCCAGATAGTTTTGTGTACCAATGCCAGTTCTGTCAATAAAGCTTTTTTCTGTTTGTTCCGTACTGTATGCGTCTTATTCATTTTCTTTTAATATAATACTTTCATCATCCTTTAAGCAGTACATTGTGCCTCTGTAGTATGAATTTCGTGTATCCCAGTTATTTTGCGAAATTGCAGACAAGATTTGAAAAGTTGCCTAAGTTTTGCACACTTGTATGTAAGTTGTTGTACACTTGTTTTTGTGTGCCTTGACTCCTAATCTCTCTGAAAGATCTCCTTTCACGTTCATAGAACGCATGAAACAAGTGAATGCTGGTATATAATCTTGGGTTTCTGTCCCCAGTGAAATTTCTGTCCCCAGTGAATTTCTGTCCCTGGCACTAAATGACAAAATTTTTAAAAGACGTCTAGAAACGCATTTATTCCTGTAAGACAATTGAATATTGCATGCTTGAAGAAAGAGAGGATGATATTTTTAACATGTCATTAGATGGTAAGATGTTTTAATAGAACTGTTTAAATAAATCGAAAATTGCATAATTCATCTTGTTAAGTATATTTAGATCGAAATAGTCTCTTATGAATAATTACTATGCTAATGAAGCAGCTTTTTTGTCACTTGAATAATCACATTTTGTGCTTTCTTGCAGACAATCATATGCTGACGACCCAGTCTCAGAGTGGACTGAATGATTCTGCTACCAACAATCGTACAGTTAGTTGCAATTCAGTCAGCACACAAGTAGATCTCACTGTCTTGGGAAGTGCTACTGAAAGCAAATCTTTAGCAGTTCTCAAGAATTCATTCAATTGGCCAGGGTTAGAAGCAATCATGGAAGCTTTTTATAGGCATCAGAATGGTATGTACCAGTTTTATAAAAAAAAATTCGTACATACATATTTCTTTCTTTTTCCCATTTAATTTCATCTCGAGAAACAGAAATTTCGGTCTGTAATTAATTTTAAAATAACATTAGATGTTCTTTTATTGATGAATGATAATATAATTATAATAATTTTAAACGAGTGCAGTGATAAACTTATGAAATATCACAAACGCATAAAATAAATATTTATTATTTCATAAGTATGCTATTTAGCTATTAAGGTTATGGCTGATATTTTTTGTTAAAATTCATTTTAAATTATTAATTTAGACAGAAGAAGCAATGCTATTAAATTTTAATGGTATTAATATCTAAATGCATTAAAGTGCAATACGTAATTTTAATAAGCACTATCTAGAATTATAAATATTTTGTGTAACATACAAAAATAAATTTATGCAAATGCTATTTTCCTGTCATATTCGAAAAATTTGATTGTTAATCAAAATTACTAACGTTTTAACAAATTGTCTTGCATTTCAGCAAAATATGATTACTGCTGAGATATATACAATGGTACTTATAAACATAAAAGTCATTTTGGTAATAAAATAAGGCAACATATAGACAATTATAAATTATAAATCTGCAGTGTCATATTTGCTGTAAAGTTTCTGTGAAAGTAAGAAATATTAAATTGATTAGGAACTTAATTCATAAACAAATTCATTCAGTATTATATTATATCATATCACAATTTCGATAGCTATTTCACCTTATTAAGTTCGAGTTTTCCTTTTAATATTGTATTCAAAAGAATTACTGGGTAATAAATAAGGTATCACTGGCAACAAACAGCTGATCGTTTCAAATCAATGCATTCATGAAAAATACTTTATTGAAATATAAAGAAGGAAGATATTCCTTGTTTTAAATGAAAACTGTGGATTCCTTAACACGGTTAACTTTTTGAATTTAAATCTAATTTCCTTGTTCTTTGCATACATACTCTTAATTAACCAACATAAAGTACATAATGTAATATGACAATATATGATGTATTACCTAAAATATATAATAACTGAAAGAATAAATCATTTTAACAATAAAGAGGAGATTTTTTTTTTTTTTTTTTTTTTTTTTTTTCATGAGACGGATAAAAATTGCTGAATATAGTTAAATGTTCTATTTCTGTTGTTTGAGAGCATTTAATTGGGTTCAATTTTCATAGGCTAAAGCATTTGGTGTCTTTAATGTAGTTACAAATACAACTGAGATGTAAGACAGCAACACGATTTTAATTAACTAAACTGCCTAAATTATAAAGCTGTTTATATGCAGAAGGGAAAATGTATTAATAAGAAATGCTCTTGATTTGGAGCTATGCCTTACAAAAAATCATAGATTTGGTAAATATTGAAAAATACTAGACTTTCTATCCAAGAAGCATACATTTTTTTTTTCTGTCTGACTTCTTAATTCTGTTATTTGGCATTTCAGAATGATTTTCATTTTTTTTCTTCTAATACCAAAAATTATCCTGACGGAATAAAAATGATGAATTTATCAAATAATGCTCAAATGTCTAAATTCCTGTAATGAAACAAATATGTATGAAATAGGCTTTTGAAATTATGTACAATTTATATACCTTTTATTATACACATATATATTATAAAATGTTTTGTATTCTTTACTTGATCAGAACAATCAAGTGAGAAAACTATCTTATCTGAACGATGTCATCATTTGCGTCACTCTCAAGAAGAACTCAAAAGGGAAGCAGATAGCCTCAGTAAACAGATGTCTGTAAGTGTATAATTAACTGTTTATAGTCCAGTAATGCTTGAAAGAATCCAGTAGTTATCGAAAATAATCTCGAGGATAGCCCTGATTTTTATTGCCTTTTTTTTTTTTTTTTTTTTTTTTTCAGATCTATGCCTCTTTTCTCCAGCATATGAATTGTATGATAAATAATAAAAACACCAGAAATATTTGTAAGCGCAAAACTAGTGGAATAAAAGAAAGAAAATCCGAAAAAATTCAGATTTTAATGTCGCACAAGAGGATTAAGGTTTTTATGCTCTCGCTAAGCATTGCAGGTTATCAATCTGCAAAATTATAGCAAATCACTTTTTAAACTATTACCGCCAAATATTATCGCCATGTATTATATTAAAAAAACTAAATAATGAAGAATGTGCATGAACGTTTCTCGCATTGTGAAGAACTACTCTTTATGATTAGTAATCATAAGAGTGATGATGATTACTAATCATAAGAGTAGGTACTTAATGCCATCAAATTTTGAATAGCGTAGTTCTCCAACCGAACATGGATACTTGGAAGGTATGCTGTTTTGCTGTCTTTAAATACTTTGTGATATTGCTCTGAATTGAATTTGATGTGAAGTGCGAAGAACATGATAATTAATCAATAAAAGTAACACAAAACGTTAAAAAAATTCCCTTTTGGGCGCAATATAAAATTTGAAAACTTTCAGATTTTTCTTTTCATTTTTTAACGTTTTGTGTGTTACCTTTACTAATTAAATATCACGTTCTTCGCACTTAAATCATAAAATTCAATTCAACAGCAATATCGCAAAATATTTAAAAGAGCATAGCATATCTTTAGAATTTCCGATATAGAGTCTTGCGCGTTGGAGATAAAAATGTCCCCCCCCCGTACAGTGCTACCATTGCTCGCTTTGAAATCGTTTAGTTTATTAATCAAAAATTCGTTGAAGTGTGACAAAATATGAAATCGGTAATGAAGCAAATGTCAAATTCAAATTAGAGCTTCCACATGTCCATATTCTATGGAAGATTACGTTATTCAAATTTTGATGGCTCTACGTACCGTTGTTTTATCACAGTGCGAGAAACATACGTATATTCATGCAGATTCTTCATTATTTAATTTCTTTAACTATAATACAGGGCGATAACTTTTGGTGGCAACAATTTGAAAAGTGAAACAACGCTTATAGAATACTAGCGGGCAAGCCCGCCAGCTGAGCGGGCTGAAGCCCGCTTATCATTGTTCGTTTTTAAAAGATATCCTATGTTAAATTTGGCCGGTATTGAAAAGTTGAACCGAACTACCATTTTTTAGCGGCATTCCGCGGGCTTCCCCCGCTTTTTTCACCTATGCATCCAGAAGTTACCGCATACACTATACATATGCGGAAAATCACGAAAACACCCATGCTTCCAGCCCTTTCGCGGATATTCGAAATTTGGACCGAAATACCAGTGTTCAGCGCTTTTGGGCGGGAGCCCGCCCAAAACAGTGTTCACGTGTGCATGCAAAAGATACTGCGTACACCGTACACATGCGTAAAATCACGAAAACACCCCTCCAGCCAGCCCGCTGCCGATTCGAAAGTTGGACCGAAATACAATTTTTCAGCGATTTTGCGCGTGCTGTGCCCGCTTTCAGCGATTTTGCGCGTGCTGTGCATGCTGAAGATGGTGCATAAACGATACACATGCGTAAAATCACGAAAACAAACATGGAGCCTGCCTGTTCACCGGTATTCGAAAGTTGGACCGAATTACCAGTGTTATGTGGCTTTGCGCGGGCTCTGCCCGCTTTATTCACATATACACCCAGAAGATACTCCATACACTATACACATGCGTAAAATCACGAAAACACCCATGGAGCCAGCCAGTCGTCGGGATTCGAAATACCGCATTACCAGAACCGCATACCAGTATTCTGTGCCGCTTTATTCACGTATGCATCCATGAGATTACTTTATAACGATACACATGCGAACAATCACGAAAACACCCATGCAGCCAGCCCGCTCGCCGATATTCGAAAGTTTGAGCGAACTACCAGTGTTCAGCGGTTTTACCCGGATCCGCGCGCTGTATTCACGTATGCATCCAAATTTATATACAGTACCCCGGAATTGGAAAGTAGGACCGAAATACCAGTGTTCAGCGATTTTGTGGAGCGGGCTGCGCCCCTTTATGCAAATAAGCATGGAGAGGATACTGCATAACGATACACATGAGTTAAAGCAAGAAAACACCCGGGGAGCCGCTTCGCGACACCGAAAGTTGGATCGAACTACAGCGTTAGAGTTTTGAGCAGGCTGCGCCCACTTTTTATCACATATGCATCCAGAAATCAACTTTATACACTAACACATGCGGAAAATCAGGAAAACACCCATGCAGCCAGCCCGCTCGCAGAGATTCGAATGTTTGACCGAACTACCAGTGTTCAGCGGTTTTACCGGTATCCGCGCGCTGTATTCACGTATGCGACCAAATTTATGTACAGTACCCCGGAATTCGAAAGTTGGACCGAACTACCAGGTTCTGTAGTTTTGCGCGGGCTGCTCCCGCTTATTCAGTATGCATGCAGAAGATACCGCATACCGTTACACTGCGAAAAAATCCCGAAAAAAACACACATTGAGCCAACACGGTCGCTTGGATTCGAAAGTTGGACCGAACTACAGTAATCAGAGGTTTTGAGCGAATTTCGGCCGCTTTATTCACTTATGCATCCAGAAGATGCTGCGTACACGAGGCAACATGCGTAAAATCACGCAAACACCCATGGACCCAGCCCGTTCGCCGGGATTCGAACATTAGGACCGAACTACCAGAGTTCAGCTTTATTCATTTATGCATCCAGAAGACACTGCATACACAACAGATATGACAAAATCACAAAAAACATGAGTGTAGCCTGCCTGCTCACCGGGATTCGAAAGTTACCGTATCCATCTCAAAGGAGCAAAGAAAAATTAATCTAAAAAAAAAAAAAAAAAGTGGAATTTAATTTTTATTGGTGCGAACTTATTTAAAAATTCATTTGCATTAAAAGATAATATCTAAATTAAGTGCACGTATCTAATAACATAAAAAAAATATATATCCAAAAAATAAAATTTATTATTAAAAAAATCACAACATATTTTTAAAAAATAGCTTTTTCAGATTTTTTAATTAATATCCCAGCTGATTAAAGTTGTACAACTTCAAGAAACGTCATCATTTAAATTTCAATGTAATATAATAACTTTATTCAATATCAATAAAAGAATAACGTGACAATCATCCACCTGAATTAAAAAAAAATTGTGAAAAGCAGCGTTTATTTAAATGCCTACATTAACGAAATATTTTAAAATACAGTTAGGTAACATGCAATCGCGTGCTTTATTCAACTTTTAGAATATAACCTTGATTTGTATCTGCGGCGATTCAAGAAACTGTTGCAATCGGAAAATAAGCCCGAAAATTAGCATTTTCAGTTTTTAATTAATATCTCAGCTGATTAAAGTCGTACGAAGATGAGAATAGTATCAATGGATTCCGAGAATCTTTTGCAATCCGGCGATACCTGTCTCGAATTCTAACTCAGCGCGGTTCCATAGATATTTGAAAAAAAAAAGAAATTGACATGTGACCTTTCGCCAGCACAAATCTCGAGTGGAAGCAATTGTCTCCCCCCCGGCGCTTTCGAAAAAGCAATTTTATCTCACCTAATTTCGAGACTGTTGCCAATTCGAAAAATGAAATAACGTTTTCGCAGTTTTTAATTAATAACTCTGCTGATTATTGTCGTATGAAGATGAGACCGGTATCGATGAATTCGTTGATTTTTTTGGCATCCGGGGGTATGCGCTTCGAATTCCAACTCAGCCCCGTTCCGTAGATATTCTAGAAAAAAGATTTTGGCACTCGGCCAAATCCCTAAAATAGGGAAAACCCGTGAAATAAAGTACAAAACGTATGGAAACGTAGGGGAAAATTAGTTTTTAATTCATATCTCGGCTAATTAAAGTCGGACGAAGATGTCGATGGTCAATGTGGCTTTCCACGGACGCGACGAGTCCAACGGTACCTTCCGCTAAGCTCTGCACCCAGCCGTTCTTGAGAAGATGATGTTACAAACACACAAAACAGACAGAGGCACACAGATTTTAATAGTATAGACGTGAATAGACGCAAAATGCCAAAACGAAATTAATAGTTTTTCTGGGCAAATTGCCCCTTTGGACTAATAATAATAATACAAAGAAATCATAAACAGTAATAATAATACAAACGAAAAATTTAAATTTATACTTATTTTACATTTGAAATCTGTAGGCTGGTACCTGAAAGATGTTGTTTTTAATAGCTGTAAATGCAATTTTGTTTACAGCTAAAATATTTAAATTTAAGATTAATATACGTTTCATGTAATTCTATGAATTAACCACTAAATAATTTACTTTTAATCTTAATCCGAAAACTGAAGCGTCACCAGCTATCTGCTAGCAAATTAAATTTACTGTTTGAACCAACATGGAAGCATTTTCTGCCTAACTCTAATCAGGCCTGGCGTACAAATAGACAGCGACAAAAACACGATCTACTAATTAATCTATTCATTCTGTCTTTTTTCATTCAAAAGCAGTCCTGCACATAAACTTAGTCCAAATCTTTTTGTCTCTAAAACTATGAGCACCGTATTTGCAATAAGTGCTTAGCTAATATCTATTCGCTTGCCTTACAAAATTGCTTCAGGAGCCCCGAGTTTGAGACCAATGCTCTGTATGACTGCTTAACGGTATGAAAAGGATGCAAGTTAACCTTTTGCTGGATTCCGAAGTACTTTATTTCTTGTATTTTTCTAGAAATACAAATTTTTATTCAAGTAACAGAATGAATAATTATTCTACTCATTTTTAAATGCATGAGTTGTATCCAATTTAATTATTTTTTACCAGTTTCCTCTTAGTTGTAATTTTGCGTTTATGTAGCATTAATTTCCTAAGAAAATTCCTTGTTAAAAAAGGGGGGTTAAGAGAGTACATAACATTTATGTCGTTATAAAACCTTTCATTTTACAAAAGACTAATGTATTTCTGTGATTCTTTGGCACCACTGATCCATAGAATCATACCTATCAAACGGCCAACTAAACAAGCGGTAATTCGAAAAACTGATTGCATTGGATTTTCGGGGTTTTCCCCATGTGCAACGTAAATATGAATCAAATTTCGTAGTAAATTTCTTTACGAAGGTGTTCTTATCTTAGACATATAGCCCTCATGTGCTTTGCCTTATTAGCCAACTAATCAGATGCAACAGCTAGTGTGGCCAAGTATTTAGGGTACTGTACTACTAACTGATTCCGAGTAAAGAGAATTAGCATTTGAATGTCAATAATATTATTGGATTCAACATCGAACTTTTTTTTAATAAAGCTTTATTTGTTCTACCTGCAACTTACTTAAAAATTTACAAACAGATCCTTAATCGAAAAACTCATATTGTCAGCTGTAATTGTAGTTGTCACATACAAGTTGAACTGCAAAACTTGAAACTTTCTTCTTATTTTATGCACTATCCCTAATTTTTTTGCATTAGTAAATTTAAGGAATCTAAGATTAAATCATTATGAATAATCCTGTACTTTTATGTAAATAAATAGTTTGGAACTTGTAACTAAGTGCGATTTCTTTTCTAGGAATTACTCAAATGCAAAAGAGAATTAGAGGAAGAACGACTGAAGTACCAGCATTCCATTGACCGCTTAAAAAAGTGCCTTCAGTTGGGAAGGTAACAACGTGTAGTTAATGTTCCGGATACTGTTGGAAGCCATCTTGTGCTCTTCTGAAATACAGTATTTGATGGCAATTCTTTGAAAATTGTCGGTGATGCCCCAGAAGGCAACAAAAAGTATCTCGACCTCACCGAATTGTATATGCAGAGACATTCCGCAAATTTTTAACCTATTATGCCTAGTCTGTATTTTTGTTCCTTATTGTTTTTTACATACATTTGTTTCCCTGAAATTCATGCAATTGCAAGTATGTCTAGGACCAAACAAAAACCCTTATTCTAAAAGGGACCATTTCAAAAGTATTTTAACATACAAGTATATTCTAGTGGTTTTAAACTAGTCTCGTTTCATGACAGCTGAACGAACTTTTCACAGTTGACCCTTTGTATAAAATGTATTATTTCTGGTACATATTTAAGTGTCATTTATGTAAAGGAACACACTGTCATGAAATCTTTTTCCTTGTTGATATCATCGTACAATTTTGTGATTTACCTTCATGTTTTGCACATTGATACATATACTTGCGCTGTTATATTTATATTTTACTTTATTTAGGTTATAAGAAATTAAATGTGGTACATTCAAAACTTGTTGATTGCATTTCTTTTCAGAGTCATTTTAATTAAATCTATCAATTTATAAGCAGGACGAACGGTTTCATTTCATATAATAATTCTGCAGTAGATTTTATATAGTTCCATGATAGATTTTATAGAAATTATTAGAAATTTTAAAACATTCTGCAAATTTCATAAGAGGAAAATGGATTTAAAGCTAAGCATAACGCATGCAATAGGATTGGTTTTAGAAGGTTTTTTTGACTCTGAAGTAAAATACTTTATTTTTCAGTTTTACCAAATAAAAGGGCTGTCTAAATATAAACATAAATTTATGCGCTGAACTTTATTCACTGAACAGAGAGAAACATGAGCACTATTTTTCCATGTACTCACCTGCCACTGCAAATCACGTGCTCTTAACTCCCCTTCCAAAAAATATTTAATTCCAGAAGATTAAATCTTGACTTCGTGATGATCCATTCTTGCACAGCATCAATAACCTGCTCTTTATACCTGAATTTTTTCCCACCTAAAAATTCTTTAAATAGACTGAAAAGGTAAGTCATACACTGTAAACTGAGAGAGACGTTCACCTCTAACGTGATTTTTAAATCAGGAAAGAGGAGAAACACGCCAGAGTAAAACATACAATTAGGCAAAGCAAAAAAAACCCTTGTGTTTAGCATAGATTTTAGATAAAGCAATCGATTTTAAGGGCAAACAAGTACAGCTGCCTCTTCATCAGGAGCAAAGAAATCTGCAATGAAGGAAAAGCCACGGTTGTATCTATACCAAAAATTTTATTAGCTTAATTTTTCAATTTTCGTTACTATTTCGGCCTACGGATGGCGCTACCTTCTCGTTCATTTTACTGCTTTTAAGTACAGGTACAACCGTGGCTTTTCCTTCGTTGTGTACTTCTGGCAAGTGCATATAAAATTGAAACGATGCAAAGAAAATTAGCGTGGCCCCTGCGCAAGAATGACACGCAAGATCGTGAAGCGCTCCAAAATTATGTGTCATGATAGCTTAGAGGTAAAGCTCACGGTAACAAGATTTAACATCTGGGGTCGCGAGTTCGAATCCCATACGCTTTTTCCACCCTGTCTGCAACTTTCTATTCTCGGCGGGAGCGTTGCTCATTTTTCATCACTCTTGCTTTAAAAATAACCTAATGACTCTACAGACGAAGCAGACTTAATGCCTTCATAGTGTAGTGGTCAACACGGTGGGCGCGTATTCCAAAGATGCGTGGTCCCCCATCATAGTACTTAACACGTACTGCTGTATTTCGCTTTTAGCGAAGCATTCAACGCTTGCGAAAAACAATTACCATCACCTTAGGGCACAATCTTGCCATGCTAACCGGTAAAGGTCTAATAGACTAAATGCTGGTAGTCACCGGTCACGGTCCACTGTCCATCGTTGCAGATTAAATTTCTCCTGATGAAGAGGGACCTGTACCTGTTTGCCCTCGAAATCGACAGTCTTGACTAAAATTTACCCCAAACACAAGGTTGTTGCCTTGCCTAATTTTATGATTTTTAAGTCTGGAATAAATAGGAACTGAGTGTCACCTTTTTTCAACAGTGTTGATTCACTGTGCAATACTGATGTGAACATACTGCTCCGATATGTTGCTTACAATTAACACGATAATGGAAAACGAAATTAGCAATACTGTTGACGAGTTTAAAAATGCATGTGCTTGCCAACTGAGTCCTGATCGCATTGAACTCTGTGCAAGATTGAAGGAAGAAAATTTCTATATTTATTTGAACGTCTTTCACACTCATCTTTGATACTTGGTTTGATAAGGTAAAACCCAGTAAGTAGTAAACCAGTAGTTCCGGGTTCTACGCACTGGTGATTAAAAAAAAAAAACGACTAATGGACTGCTTTTGAGTAAACATTGCGGAGAAGACACTTTTAATAAGCTTCTAGTAGGTGAAGTGTTTAATATTAATCTAATTCAAAATGAATTTAATCGAGACAACTTTAAAATCCAAAGCAAGCTCTTTTTATTTGAACGAGATTGTATAAAAAATACGATATCTCAGTACAAGCAGCCAGAAAGTTCACAAAAAGAAAAAAGCTAATTATGCTGGGTCTACATTCATATCAAATAAATCCGTTTTAAAGTCCATTGGCCTTATTTTCATTTCCGTCATTTTCAAAGATTCGAAGATCCCTTTCAAGGAGCCCCAGACTATGCCGTCAGCAGTCTTTGCCTTGTGTCCGTGGTATAAGCCATTGAGATTGGCAGTGTGGCATGCGGCATACCACCAGCCGCCTTTATGCTTCTCGGCGCAGTTCTCTGTACTGTTGTCATTATCTCTGTCCATAGTCGAAAACAGCTGACCGTCATGGGCTCTCGAGAAAGCATCGCCTGCGGAAAAAATATTTCAGAAGTTTAAATAACCAACCATGCATGGAAAAACTAATTTTGAAACAACTTGAATATTTCATATCTAAAAAATGGATTAACGCTAAACATAACACAAAAGATAATTGGATACTTTGCCGTCAATCATTTTTGACAAACGAAAACTGTCGCCAAGCAATGTGATTTAGCGCCAGTAACGGATAAGCGTAACGTCACAACACATTTATAAGACCTTCGCTTTTCGTAATCCCAAATGATCACAACAAAACCAATTTAATTTTTGTAAAGGACTTAAGTATTAGTTTTTTTGTTTCCTCTCGCATTTTGAAGTTAAAATTTGTAACTCAGCTTCTACGTAACAGTGTGCCATCAAAATTATGGCACAATAATACTTTAAAACCAATTAGCATGTCAATGCAACATGAACTGTGACGCAATTATCAATTTGACTGTGCGAATTCTGTTTCTTCAATCTTTTCCTGGAATGATCAGTGCAAGCTTTCATGATCGGCAAAAAAGTATGTGAATACCAATAATTGCTTTGGAAGTAAGTTTTTCTCGTAATTTCGATTAAATACTACGAAACATAGTTGTCCATTCCTCCCACAGCATTTTCAGGCCAGAATAATGATAACTTCAGTTTAACCATTCTCTCTAAGCACAAAGCAATGTCATGACAGCGTTGTGTCTAATGGTATTAAACACTTGAAATCCACTATTAAAAAGTACGCTATTAATGCTATAAAAATTCTTAAATGAGTATATGTTCATGTGGGTAATATTATCTGAAAGATGTTTTTCAAGGAGATAAAGGAATATTCCTTTTAATAGTATAAGCTAAGGAAAAGGCTGGAAACCTCGTGCGACTAACTAAAGACCAGGTTCGTTTCTAGGCCATTGGCTGCCCCCTTACTTTCTTAATTTTGCCACCCCAAAATTAAAAAAAAAAAAAAAAAAAAAAGCGCTCAACGATTAATAAAATTTTTATTTCATACTCACTAAGTACTCATAAGTAAGTCAGTTACCTATGACACATTATATAAAGAGTACTTACACATGACAAGAAACTTAAATGAATTTAAAACATTTAGTCGTGTTATAGCTTTAGAGTCTTGCAGCTCCTGATTTTTGCCGTCCCTATTTTTACGTTATGTTTACGCGCTACACCCCTGCTAAAGACATCGAAGATATGTTAAATTACTAAGGTTTGAGAGAGGCTGCGGTATTTGTGCTTTATATATAGTTTCAGTCTTCTCTGAAGCTTATAACGCAGTCGAAAAACATTCTACAACTTGTTAAAATTCACATAGCTCAACATGCTACAAAAGGCTTAATGGAAGTTTGGTATAGATAAAATGAAATAAGTTATTTCTTTGGGAAATGTAAACGCCGTAATTCCAATTACTACTAGATTACTGAATCACTATCTGGGTTGCGAAATAATGCACAGAATGAATCTAAATGTTAATCGGGCTTTGTCACATAATCCGGTGTTTCGAATTATTTGACTTTATGCCCACTGCACACCCTGTAAGTTTAGTAAGTAGAACAAAATGATTATGCAGTATACTGCATCCCTTTAATAGTAGCATTTGTATCGATTTCTTGAGTATTTCTAGAAAGATGCATAACAAATTTTATCCCTGCTTGCAATGTATTCAAATATTTTTATATGGAAATTCAAAATATAGATATTTCTAAGCATGATTTTTTTTAGGTTTGCGAGTCATTTTTCAATTGGGATCCTTAAGAAAAGGGGGAGGAGGGAATCATTTCCACGATTTCATATTTTACTTTTGCGAATCAGATGAACAATTTCTGGAAATGAACTTTTTACAATACCTCAATCTTTTTACATACCGTTTTACAATACCTTTATTGTTAGCAACGTTTGTGCTACCAGTTATCAATGTATTAGTTAAAAATAAAGGTAATCACATAATCCAATATATGGCGCGATTTATTACAAATGTTGCTTGCGTAATTATTGTACACGCATGTCCATAAATTAAGGATAATTCGGAGTCACGCGGAAATCGAACTCTTAAAATAAATATATCATCTTTAAAATCATTACACACATCTTCAAGAATTATATGCAAATTTCAGGAAGAAACCAGATGACACCGATGGTACGTCACAATGACGAGAGTGTAAGAGAGTAATGTATAAGGAATACAGGCAAAGAAGTAAATTGTTCGCAGGCGCTTTATAAGCATTTCAGTGCAATAACCGAATAGTTATGACACAAAGGACGCATTTCGATGATTTTTTACGTGGTAGAATTATCGGCCGTCTGGTATGTGGGCGTACCGAACTGGAAGTATCAGACGAATTTGGAATTGCCCAGACTGTCATCTCCAGGCTTTGGCAACGATTCCAAGATGATGGTAATGTGAGTAGACGTTACAGCACAGGTCGCCCCAGAGTTACAACGCCGAATGAGGGCCGGTATTTGGCAGTTACTGCCAAAAGAAACAGGCGGAGCACAGCCTCAGACCTGTCTCGTCAACTCTCTTCAGCTACTGGTACGACAATTTCAAGGCAGACCGTATACAGACGCTTAGGGCAGATTGGTCTATATGCTCGTAGACCTGTCAGATGCGTTCCACTTACTGCAACTCACTGTCGCCTGCGGTTAGCCTGGAGTAGAGAGCATGCATTGCGGACACCGAAACAGTGGGCTTGTGTGATGTTTTCCGACGAGTCCAGGTTTATCTTGCAGTCTGATTCTCGCCGGACTTTCATATGGAGAGCTCCAGGTACACGTTAAGATCAAGAAAACATCATTTTAAACGACACCGTTACGGTGGTGCAGGAGTGCTCGTTTGGGGTGGAATTATTCTGGGTTCCAGAACTGACCTGCATGTTCAAATTGGAACCATGACAAGCCCAATCTATCGGGACGTCATTCTGGAACAACATGTATGATTGTTTCGGGGCGCCATGGGCGCACAATTTGTGTTTATGGATGACAACGCCCATCCTCACCGTGCAAACATCGTAAGCGAATGCCTTCAATCGGAGAATATCACCCGTATGGACTGGCCAGCATTCTCACCGGACTTGAATCCAGTAGAGCACGTGTGGGACATGCTTGGCCGACGAGTTGCAGCCCATCTACCTCTTCCTACATGTGTACCGGAACTTCGGAGAGCATTGCTTTTAGAGTGGTGTAATATCCCCCAAGATCAGATCGATAATTTGATACTCAGCATGCCTAGGCGTTGTACTGACTGTATTTTATCGTCTGGGAGACATACAATGTATTAACAATCACACCAACCATGTAACATTGGTTTTCTGTAAATAGGTTGTTTTTGTAATTTGCTCCAGGGAGAAAAAATTGCTAATTTTTTTAATAATATCAAACATAGCATCTTTTTTTGCTCTTAACCTTTTGTTTAATAAACAAGCTTTACAAATAAGTAAAATTTGTTTTGCTTCTAACTCATCCTTTGCCTGATTTTGCATTATCCTTAATTTATGGACATGAGCTCATTACTGGGGCGGTTTCCCTGAGAAGCGTTCACTTTTCAACTGTTGTTTGAGCAGTCTCAAGTTGTTTTGTGGGAACAAACAACGGGACAACGAGAACAGATGCTCATATCTAACCTTACTTTACGCCAAGCGTCTCGAAGAGAAGTACAATAATCTCAAGGTCTTGCTATATATATTCTGAAGTAAGATAGGTAGCTCAATAGAAATTTCAAGACCGAAATTCTTGGTAGGGTCAAATTCAAAGACCAATACTATGTAGGATTCTGCCCATAATGTACTAAATTTGCTACGTAGCTGAAACTTTTATTAAATCTCTAGGATGTTCTGATGCTTCCCTGCACGTTACATTAAGCTTAATAAGGCAATTCGTCAAAATTGGTTGCTTTTAATCTTCTCATTTGTGCACAGAGCAGCTGCTTCTCTGCTAAGCTAACTGTAACAAAGATCACAGACGGAACCCGTCGGGCTTAAGGTGACGAACTCGAAGTATAAGAAATTTTTCAAGACACTCATTATAAACAAAGAGAAGTCTTGGAATAGCTTTATACTGCAATTGCGGATTTAAAAGTGATCACAAACCAAACATCACTTCCAACTTGTAGAAAACCTAATTGAGAGATAACTGAAAAATATACATTGTCTTTCAAAAGGTCACTTATATTGATAAAGTGAAAGAAAACATGCCAGCTTTCTCGGATAAGTGAAGAGGAAATTGTCAACAAAACATTTTGAACATCGTTGTCAAAGATAATATACCAAAAGTACGTGCTGAATTATATTTCAAGCTAGTACGCAAAATTAGTTTAAGTTATATAAATGTTTCCAACTGGAAATTTCTTCATTCATTGCTATGAAAAGATAGTAACATTTTTGTAAGATTCTTACTTACAGGATCAGATTCACATGAGTCGTTATCAATAAAGAAAAAAGTTCTGCCAAAATACTACAGTTTTCGTAAATTCGCATCAACTAAAACTATGATTTCTTTACTCTGATAATGAAGGCAATGCTTTGCTGGAACAAATGAATTTTTTATAATTTTTAGACTCAGCCAACGAAAATATAATATGGAATATTTAAAAATAAAGAAGTAATTAAAATGGGTTGCTATGTAGCCAATCTGTAGTTAAAGACTGCCTAAGCGAAGTCGTAGTCTTTTAAAATGTTTTCCTGTAATATTTAAAAGATTACGACTATTTTTAAATGTTACAGGAAATCATGCTATATCACCTGAATTCACCATATTTTTTGTACAGGTATGTTCTTGAAAATCTTTTTATGAAAAATTAGTAAAGCCATTCAGGTCTTCTTTTCATGGTATTTTTCTTTCGTGTAAACACTTGAATAATATTTTTCTTGAAAGTTGATCAATTGGTATTTGTATAAAAAATACAAAATTGAGTGATGCATACAAATACCAATTATTCATTTTACATTATTGAAAGGGTTTCATCCGACTAAAATTAAATCTAAAAAAAATATTCTTTATGTAACCAAATATGCTCTAGCAGTGAATTTAGATTAATATGTGTACCGGGAACTTTAAATATATATATTGCCTAAGGCCTAAAGTTTATTTCTGCTATTTCATCAGCAAAACAAAATTTCAGGAAAGATGGCTGCATTATAATGACATACATATCGATAACCAAGAATGAAAAGACAAAATTTTACCTGCATCTCCACTGTAATCATAAACATGGAGCTGGTACCGTTGACTTTCATTGTCAATCCAGAACTGATCATAAACTGCATAACGTGTGTTATTTTCGAAATCTGTTAGGTGAATTCTTAGGTAATACTTTTTTTGATTGGTCAGAGCATAGATGTTATCATTACCTGCCAAAAAATTCACATTCATTATGTCTAAATTTTACTTCCAAGCTAATAGCATTATCCAAATAAGAATTTCTAATCGAAGAACTAATTCTGGTATTTGTCTCCACAAATATGATTAGTAATCCATAATAACAAAGCTTCGAGAGAGTATTCTATGATTGCATGCACGGGAATATATCACGAATTCCGTCAAAGATATTTATCTTTGACAAATTCATAATATATACCTGTTTGAGAAAATTGCAACACTATTAGGAATCATCAAAATTGAAGGAAATTTAATCGATTTATGACTATAGTGATACAAAAGAACGATTAAATTTACCAAGAAATACAAGAATATTAAATACAAAAAATCAGTATTTGTTGAAACCCTATAGGGGCTCGTACTCGTCGAGGCAATGAATCAAACAGGTTTCGAAGATGAAGCTGGATAGCCCGTCCTGTCATTTGGATGAGGTGTCGATCATCCCGTATTGACGTAACATTTCGTGGCCCACTACCAGGCTTGCGACTTGTCCAGTTCTCTTGAGCCCATTGCATCCACGCACACATAATTGACGAGATATTACACCCCACACCAGCTACAGTTTCACGGTAGAAAACTCTTTTAGCATAACGATCATTAGCCCTCATTCAGATCTCAGATGTTGTAACTTGCTTTTATTGGATTCTTTCTCATCAACGAGGCATAGTGACTCCTTGTGAAGCGTTTACCCCTGGAGGATAACGAAACACTAGTTTTAACGTTCGGATCTTCATCAAGGCTGATTGATATTTACGAATTTTTCGATGGTCAGAATAGTTTTTTACGTTCCATTACAGTTCTCTAATTATACTGCTAACACGACAGAGAGAGCTGCTCAGACCACGCATGCGCTCTCTGAAATTCTAAATTATATACATATACTTTTTATATATATATATTTCCCGTGAATTTCAGTATATTTGCATGATTTCTTCGTAGTGTTGCAAATTTCACGAACAGAGTGCATTAAATTATTTGTTAGAAATTTCACAAAAACAAAATTTATATAATTAAAGTTTAATGACCGTATAATTTAATTTAACCTAAATCAATGTGAGTAATTTATATTATTAACAAGTAGAATTTTACTTTATTTTTTTAGAATGCTTAAATTTTTAATTATTTTTTGGGACGTTTAAATAAGAAACATATTTTTCCTTAGCTGAAAAGAGATAAATATTTCTTTTTCATACAGAATAGCTTTTACCCATCACTATGTAATATGCAAATAAAAATTATTCCAGACATAAATTCGTCACCTGATTCATATGAATAATTATAAATTTGCGAATTCTAGTTATAAGGGTAAAATGTAACCAACCTAGCCAGAAATCTCGGCGTAGATCACCAAAACCAGTCTTGTATTTATGCCAACTTTTGTAGAAGAAATCCGGAGGTCTCTTGAAATCTCCTCTTCTTTGAATCACCTGGGATATATATATATATATACTACACATACAGTAAAAATTAAAAAGCATTAATATATATATATATATATACACAGAGAGAGAGAAATTGTATTATGTAAATTACCTATTAGTAAATTACTAAAATACTTGCCTATCAGTAAATTACTGATAGGCAAGTATTTCTATACGTTTGACGCTTTCTGCCACATGCTGAAAATTGGTTTCCGAAACAAAATTTCTCAGTAGATTGGGTATGCGTGTTTGCTGTTCAGTACCTGAGAACATAAAAATAACCTCTTAAAAATCAATTAGGAATACTGAATACTTCAGTTGCAAATTGTTATACTAGTTGCAAATTTTTCAGTTTTCCATCAAATTTTGAATAACATAGTCTTCCACCGAGTATGGGCATCTGAAAGCCCGAATTTGAAATTTGTTTTATTATCGATTTCATATTTTGTAACACTTTTACGAATTTTTTATTAACAAACTCGACGATTTCAAAGCGAGCAATGGCAGTTGTGTACGGAAAAAAAATATCTTCACAGTGCGAGACTGTATATCGGAAATTCTTAAAGATATGCTCATTTTAAAATTAATTTGGGATATTGCTGTTGAATTGAATTTTATGGTTTAAGTACGAAGAACATGATATTTAATAAAATAAAGGAAACACACAAAGCATTAAAAAAACGCCCCTTTGAGAGTAATGTAAAATATGAAAGCTTTCAGATTTTTTAAATTTTTTTATTTATTGGCTCGTAATTTTTCCGAATTCCTTCTTACTTTAATGCATCCATTCATCTGAAGTTCAAGAAATTCATTCTGCTATCATAAAGTATAAGATAATCGTCTTATATGAATAGAAAGAATTTGCCAGAATTCTGAATTTACGTGAAAAACCCCGAATAGAAACAATCTTTCTTCCGCATAACAAAGGTCATATGAATTGATTTTACACGTCTCAACCGGAAGAGGAAACCAATAGATAACAGGAAAATACGGCAAGATGCATACGTAATTTAATCGGAAATCTTATGATTTCCTCTGTTTTTTCTTATGGAAGGAATAATGTTTTTCGGAAGCACATGATTTAAGGGGAAAAAAGAAAAGATCGATAGTTTACTTTTAAATTTTATTCTTATCTTAAAGGGCAAATTTAAAAGTATGTCTACATATAGCATTAGTGAAAACTGTTGTTTGAAATGCCACTCAGTTTATCTTTCAGTTCAACACTTGTTTTCAGAAAGAGAATTATTGGAAATGTGAAAATGTTTGCTATTTGGATTTTTAAGATATGATTACTGTTCAGCCCCTTGGCTTATATATGATTTTCATTCATTCAAAATAGAGTAAATCAAAATTACTAAAAATTAAACAACCTCGTAAAAACTCGGATGTAACCAAAATTTGTTTAAATGTCCCTAAACAGTTAGAATGCATATCACTAATAAGGGATATTAATTTTCATGTGGAAAATTAAGCCACTTGTTTAAATTCTAAAGTTTTAGTTGCTCAGCTTTCGCAATCACTTATTGATATTGGTAGTCATTACCTTGAGATCTGAGTTTCAATTTAATGCATATTGTCCTAGGCTTTTTCTTTTAAGGCTAATATAATGGAATCACAACGCCACATAGGTCACACACTGGCCTGCCAATTTACGACTCCCTAAAAATAAGCATTTTAATCATAATTATTGAAAATCATCATTTTTCACTTAAACGAATTATTATTTGTGAATATATCAGCAGTTACGAAGCATCAAAGCGTATTGTCTTCTACTACAAGTTCTAATGGAAGGTAACAAGAATCATTTCCATAAAATCTTTAAATAAGCATGATTTAAGTCAATGACACCTGCACAAGATTAACGCATGGCTCCAAATGACTTTGATCATCTGTTTAAATGATAATCTTGGAAAAGAGTACCGGATATGTTCAAAATAACTTTTATTCACGTTTTCAGAAAACACTGGTCACATTCAAAGTTGGTCCTTCATGAGAGGTAGCCACCAAGAGAGTTTCATTTTTATTAACAGTGATTAAATTTACAATCACAATCGAACTGCTTTTTCACAGCACAAAATCAAGGCGAATAAACTACTTTTACTTACTGTCCATCCGCCACCGTTCGTTTCGAGGTCACAGAAGGCACTTATGCTCCCTGTCATAATTCTGTTACGAGGCCATATTTGATAAACTCCACTTTTGTTGTGGCCACATTTCAAAACCTCCTCACAGTCCATTGGTTTCGGTGGACAACTGCAGTCAGCATAACCTCCTGCAACAAAATTGTTAAAATTCAAGTAAAACTATGAGGTCCAGAGCTAAACACACCAGTGAGCCTGTGTGACTTTAGAAAGCGACGTGACCAACAATGAATCATGTTGAGATGAATTGGAACTGGTTTGGTTACCTACCAGCGAATCACACTGGTTCGAGTTTTCTAATTTTTAAGAAAATAAAGAAATCAAAAAAAATAAATTTCACATCGCAGAAGTTAGGTTTAAGAAAATGCCCTATATGATCTAGAAATTTTTGAAAAAGCTAAAATGAAACTTAAAAAAAGTATGCAGTTCACTTCATATCCTATTAAGTACTACTATCATATGTAGAAACTATCATTATTTCAAATAGCTAAAGAAATAGCGAAATTAGTAAAATATTAACCATGTGAATATTTTCAAAATACTAAAAATAGTGCTGTTATTTTTCATAATCTTGACAGTTACTGCTGTACTTTTATTTGGAGAGGTTCTCTTTCTTTCCGACCAATTATGCTCCACATATAGTAAAAATATTCCATACAACAAATGAGTTTCCATTAAAAATATTTAAGATTTGAATAAATAACGGATAGTTGTCAGAAAGAACACCCTATTACAGGTAATAACTTCCTGGATCTGGTAAATAAAACCGCGCGCTTTCGATATGTTATACTCATAACCTGAACAAGTTTATGTGATTTCGTTGATATTATTCGTATTTAGGCTGAGGCTTAAATCTTTGTAACGAATGATTTTAAGATTGAGTGAATTGACTAGATAAGATTGGTTGATTGACTAAAAGCTTATGATGCGACAAACGTATGGTCAATCAAATAAAGAGTGGGTAAGGAGGGCAAAAAATATATAATTAGCGGCACTTCGTTTTAAATAGCAAAAATTTCTAGGTATATTAATAAAACTTCAGACTCAAACAATGCTCAAAGGCACTGTTAAAATAATCACAAAACTTTACTCAAATGATGAAATTAGTAAATAAAGATACCAACTTAAATTCTTCTTTACCAGCAGAGTTCATAAGAATAATAAAAATTTTTGCTACTACTCCGTTTTGAGGACCGTAAAAAATTGCAGCGAAAATGTATGCGCAAAAGCGCCAAATCTAGTAAATGCGCCCAATCTAGCGTACGAGCTGATTTCAGATTGCGTAAGTTTATATAGTTTTATATTTCTTAAGACGCCATTGAAATACTAGTTTAATTTTTAAATCCTTTTTTGATATCCTATGGATTTAACAATTTGGGAATTGCCCGTGACGAAAAGTCTGCAATAGAATTTTGGGTAAAGTGCAAAATCACCCACTGCTTGACGCGTTTTTAAGAATTGCACATACTCGGTATCCATGTATACATCGACCTATTTTCACTTAAAAAAAAAAAAAAATCCCAGAATTGCACAAAAATAGCACTTCGCACACTCTTGACTTTATCTATGTACACATCGACCTATTTTCACTTATAAAGTAAAAGAAAATTGACCAAAATCCAATCGTTTTTACCCTTGTAAAAAGCGGCAAACAAATAAGTGGACGATTCTGCATTTTACGAGAATTTTTCAAAGAAAAGGCATCATTCATTATAGAAAATTATGTTTGAACAACCAACGAGATGAAATTATCCATTAGCGATAACTCGGTAGCGAAATAGCGATGCAGGCTTTAATTCAGTTATGTTTAGCAATTTTTATATAAATTATAATAATGATCTGAAATAGTTATTTACTCTTATGCTTCCATTCAGTTATGTTTAACATTTTTTATATAAATTATAATTATAAAAATGTGTTATATGAAATTAACCTTTCATCTAAATTAAAACATCAATTTTAAATAGTTATTTACTATTATACTTCTTTCTTGCGTTAGGGTTGCCGCAATTATTTTTGGCAGCACTGGCATCAACAATAGTTTGGCGATTTTTGACGGCCCTCAAAACCGAATAGTACCAAATTTTTTAATGATAGGACTGTAGGTTAAATTAGAATTATATCGAACCCCAGAAAAGAGATACATATTTATAAATTACTGAAGGTGTTAATTTTACAAAGTAGAATATTTAAAAATAAATTCATTTGCTCTTTTAATATTTTGCATTTCACAGCCAGCAGTCCTCGAAAACCAAAGAAGTGCTGTTTGGAGAACGGATATGAGAGCATGGTGACAACAGAAGTACTGCTTCAACTGATATAAATTCATATACATCATGAGCTACTTTCTAACTTTTAATTTTTTGAACCAAACTTGAAGGTTAGTAGTGCGTTATTTTAAAATATGAGATAATTTTATTTAATTATTAATTTTACTAAATCGGAAACAAAATAATACAAGGATGTAAACATGGACAGTCTCGCTGATTTCTGTTTCAAACGCAATTAATCAACGTATAGATTTATACCTAAACAATACTGCAAGAAGCTCTCTCTCCAAGAAAGCATTATTTAATCAAAATTCGCGGAGACTGCAGATCCTAATGCAGCAGAAGGTTTTCCATGAAAAACAAAACAGAAGATTCAATATTACTTTTTTAGACCTGATAGTGCTTGAAGAAGAAAAGTACTTTTACCTCAAACTGACACCTCCCCCTCCCCATACATCGGCAACAGACTTTGGGCACTCTTTTGGCAATGAAATACGTAGTTTCGATGTCAAATCAATAAAGCAGGTGCTCCCTTCCTTTCCCTCTGCTTACTTATGAATCCCATTAAATAAAAAGGTATGTGGCTTCTCCAGAACCAATTCCCAGTTCTTCTAAATACGCTACCAATAGTGGCTGATATTACACTTCCATCGCATAACTTCCTCCACGTACACTTTCATGGCAGGAGAATTAGAACATTCGCGACTTTTTGGAAAAATACCATTAGCTTAGAACTAATGGATTGCGTCTGCTTCATTTCTGAACGAATTTAGTCAGTGTATGATGCAAATATAGTAAAAGTTAACATGAGACGAACGAACTTCCTTCCGAGAATTTTCAGTGGGAAACCGATTACCGAAAAAATTATACAATGCAGATATGAGCTTGCGCTAATTGGTCTAAAATTGATATTGAAATAAAAAAAGATATTAGCAAGGAAATAAAAAATTTAATTCTGAAAGTGTTCAAATTTTTGGAGACCCATTTTGATAAAAAAAAAAAAAATGTACGCAGTGAGAGGGTTACTCCACTGCGTAAATTTTTTATTAAAATAGGTTCAAAAATTGCGTATTCTTTTTATTACATACATTTCAAATCTACATAAACTTTAGAGTTGAAATATACAAAAAAAATTTTTAAAAGAGGTTTTTTTTAATATGGAATTAGATCATAGAAAAAGGATGTCAGAATATTGAAATTGAAGAATAATGATATAAAAGGAAAATTTTGAAAACTAATATTGGTTAAATTATGATTTATTTTATAAAATACAAAGATAAAACATATATATTCATGAAAATAATTGCATAAAACTTGGAAAGAGCGGGTTGCACAGTTAAATAGACGGCAAAAATTCATCCCCTGGGGAACCGCGGGTTGCGCAAATTTTGCTACTTTTCTACGTTGCCCGTGGAATTCGCGGGATACGCAGCGAGAGGGCTAACAAGTCACCTAAAGAGGCTCTTTCAAGTTTAACATGGTTTATCAGCAGAGATTATCCAGAGATGGCCCAGGTGGAAGTGCGAAAATTTTTTATAGGGTATTAAATGAATATACGTTATATTTAAACTAACATGGTACCGTTATACATCTTCTGTACATTAAAAAAAATAAAAACTGTGTAACATCATTCTATAAAAATATTTAATGTTTTTAATTCAATATGTATTATGATTAAATGGATTGTTATTTAAATTTTTAATTAGATATATTATGCATTAAATGCATTTTTATTGAAATCAGATTAAAAAATACCTAAGCAAATATTATTCTTAAAAACTGCATCTGCTGCTTTTTAAATAGCTTAGTTTTTTAATCAATACCTTACATTTCGCTGAATGGCAACAGACTCGAATGAAAAGTGAAACAACGTCTTTACAGTGGATAATATAGAATAGCGTTTCGAGATTAATAGCTCTTTTGGACTAAAAAGAAATTAAAAAAATTAACCTTTATAGAAGAATCTGCAATAGCTCCTGGAATTGTTGAACGTCGATAAAAACTGGAGTGAAGGGTGAAATTTCTAACAATATAAATCAGCGGGAACACAAGTACCAAAAACGATGTAGGGTATTGATTAGATTCGAAGTACAATATACGTTGGTTTACGAATTCATTGTATTACGAACAAATTTCACAACTGAAAAGCATCCCAAAGTACCTAAAAGTATGACAAACTCTCGAAATACAAACGCGTAAGCCGACAACAAATGAAAACTCCAAAATGCAATTAATGCAATGGAAGAAATATCTTCAGAAGACGACGGCGGCGGAAGGAAAGCCCCAGTCACTTGATCCACGAAACTGTGCAAAATGGGATACGGTGCTTACGTTATCATTCTCATAAAATTGTAGTAAGTCGTAGCATAAGTATTTGGCAATGCCATGTCTTGCTTTGGGAACATTTTAATATTTAGACAAAAACAAAAACACAAGGGAAAAGTTTTAACGGACAAAGGCTCAGCGATTTTCAAGTACAGGCAAGCGGTGTTAAGAGAAAGATAAAGCTCAGAAAGACAGCAGCTACCTGATATTTTTACCGTATAGGGTTTCCTTTTCAAAACAATGACATTTTTCATCTCTGGTTTCTTTACCGTTTTCTACTTACGGCCCCAACTTTCCTTCGTACAGATACGGAAAAACAAAAATCAAATTTTACTATTTCTGATATGTTTAATAATGCTTTAAATATTGTGTATATGTACGAGTTATAGAATTTCATTGGCTTGCATTATTAATCAGGAACGAATTGATTGACGAAATATCTTCAAGAAGGAACCGTAAAACGGTTTCACTCTATATGAAAAGTGGTTATATTGTAGTTCAGTTTGACCAGGTTCAAGACACTATAATAAATCGTTAGGCACATTAGCACCAATTAAAGTTTGAAAGTTGAATACCAAATATATCTGAATGATGACATAAAATTTCCTACCTTCTGGAAGAGCTTCTTTTAATTTATCTATCATAGCTGCTGCTGTCTCCAAGTAGGTCTCAGCCTTGGCTGCTTTGGCACTTTCACATTTGCTTGGTTCCTTGATAGTTTCATCACTAAACGCGGCTGTGAATAGTATGCCAAGGATGCATACTTGCAGAGCGGATGTGTGAATCATCTAGAATAATAAAATTTTGTCAATAAGTTGAGTAAAAACCATAAAATTATTTCATGCTACAGAGCGTTGCGCTTTTAGCAAACCTGAGGAGAAACCAAGACATGTTTTGATCATGAGAGATTTCACCATGACATAGATTTTCTAGAATTTATTATTTAAAAGAATGTTTTAAAAATTCATTCTTATATATTTTTAGAAGAAGCATGAAAATGTTCAATGATGAAAATTTGCGCCGGTAAAACGGAAAAGTACCTGAAAAACTTATGCGTGAAATTGAATTGTATTAAACTGAGTCATTCCAGATGTATAATAGCGTACTTAAATAGATTAAGTAGTGTGAATAGTTCTATCAACAATCTGCAGATTTCCAACACGATTTACAGTTGTACAACTCCATCGATCAACCACATAATAGACCTTTTGCCGTATTTAATAGTTAAATTATGTTTCTGTAGTCCTGTATTTGTCTTTCTCCAAGATACTGGTCTTCTCTCAGAGTTATTTGCATTAAACTTAGTTTATGGATTCACATCCCATTTTTCAAGTCAAGGTTTTCTTTCACTTATTTTGGAGCAAATCCTCAGCTGCTTCTTTCTGCTCACCACTTTCTCTCTAGAAACTCGACAGTTAAATCCACATGCGCAAAATTCGGTACTTTCCTGTTATAGTGGCCTTGGCGATAAACAGGAGGTTACCAATCTACGTATACGAACTTAGTTTACATTTTACATGTGCACTTAGTTTATATTTCTTCAGCTAGTGAAAATTTTCTCCGGTTTTCATCGGTAGATATTTAATATGTTTATTAGTTTACAATCTTCTATCGACGGAGAAAGATGCTATAGTTTATTTCAACGAGAAATCTATCTTACCCTCCAAAAGAATTAGCAAAAATGGCTATACCATGCAATTGTATGTTGAGAAAGATATCATCTGGAGATTCAGTCTCAGCAGTTGCAAAAAGAACGTTTTCATGCGGTAAATTGTTTTTAGAAGATCAAAAATAATCTTTCTGAATGCATTACTATTTATTTATTGTTGAAGATAGAAACTGACTTCAATCTAACGGCGCGACAAGCAGTTGAAGAACAACAACAGTAGCTAAGCTCCTCGCCATCAGAAATAATACATGATTACAAAATCGTGTTAAATAAATAATACATAAAATTTATATTAAATTGCGTCTGTTTTCATAAATCAAATAAATTGCGTACTGTAAATACTGAATGAATTTCTTGTGTGCATCGGTAATCGTTTATTCTCGCTAAGACGCGAACATATTTCTAGCCAAGGTAGCTACGGAAGTATTCGAAATCAGTTTGTTTCATTCATATAAATCTTCCTCCAATATTCTACGAACTAATTCTAAACATAATTTTGAAATATTTACATTGACTTTCGCCCTATCCTCATTAAATATATATTCTTGACTATCGTTAAGCAGACCGTTAAGCATTATCAATGGTAATAGGAAAAACTATTACCATTAATTTAATGATATATGTTCTTGATATTTAATCCTTCCAGTAGCATACTGAACTTGTATGATACCATGAGGCTTCTCAACAACTCTGCCCTGTCAGGCAAGGTCTCTCATTCTTTATTATTTAGTCACAGTTTTCGAATGCCATTTTCTAAATCACGTCCTCAACTCATAAATCGAAAATTTAAACTAGAAATTTTAGTGAGTAATATTGTTATCGAATCGTTCAAAATTAGTAGCCATCTTAGGATTTTACTGCTTGATGTCAAAACGATGTTATTTTTGCGCCTTTTTGTATCATTCATTTTATACTTTCCTCCCATTATAAATGAATGATATTTTGAAAAATGAAATAATAATTTTAAACAATAGGATTTTAAACAATAGTCTAATTTTGAACAATAGGATGAATCGGTATTGCATAAAAGTTTTAAGTTCGTGAAAATTCGTTTTCTCTAGTATTATAGTAGTTTTTTAATGACTAAGTTTTTGCGCGAAATATTTTACAATACACTACATCTCATACACAGAGAGCACTTGTTTGTTTAGTTCAGGGGTTGGCAAACTTTTTTTGTAAAGTCTAGATCGTAAAAGATCGCGGACTAAAACAAAGTCAGAAACCTTTTATGGAAGTGATATTTTTACATGACACTTATACACATTTTGCTGACAGTTAAAAAAAGAATAATATGTTTTCATTTCATTAATAATACATTTATAATAATATTAATAAATGTATTAAAACACAAGTTAAATTTTCTGCTAATGCGATGAATGTAATTTTTTTTTCCTCCGAGATATTTTATCACACAGAAGTTCAACTTTAGCACTTCTGACATTAACGTTGTTTGCAAACTGTCATCTGTTAATAATGATCTATACTGGGACTTTACACATGCATCATTTTCGAAAATGTCCTTTCATATTGACAAGTGCTCATAATACATATATAAAATCCCCATTTTATATGATTTTAACTGATCATATTTATCTTCCGAAATGATTTTTAGAACTTATTAGATCCATTTCTTTAGATATCATTTTTCAGATCAATCACTTCCAATTGAAGGTCTGACGGAAGCTTGTCAGTTCACAGTCAAATGAGTTTTGAGACACGGAAATGTCACTGCATATGTATCAAGACCCGGAAAAGATTGGCCCACCAGCGGCCGGGCGGTAAAATCGCTGAACACTGGTAGTTCGGTCCGAGGTTCGAATCCCGCGAACGGGCTGGCTGCATGGGCGTTTTCGTGGTTTTCCCCATGTGTAACATCTATACGAGCCAGTTTTCCTTAGAAAGTCCTCAACGAAGGCATCCCTCCCCTTAGGCAGATAGCCCTAGTATGCTTTGCCATATTCTCAATACACACAGGAAAAGATTGTTCTAACTGTAATTTACGCTCAGAAAATATACCCGCCGCAAATTTATTTGGGAATGAAGATTTCACTAATATTGTAAATTTTTTACAGCACGGAAAACAATAAAACTGGTTTAATGAGATATGTGTTTCAAACAATGCAAATTTTAAACGTTAAGACTTAAGATACGTTTAGATAGATAGAACATTTTTCATATTTAAGCACTGTTTTACCCTGTAATTTTAAGTTAATTTCGTTAAGATATCCCTCGATGTCTGTAGCAAATGCTATTCATAGCCATTCATTGTTCGATAACAGTGGTTTTGTCAGCAATTTTTCTCATTTAGAAAAATTTCTTTTATTACTCCGTAATCAAAAAATCTAAAAAAACGTTTTCATTGCTGACACGTCGAAATGCTGTATGGTAGTGGTAAATCAAGATTTTCGCTTTCGATCTTTAATATAAAAAAAAATGACAAAACTGACGAAGGTGAAGTCTACGAGAGTGAATAAAATCAATTGCTTAAGTAAGACACGACAGATTTCCTGCAAATACCCGCTGGGAAACAGTAGGCGGCGGGCCGGATTTGGATTTGGGATGTCTTCGTGAAGGAACTTTTATCGAAAATTTTGTCGTATATTCAAGTTAAACATCTTGTTCGTCGATTAGCACAGCCAGAAGGGGGTAGTTTTGGAGACGGCATTTTTCATCTGAAATATTTTTATAGCGGTTAGTTATGTAGGTCGTCAAAGTACGTAAAGAACAACTTGCTGAATTCCCATTCTGAATTAAGTTGAGAAAAACTGGGAAGAATTCCCCGTTAAAGAGAAATATTTTAAAGTTTATTTTTATTGCTGGTAGGGAAAACGAAATAAACTTAGAAAGGCAATCCTTTTGAACTTTTATAGTTTATTCTAAAACGCAAGCCTACAGAACAGATTTTGGAATATTGTAATACTACTGCATATTTTCCTGATACTTGTGAGAAGAGCTTTTAAATAAAAGTCTGTTGAGAAGTACATAAGATCTACAAATAAATATTTTATTGGTACTTACGTATTAACGCAATCAGGCCAAAATTCGCATGAATCGCCAAATTTGGCGACCCTACTTACGGCAACCCTACGTGTTTAGACGAAAGTTTATTTGTAAAAAGAAAAAATAACACTGTGCGTGTACTACCACAGTAATGGGTTTTCGGCCGAATTTGCCGAGAAAAGAAAGAGACTTTTTTGGTTACTGTACCTAACAGAAGCGCCGTTACCCTCATGGAAAAAATTTGCGAAAATATCAAGGAAGGAAGCATCATTTATTCGGACTGCTGGAAAGGATACAATACAAGTGAGTTCGAAAATGCTGGATTTCTGCATGGAACTGTTAATCACAAATATAACTTTGTGGATCCCAACACGGGCGTTCACACACAACATGTAGAGCGCATGTGGGGCTCAGCCAAATGGCGCAACAAAAAACAGAGAGGACCAGCCCATCATCATCTTGACTCATACCTTATCGAATTTATATGGCGCCAAACTCAAGCTGTTAATGGCGAATACGGTTTTCAATTAGTGCTAAAAGCAATAGCCAAAAGATTTCCGCCGAAAAAATTCTGCAACTTATTCAAATTCGAAACCGGAAGGGTTTAATTGCTATTTTATATTTTAAAACAAAATAATATAAAAAACTGTATTAAAAATTATCTGTAATTAATAAATGTACATTTTTTTTTTCTATTCATATTTTTTTACTCAAACTTACAAATCGCGTCAACCTGGTTGCGATAATACGTAAGTACCATTTTATTTTATGCTTAAAAATATTTCTAACGAACAACAATGTAGTAGTAAACCTTACAATACTACTGAAGTGTTTATGTATGTAAAAACAAATAAAATAGAATTTTAAAATGCTGGAGTAAACGTTTACTCCAGAAGTAAAGAGTTTTAATTCATTTCCCTAGATGTCGTTTCGATATTTTTTTAAGTTTTTATTTGTGCATCAAGTGAGATGGCAAACTCAGGCATCGCCTGGGCGGTAATAAAAAATTAAAAAAAAAAAAAAAAAAAAAAAAAAATACGCCACTGAATATATGTCACTCAAGCAATGCAGCATAAAGTAGTAGCTTTCGTTTAAACATATATTACCTCGCTTTTTCGTACTACTTAACGTTCTATACGTGCTGTAACTTACTATATATCATATTCTATATAAAAACAAAGGTTACGAGTTAAAAATTTATTAAAACATGCATTTTTTATTCGCTCAATCATTTTTTTAAGTAGATTATTGTTTTTTTAAGGAAATGAATTCTTAACTTAGCAAGATAAAAATGTCCTTTCATTTATAAAAGGTGAAGAAATTCTCATTATTCTGAATTTAAAAAATAAATAAAAATTAAAATACCATCAACCCCTTGTGATTGCATGATACATTATAATTAAACAGCTAAGTGCCCAATTATATTTTAGAAAGCAGAGAAACGATTTTAGTTAGAATAATACGACAATAACTATACCTAGCAATACAAAACTAGAACAATAAATTACTGCAATATGCATCAATATTGTAGTATCTCTTCGCCTTCACAAAAAAAAAAAAAAAAAAAAAAAAAAAAACAATAGCGAGGCATAATTTCCAATCTGTTATAAATATTATTTATAAATTCTTCCTTTCCAGTATTTATATAAATTATTATTTTTAAAAAGCCTTTTTATCTTGATCAGTAATCTACTGTTAAAAGTTAAATAATAAATTTATTAAATGCGCATATTATTTTAAAACGGTTCACTTCATTATACTGATAAACAATGTATTTAGGTAGTTTGACTTACAAACTAAAGGTCTTATCTCCGGTATTATGTCGAGGGGGGCATTCGTGTTTGATTAATGGTGTGGTAGTGTAACGAACTTGCGGTGAAAAAGGTGTAAGACTAGAGTATAAGCGTTTTTGACATCAATAATAATGTTATCACCCCGGGGGGGGGAAGGTACGTAATGGCTTTAAAAAACTAGTGCAGCCCGCTGCTCAATAAGTGTCTTAAGAACAAATTACGAAAGTAGCTAATATCTAGTTTATTATAGTCAGATATTTTAATGATGAAAACTGCTATCAGTATCGCACTAGATTAAGTATGCTTTATACAACTTGTCTGTTTTGTGTATTTATTTTGCCAAGAAATTCAAGAAAGAAAATTAATTTTTAATATTTTGTGAATTTCGCAGCGCTTCTTCAAAAGACAAAAAATTATAAATTTTGATTTTCTTCTTTGAAGTAATTTTACATACAATAGTCTCGTAATCGTAATTAAATCTTTTTTTTTTTTTAATTCCTCGGTTTTGGTACCATTTTCTATATAAAGTATAATAAAATGTTCTCGTCAAAACTGCCTTCCGCTGTTCTTCAGCCGAAATGAAGAGGTGCATTAATAATATTATTTTAAACCTCTTGTCTGAAAAGCAACTAAAAGATAAAAAGAATTATCATATTTTAGATGCTCAATACTGAAACAAACGAGCATTAAAAAAAAAAAAGGAAGCATTGATAAAGTACCAATTTAAATTAACTGTTTCTCAGGTAATTGCATGGTATAGGAAATACCATTTGCGACTGATAAATTTGAACTGTGCGTTTCTGATCCATATTCTTGCTGATCAAACAAAAGATGTAAAGCTTAATAACTGAAAACGCAATTGAAACGCCCTACTCTAAAATGAAAACGCACTGAAAAGTCCTGCTCTAAAATTCCCTGGTTTGATACGGTGCTTAAAAAAGTAAATAAATAAATAAATAAAGGAGTATTGAAGTAGACTTACCTCTTGTTTAAAAAAAATTGACTCAAAAATTTCCACAGCCAATTCCTGACAATCTAAGTTTTACTAAATATCCCCTAATGTTAATATAGTAACCAAACGCAAAGCACACCAAACTTCTATCACACAAATAGAACGTCACTGACACGTTTACCATGAGCACACATCAGGTTCCCGAAATCTGAAATGGCGCAACCAACCACTGCCCTCTGGGACTTGCACCGTCATATCCTTTTTCGCCAAATAAAGGCAACTCGTTAATTCCGCCAGTTTGGTAACAAGAATTTATTATCTCTCATTCATTAACAAATCATCTTTTTATCTTCTAAGTTCTTCGTAGCAAGAGGCCCTTGGTTTCCTTCACAAATAAACAGAAATGTCACATCTCTTGCTTTTATCTCTGTCTAGTTCTTTGGAATGATCATGACGCACCATCTTAGATGGAAGTTCGACGAATAAGACTTTATCAAATTTGATTTAAAAGACACCCTCGCCACAGAAGAGTTGAAGATAAGCAGTTCTTAATTCATTGCTTGAACTCCTCAGTGGTATTTTCATTCGATGTTGCAATCATCAAACTTGTTATATAGACTAGCCAAAAGATTTCAAAGACGTTTCTTAAAATAAAAGTAGTAAATGCCTCATTTGAAAGCAAAGAATCAAAACACATAAAAATACCGCTGTCTACTTTAATTATAATACCTTCTAAGTAATAACTTTATTTCTATTTGTTGCAGTATTTTACGTGTAATGATACGATCAAATCTGGCGTACCTATGGCTAAAATTGTATTTTTTGCAAATATACAATCAACTTACTTAGCAAATATCATTGAACTTAGCAAATAACACTTACTAATATAACTTAGCAAATATCATGGAAATTAATAGCAAATTTACTTTCAGAAAAAACTCATTCAATATTGTTACTGAAAATAGTCTAGGTATCAAGATCTACATGATATTCTGCACAGGGCCTAGCTGACATTGCCTAAGGATCTATGTAAAAAGCCATTTCAGGGGCTCCCAATGTTAACTTTTTTTTTAAGGGAAAAACAGGGTATCAGGTATTATAGGATAATTTATAGGGCTTATAGGCTAGCCATTCTCGGCAGTAATCAGAATCTAATTCTGCATTTCAAAATAGCTTCTTTCCTATGACACTTACCATTAAAAGGCTAAAAGCAAAACTGTTTGGTAATTGCAAGCAACTAGGTTTGGATTTGAGCTCAGACGAAAAAACTGGCTGCATGATTAGTTTTCGTGGTTTTCCCCGCGTCATAACATAGAAACGAGCACGTTTCTCTCAGAAAGTTCCCCATGAAAGCTCTTCTTATACAGCTTAGAAAGTCCTCCGCGAAGGCATCACTCCCCCTTAAGCAGATAGCCCTCGAGTGCTTTGCCATAATTAAATAAACTAAACCCAATGAAGCCTCCTACACAGATAAACCTGTTGGCTTTGTCATAGTCAAATAATTAAACAACCATTCTTCTTTCTTAAAATATTTCTTATATACACCAAATTCTCTTTGGTGATTAAAAAAAAAAATATTGATTTAGTATGAAATGTAATGTTTACGGTTCTATATGAATATTTCCCCGACAGCTTCAACTTGATTTTAATAGAAATCGGGTGTTTAAGTACCGAAAAATGTAATTATACACGCACGCGCGCGCACACACACACATACACACACACACACATACACACACACACACATATATATATATATATGCACGCACTATAATCATACATACATTAATTTTCCCAAAATAAAAAAATTTTATTAAAAATACAGATATACATATAAAAGGTATTTATACATTTTTTAACCATTTCGATAAAGAAATTTAAAAATGAAATACTTTGGAATAAAAAAAAAATGTTCTCCAACAGCTTATTATTTGCTATGAGAAATATCGTCTGCTACTTTTAAATTCATTCTCCTTTGAAAATGTCGCATATAAACAAGCTGCGGATTTAAAGATACGTTTTTGCGCTTTCCGATGAGAAATATTCTTATTCCATAATTCAAATTTTCTTAAATTCCTTAATTACTTCTATTCTATAATTCTGTAATTAACATCTCTAAGTGAAAAATAAGCAACATTATTACTCGGAAAGAGAAAAACTGTCAATCATTACTTCTACATGAAAAAAGTAAGTTCAAACGAATACCCGAAGAGGGTAGTTACTGTTTCTAAAGTTAAATCATTGGCTACAAGAGAAAATCAGGCATCACAGAACTCAGTTGCAGTTTTTAAACACATCTATAGCAACAATAAATAAAATAATAAACCGAGATTTACAACTTAAAAAAAACTAAAAACATAATGTACACCAGCTTTTGCCGAAGCGTGTGGTTCAACGCAGAACAGTTTGTAGAGCTCCGTATGAAAACCATTTAGCGAGAGATAAATTGAAATTCTTTGTGACTCTTGATGAAGCATGAGTTTACCTAAATAACTGCAACAAAAATTTCCTATTCATTATCAGAAAATAATCTGATGTGTACACCACATGACTTCCTTGTACGGAATATTAAATTATACGCATTTTATCTTGCATTTCATTTAAACTCATTGGATTGAATTAAATCTACTTCGCCGACAGAGCATAAAACACAATAGAATAAATGCATTCTTTAAAATTCACTTTAGTATTTGTTTACCATAGCGACACTCTGGCGCTAGATTCACTTAACAGTATTATATTTCGTTCATATTATAACTCATAATGCACAAAATTTATATCATTTAAAGAATAGAATTATCTAATCGTTGCCACATATTCTATTCAAATACTATAATAAAGCTAGAATGATGTATAAAAGAGATTAAGCAAACAAAACAAAAAAGAAACAGTTTTTCACAGACGATTGAGTATTTCTCATTCAATTAATTCAGTTCTCACTTCGCGAGAAGGCAAAAATACATAAAAACTCAAAATATCTATATTAAAAATTACGAAGTAAATCTTAAACAATTATTTCCTCGAAAAAATTCCAGAAAGGACTAAGCATGATTTAATTGGCAATAATAAATGAAGGCGTTATCTTTGTTGTTGCGAAGCTAAGTTTCTCTAGATTGCAACAACTTCACTAGTCTACTGTTTCAAATGTAAACAAAAAATAGCCGCCATTAAAAAAAAAAAAAAAAAAAAAAAAAAAAAAAAAAAAAAAGGCTTAGCGGTACTTAAACAACTTTAAAATCGTTGATAATTCTAAAAATATTGCATACAGATTTACTAAAGGCATAAAAACCTTAACCGGAAGATAAAAACAACATAATTCAATCATTTTTAAAGCAAAAAATGTACAATTTACAAATATACTCGTATAAGAGTAAAGAAACTGAGATTACTGAGTCGGGTAACAGAGTGGATATATATATAAATATATTTATATACGTTTGGTGCGGCCGATTGCAACCAAAATACGAGGTGCACATCTACATGTTATAGCAGTCCTATATACAAAATTTCAACGTTCTGAGACTACTCGTTTTTGAGTTATGCGAGATACGTACGTACATACGTTCGTACAGACGCCACGAAAAATTCTCTTCAGAATTAATTTTAAAGCAGTTTTTTAATTTTGTTGGAGGAAACGAGTCTTTTATTCTGCCCTTACATACAGATATCACGCAAAAACATCGTTAAATTGCATTCGATAGCGGTCAAAATGGATATTTTCGTTGAAGCATGCTGCCTGAAACTTTTCGCGATTACAATACTTCCTTTTTACTTCGTACAAGGAAGTAAAAAAGAGAGAGGGGGGGATTACAAACCTGGTTCCATTAGTGCAAAGAAAATTTCAGTAAGGGGTTTATGGTTCTCTCGAGATTCCCTTACAAGAATATCAAGAGAAAGTTTTTCAAGTCTGATATTTGAAAAACGATTTCTTTATCCCAATGACTTTCAAAGAGTGAAACTTCATTAAGACAAAGCAAAGAGTCATACTTCGAAAAGTATTACTGAATTCCGTGAAAAAATGAAGACTGATACAGGCATTGCTTATATACCTTTTCAAAGCATTCCTACAAAATCCTCCGATTTTCCACCTATGACTGTTGAATCTTCGGTCTTATGAAAGAGCTTTTTCTAAGCGGAAACCCATCATGATTGATGGTTTATAGAAAGTAGTGGAAGAGGAGTATAAATAACTTTCCCTGGTTACTTTTCGAAAAGCCTTTCTGTCTTGAAAAACACAATGCAGACTTTAAATCCAGAGAAAAAGCTTATGAAATCGGACATTTAAAAAAAATACTCCTTACATTTCAACTTTAATTAAACGGCCCCGAAATCATCGTAAAAATGTGGACACACATTGTATATACTGAATGGTGCAAATGTTCTACAATACCTCCTGAAAGTATGTCTCTTGTACAACTAACGACATTTTTAAAATTAATTTAAATGCTTTCATTAGTAAATAATATACCAATTTAAAGACAATATTATATGGAATTCAAAAGATTTTTAAAAATTTAAAATCATAATATCATGGAACAATCATAACATCATGCATAATATATCACAAATATTATGCATACGAAAATGCAAAGAAGCTAATGCGAGTTCTTTCTTATAAATAACATAAACTACAAAAGGTTTTTTAAATTCAAAAGGAAATAAAAAGGAAATAAAATTACAAAATATTAAATATTATACGTTAGTCAATGAATTTCAAATTAGTTACGAAGTTAGTTAGAATTTCAAGTTAGAATACGTTAGTCAATGAATTTCAAGTTGTCAAGTCAAATATATTTCAAGTTGTACAGATTACTACTATATAGTTAGAAAACTACTATATTTAATTCCCAATACACATCGCTTCGACATACTACTCACAAATTTATCAAGCTCTTTCACTGAAAGTAGATGATATCAGCAAGAAGCTACAGTTTCAATCAACTCTTACTTTACGATTCTGTTAATTAGTTTTCTTTTAGTACCATCCAAATTTTTTCAATTAGATTAAGAAAGGGGTTCTCAACCAGCCTAGTTTCAGCGAAGAAATGCGGTAAGCCTTTATTTACCTGTTGAGTTTTTAGTTTTAGTTAATGAGCATAAAAAAATTGCTTTTATTCAAGTTTTGGTATTTTTCAATATTTTCTATACTTTTCCTTGTTTAATTTATAAAACAATTCAGAAATAATCTAAATTTAAATAAATATATATATGTATGTTTTCGAATTTT